GGGGGTGCGCATTATACACGAAATAATGAGTTTTGATGTTTTTTTCCCCATGGAAAGATCTTACCCTGAGCACGTAACACCGGAAATACCACGTCAACAAATCCATACTAAAGTACACAAATTAATCATGTAATTACACTGTCTGGCTATAAAAAGTGTTCTTTGTATATCTGGACTTATGTATGTAACTTATTTCATTAATTTTATTCAAAATTTCTTTTAATATTGTTTAAATTAATTTCGGCGAAATCGTGCGTGAAGTGATCGGAAGATCGCACAACTCACCGTTATTAACAGCAACCACGGTCAGATTACCGCTATTGACGCTTTGAAACGAACATTAATTGACACAGAATGGATACATATATCATAAATGCCATACTTTGACTCGTTAAAAGTCATATTTGTTATAGTTTGGCGATTCTATGTCAACACGTGGTTCTCGTGTTGGGGGTACTGATCATCCAACACACTGCACTCAGCCTGTGAATCACTGGGTGTAAGGGGGCCAGTGTGTTCTATGGAAGGCATGTGAGATTTGTCTGGGGAAGACATCTGCCTCTGAGAAAACTGGAGAAAAAGTAATTGCAGAGAAAAGAACTAAATGTCACAATTGCTGAAAAAACATTAAAATTAACATAAAATCTTACAAAGACAATTTGAAGAAAGATCATCAGCATGCTTTAAAAACAATTTAAAAAATACCTTTTTACATTCTTATAAGCCTAGACTATAACATTACTGACTAATTATTAAACACATTTTGATCGGTAAGATATACCATAGATTCCTGCAAGGTAGATAACTCCACTGTTACAAATCTACTACTGAATATGCGATGGTTAATAAACTGGGTGAGAAGCATGTATTATATACAACCGGATGTCACTTGAGGCAGCAGCACATTAGAAAGTAGTTTCAGAGTAACACATCTCATCAAGCACACCTTAGTGATAAGTCTTTATAATGCTATAGCTGATGTGTTAAGTAAACCGTCTTGCTTCACACTTTATCTTGCCAAACATGAAAGACTTTGGTCAATAAAATACATACATAACAATATTTCAAACTATTTTGCACCCAACATAGAATAATAGCGTGGCTGACTTGTCTGACCTGCTTTCTAGAAACCGTAACTGGTCAATCTAAACGGACAGCTCATATGAGCTGTTCAACTGATTGTCTGAAACATTTCTTTGTGTTAAACACACAAGTCTACTGTCAGTGGAATAAAATTAATGGTTTCAGATGTCACTTTATTTCACTTTTCTTTTCCTTTATTTTTACTATAATCTGATCCTTTACTCCGATAGGCTACTTCTGTGTGTATAGATCTGAGGACATCAGGGAAAGTGGGAATGGGTTCTTGAACCAATCAAATGTCAACTTTCTTAACCAACTTGATTCAGAAATGTTCAATGTTGGCAAAAGAAAACTGACTCAGAACACAAACATACCACCCCAGTACAACCTTCTGCGTTTAGATCCCTTGGCATTTTTTTGTATTCAGATCCTCCCAATCATAATCATTTTTGAGATACTGAAATCAGATATACTTGTCTGAATGTTTCGCTCACTCAATCCTGTACCATGTACCAGTGAAGATCAGGGTAGAGAATAGGTCTTCAGCAACCCATGCTTGCCGTAAAAGGAGACAATGCTTGTCGTAAGAGGCGTCTAACGGGATCGGGTGGTCAGGCTCGCTGACTTGGTTGATGCATGTCATCGATCCCAATTGCATAGATCAATGCTCATGATATCAATCACTGGCTTGTTTGATCCAGACTCGATGAATTACAGACTGCTGTCATATAGCTGGAATATTGCTGAGTGCGGTGTTAAACAAACAAACAAACAAACACTCAAAGCTGATTGGCTGATTAAAAAATTCACCCTACACAACCACCAATGAAGCATCCTCAGGTCTTCACAAGTCATTCAGGTGTGACATCAGATCTTCACACACAGGACGGCCTCCGTGGTCTAGTGGTAGAGCGTCCACCCGGAGAGCGGAAGGTCCGGGGTCCAATCCCCAGCCGTGTCATACCAAAAGACGTTAAAAGTTGGTACTTGTTGATACCCTGTCTGGCGCTCGGCATTAAGGGGCTAAAACAAGGACTGGTCGGCTCGGAGTCAGTATGCTGTGTCTGACTGGGGTATTCATGTTAAAACTGCGGCATGGTATCTCAGTGTGCTGGCACTATAAATCGGCATCAGTCCGGACTAGTACAAGCAGCCACACACACACACATGCATGCATGTCGCTATATAAGTGCAATAATCTTGGACGCGACGTTAAACCAAATTTCACCTCACATCTTCACACACAGAAGTATGATATCAGAGTTAAAGGTATGTGTTCAATGTCATTGCATTTTATAAGGATCACGCAATCTGTAGACCAATATATATATATATATATATATATATATATATATATATATATATATATATATACACATATAAAATGTTATATATCTTAATTATCAATAAAGACCTGAAGCACCACACCCAAGCACCTTGCAAATAACATGAGTCAAGACTCCTACTATGGTGACCAGAGGAAGTCATTATCTCCCATTCAATGAACATGACTGTTAAAACAAGGCAAAAGAGAACAGGGCTCACTAAAACCCCCGACTTCAACTCCAATATATTTCTAAGTTCAAAACATGAAAAAAAAGCAATATTTTTTCAGAAAATACTCTTTTTTAAATCAAACTTTGCCGTGCACCTCACCAATTGGTATAGAACTGTACCCCCAATTGGAAAAGAATCCATGAAGTAGTTTTCAAGATATAGGTCGCACAAATGTTGAAGTAAAACAAACATTCTAAGTTCAAAACATGTAAAAATTCCTATTTTCTCAGACAACCCACATATCAAAATCAAACTTTGCACTGCACCTCTTCTATTAGTATGGAAACTGTTTGCTAAATTTGAAAAGAATCCATCAAGTAAGTCAAAAAATGAAAAATAGCTGTAATTTTTGTAAAAATCCAAATATTGAAATCAAACTTTGCACTGCACCTCTCCTATGTGTATAAAGCAGGTTCACCAAGTTTGCAAGAATCTAAACTGTAGTTTCAAGTTATAGGTCACACACACAAAATGACCTCAGAAGGACAGACGAATGGACGGAATTCCCTGGTATAACTATATATCCCCGCCCTTTTAGGTTGGGGGTATACGAAGTTTTACCATGTGGTTACTGTAGTCTAAATTTAAGGGAACAATACATGACATACATAACAAAATGTGACATAATTCAAATACAATAGCTGTTATTTGTAATAAGGTCAGACAAATTAAGTGCTTGTTTCACAGATCTATCCATAAACTAAAATAAAAAATTCAAAAATCCCCATAACAGGACATAACTGTGTCTAGTTAACCAGCTATCTTTAAATTTAGAGTTTACATTTTTTTTTCATGTCCAACCCAGCTCTCACCTGAAGAGAAAGGAGAGCATTTTCTCCCTAAAGAATCACAGCGAAATAATACACAGTAATCATAGTAATATGCAGAATGCAGCAAGTCAACAATTTTACTTTTAACTTAAAAAAAAAGTGTTTATTGTTGTAGTTTTTTCCCTTCGGCATTTGGGTATTTTGAGGATAAAATTCTGTAAAACAAGTATTGAAACTGGTCTGGCCTGGTATTTATCACCACCATTCTTCTCATTCACTACTCACAACAGCACTACATTCACACGTCACAATATTTCATATCTATACCGAGACAAAAGCAATGACTTCAACATTAATTTATGAGAAGCAGATAATCATGAAGTCTTTCTGCTGACCTTTCATTCGCTTCTTACAACAGCACTACATTCACACCTCACAATATTTCATATCTATACCGAGACAAAAGCAATGACTTCAACATTAATTTATGAGAAGCAGATAATCATGAAGTCTTTCTGCTGATCTTTCATTCGCTTCTTACAACAGCACTACATTCACACCTCACAATATTTCATATCTATACCGAGACAAAAGCAATGACTTCAACATTAATTTATGAGAAGCAGATAATCATGAAGTCTTTCTGCTGACCTTTCATTCGCTTCTTACAACAGCACTACATTCACACCTCACAATATTTCATATCTATACCGAGACAAAAGCAATGACTTCAACATTAATTTATGAGAAGCAGATAATCATGAAGTCTTTCTGCTGACCTTTCATTCGCTTCTTACAACAGCACTACATTCAAACCTCACAATATTTCATATCTATACCGAGACAAAAGCAATGACTTCAACATTAATTTATGAGAAGCGGATAATCATGAAATCCTGGCCTGTCTGTACTAATATCCCACAGTTCTCTTTAATACAAAATGCTGAAAAATATGTTTCTTCATCATACAGAGAGACATCAGATCATCTGATACATGGTAGGAACAACGTCAAACATAAACATAATTTAATGTCTTGAAACATCATGAACAAAGGTTGACAACATCGGCAAATTATTTGCGACAATGCAATGGTATGACGTCAAACTGGGAAGCTTTGCCTCACAAACAATGAAACATGAGACCATGGGAAAATAGTCCCCCTTTAACTTGAAAGACATGGGTGTATCACAATATATCAAATGTGTTCTTACTTAACAACTTCTGTGAGAAAGCTACATTACTGTTAAATATTGAAAAAAGTCACACCTTTCTCTCCTGTCTAACAACGCAATGAGAGGAATACAATTACCGTATTCGACGTATTAAGCACCCAGGGCGCTCTCAAAATTAGAAATAGGGGGCTCTTATTAGACTATTATTTTGGTGGAAAAAACAGAGTTGAAAGATAAATTTCATGGTTTATGCTGATGGCCTGAACTGTTTATATACGACAGATATATTTTTCAAGAATTTAATTGCCCATAATTAAGGGTGCATATAACACACGAGTGCGTATTATACATAAATAAATAAGTCTTGTGTACATTGATCAATCGGAAGGGGTGCTAATTGGGATTGTTCACTTGCCAATATATTAGCAAATATCGGCGCGCATATTAGAGCGGGGCGCTTATTACGTGGAATATGGTATACAACTCCTGGTCACTGTATGTCACACCTGTCAGAAATCAAACAGGTGTCTTGTACCAGATTTAAAGATCCACCCACCCAAAATTATAATTCTAAAGCCATCGTAACCGCCTCCCCAGTCTGCTAACAAATAACAGTATGGAAAAACTCCACTGGACCAGTATGGGAAGGGCAATAACTCTTGTCATCTCGACAACATCCAAAATGCACATCCTTTAGATTGATCATGATTAAAGAAGTCCCTAAAAATATTTATAATTTCACTTTTTTATATTTCAACTACCTATGGTTTTATAAAAACAACCTGTACACTAATAATGGTTCATCAGGTGTTACTTACACAAGATTATTAAGATTTATACTTGTGGCAGAAATTACGTAACTCTCATCGTTCTAGAGACTCAGAAGTAACATTTCATTAAAATTCCATAAATAACGTTTCATGAAATTAAATTAATATGTGTCTAGAAACAACACAGTAATAGTCATAAGTACTTATTCAGTATCTGGAGAGGTTCACTGGTTGGACTCATATGCTCTTGTAAGAACTCTGTAAGTCTTGCAATGGTGGTGCCTTTCTGGTGTAGGAGTGTCAGGACTTTCATTGTGGGCCCGTTACCCCTAGGCTTACCTTTCAAGTGGTACCTGTGGAGATGGGAATAAAAATATTATCATCATACTATTTCTTTATCTGATGCAATTAAGATTTAAACAGTTACCAAATGTCACAGTCTGTAGGGCTATGGGAAGGCTTAGTGGTTCACGGGGCGGTCGGGTAGCCTAGTGGTTAAAGTGTTCGCTCGTGATGCCGAAGACCCAGGTTCGATTCCCGACATGGGAACAATGTGGGAAGCCCATTTCTGGTGTCCCCCGCCGTGATATTGCTGAAATATTGCTAAAAGCTTCATTAAACCATACTCCCTCACTCACTCACTAACTGCAGTTTGTGTGTTGCTTCAATTAGTTATGAAAATCTGCTCATGAAGATCCAAGTTAGAGTTGGTGTTCAGAATCTGCACCCTTGCTTGTTGTAAGAGGCAACTAACGGGACTGGGCAGTCAGGCTTGCTGACTTAGTTGATGCATGTCATCATATGCCAATTGAGAAAATGCTTGATTCTGATTAGACAATCAGAGGTTTCAAATCACAATAACCACCTTTGATTGAAACAGCAGCATCACCATGGAAGCTAAATTTATTGAAGAAAATGACTTCTTCCTCAGTCGTTGTCAGTAGGCACCCATGAAGATCCGGGTTAGAATAGGTCTTCAGCTACCCATGCTTGCTGTAAAAGGCGCCTTTCCTTGTTGTAAGAGGCGACTATACTTGTTGTAAGAGGCGACTAACATAATCGGGTGGTCAGGCTCACTGACTTGGTTGATACATGTCAATCGTATCCCAATTGAGTAGATCAATGCTCATGATGTCAATCACAGGATTTCGATTACTTACAGACTGCCATCGTATTGCTGGGATATTGCTGTTGTTAAACAACATATAAACAAACAAACAATGATTCACACAGACGTCCTGATACCTACTCGTCATGTTTGACTTGCTGCATGTCGTAGTCCAAGAGGGGGGAAACGGCTATAGTACGCCAGGAGATGACGCCTGGGACCTCCTCCTGGTCAAACAGGACACACAGTCGCTGGACGTCGCTGCGGTTCTTCATCAGCCTCCCAAACCCAGAGCCTTGTCCAGACGGGCCTGAAACAGCAGCAGGTTCAGTAGCTTACCTTCTCTTCATTTCATCGACAGTGGATTCAGATCAAAGCATGAAGTCAAGGAGTACTCGTCTTCAACACAGATTCAAATAACTTCAATGAACTTCAGGGTGCATGGATCACCCTGACTTATATATGTCAAACATAGTATATACATAATATATACAATGGCAGTTATGCAGATATTCATTAATACATAGAACTGTTGCAATCCAGACTTATTGTAAGTGGCTACAAACGAGATCAGGTGGTCAGGCTCGCTGACTTTGTTGATGTATGTCATCGTATCCCAATTGCGTGTTTCTATGCTCATCCGAATCAGCAATATTCTAGCTATATGACCGTGGTCTGTAAATAAATGAGTTTGGACCAGACAATACAGTGATTGGCATCATGAGCATCGATCCACGCAATTGGGATATGATGATATGCATCAACCAAGTCAGCGAGCCTGACCACCTGTTCCTGTTTACGACAAGCATAGTCGCCTTTTACGGCAAGCATGGGTTGCTGAAGACCTATTCTACCCCACATATTCATGGGTTCATTCTGCCTCCGAATCTCACATATCACCTTGACGAGATTTGCATTGGTTACAACAAAAATGTACTCTTAAACCAATTCCAGCCTGAAACTCGGTTATTGATCTTGGTCAACAAACATACCCGACAATGTCGACACTTTAACCTCCAAAAAGAAAACTCCGCACTCCGAGGTACCATCACTGAGGTCAGCAATCCAGTTGTATCGTCCGGGGTGCTGAGTTGACACACTGTGCAGAACGATCTGACTCGGGGCCGACTGTGGAGCCGTGTAGACCTCGCCCCCTGACCCTGCCTTCTCCGCCGACAAGGCCGTTACTACTAAAGTGTCCTCCTTGGGTGTGGCCGAGATCATGACGTTAGTACCTGCAGACACATTAAGGTAAGATTTTGTAGAGTGTTTGAGGTTTTGTGTCATGAATGTGGTTGTTATCTTCCCAAGGCAAGAGAGTTAACAAACTATAAAAGTCCAGTTTCCACCCTTGCCCCTACAGTTTGGCTGGACAAACGAGTGTATGCAAAGTCCAATCAAAATCGCGTCACGAAAACGAAATCCAGTTTGTAAACTGTCATGCAGATTTCGGTGAATTGCAGGATTTGTAAGCATGTGCACCGCCAACTCATTGTCAACAGATATTATACAAATCTTTTCATGTTTTTAATCAAGGTGCTCAAGTGATTTGATGCACTTCGTGATGTAAGACCCGTTTTATCACAATATAGATATTGATAATCGAACAGATCGTCTTGACTGGGCGTCGCCATTTTGTTTGAAGCAAATGCAAGTGATACGAGAGGTGGCATCTGATTGGTCAATAGGAGAAGCTTAGAAGGGACATAACTCGTAATAGCCACTGGTGGCGCTACGATCGAGCCCAGGAATTCCAGCCTAGTTCGGCAAGGCTGGAAACTGGACTTTTAAAGTCGTTAACTCTCTTGCATCGGGAGGATGGTGGTTGTTGACACAGTGTAAATCTAATGAGTTGATACATTTTGTCCATTGACTCAACAGTTGAGGGATTCTGGTTAAGCATAAAGGTCACCAGCAATAAATTCTGCTTGTAAGAAGCGACTAAATGGATCTGTAGTCAGGCTTGATTTGGAGGATTGCATGTATCGATGCTCATGATATTAATCACTGGATTGTCTAATCCACACTCGATTATTTACAGTAAGTGAGTGAGTTGGGTTAAACACAGCTTTTAACAGTATTCCAGTTATATCACAGCATGATGTGGGAGGAAAGCCGAAGTTATACAGGTCTTAGACGTTTACCACTTTAGTGAAAGCCACGAGCATGGGTATGGTGCTGACAAACCTTGAAATATAATATTGCTAACAGTGGCGTAAAAACAATACTCGCTCAATAGTTCAACACTTTCAAACACTGATATTTACATTCATTTATAAATCCACCAACCCAAATGTTAATGTTCATGTGTAGGAAAAATCAGAGTCCTGTGATGAGCAAGACATTTAATACCAATCGTTGCAGATTGGGTGAGATAAAAAAATGTAACTTCTTTTTCAAATGTTTCAATCTGGCGGATGTAGATGAACACATGGGTGGTGACAGGCTAGTAGGTAGGAAGTGATGCTCTCTAGTACTTCTCTGTCAAGCACAGTCAGTTACCCGAGTGCTTCCTGTCAGGATGCCACGATCAGATCTGGTTCTGTATTTGACGCAGTAAGTGTCCTGCACCAAGAAGTCATTGTCATGTATGGAAAGTGAAATTGTATGTGTTTTTTATGAAGGTAACACTTAATGACTTACTAATGATATTCATTCCTGCCTAAGTGTGTGTGAGGTGTGTGTGTGTGTGTTAGTGTTAGTGTGTGTGTATCTGCATGTGTGTGAGGTGTGTCTATAGGTGTATGTCTCTGTGTGTAATGTGTGTGTGTGTCTGCATGTGTGAGGTGTGTCTATATGTGTATGTGTGTGTTTCTGTGTAGTGTGTCTACATGTGTGTGAGGTGTCTATAGGTGTATGTCTGTGTGTAGTGTGTGTGTGTCTACATGTGTGTGAGGTGTCTATAGGTGTATGTCTGTGTGTAGTGTGTGTGTGTCTGCATGTGTGTGAGGTGTGTCCATAGGTGTATGTCTCTGTGTGTAGTGTGTGTGTGCGTCTGCATGTGTGTGAGGTGTCTATAGGTGTATGTCTCTGTGTGTGTGTGTGTGTCTGCATGTGTGTGAGGTGTGTCTATAGGTGTATGTCTCTGTGTGTAATGTGTGTGTGTGTCTGCATGTGTGAGGTGTGTCTATATGTGTATGTGTGTGTGTGTGTTTCTGTGTAGTGTGTGTCTACATGTGTGTGAGGTGTCTATAGGTATATGTCTGTGTGTAGTGTGTGTGTCTGCATGTGTGTGAGGTGTGTCTATAGGTGTATGTCTCTGTGTGTAGTGTGTGTGTGTCTGCATGTGTGTGAGGTGTGTCTATAGGTGTATGTCTCTGTGTGTAGTGTGTGTGTGTGTGTGTCTGCATGTGTGTGAGGTGTGTCTATATGTGTATGTGTGTGTCTCTGTGTAGTGTGTGTGTGTCTTCATGTGTGTGGTGTCTATAGGTGTATGTATGTGTGTAGTGTGTGTAGTGTGTGTAGTGTGTGTAGTGTGTGTGTGTGTGTGTGTGTGTGTGTGTGTGTGTGTGTGTGTGTGTGTGTGTGTGTGTGTGTGTGTGTCATTGACACCACACACAGCAATATTCCAACTATATGACAGCGACCAGACAATCCAGTGACTGACCAAAAGGCCTGGCCATCGTGGTTGGTTGACACAACGCAACACCAAGCAAATCTGACCACTCAATCCATTACGTCTCCTAATACTACAAGCATAGGTTACTGTGGCCCTTCTAATCCGAAGGTACCTGCTGATAAACTGTAATATGCACGCCCTCCTTACATAACTTGATGAGTGAGTGAGTGATATGCCGCTTTTAGCAATATTTCAGCAATACAATGGCAGGGGACACCAGAAATGGGCTTCACATATTGTACCCATATGTAGAATTGAACCCGGGCCTTCGGTGTGACAAGCGAACGCTTTAACCACTAGGCTACCCCAGCACTCCCTTAACTTGATGAAATAAACCCAAAATGTAGTCCTACCACCCACACTTGTTGAACACATTCATCAGCAGGTCATGTTTACAGAAGCCTTCAACAGCTTTCTCCTTGTTTATATTTTTGGATGAAAGTCTAATAATGAAAATACTGAGGCCTAAGCTAGTTAAATGATGTTGTGTAATAGGTTAAGAACTGCATATGACTTTCACTCTGTGTGAGTCCACTGCAGTATTAATCTGGGACAACATCCCATGGTTCGGATGAGTCCAAATTTACTACCCTGTGACCCACCCCTCTATTCCCCGACGCTACCTGGGTAACTGCTGTAGATCTCAAGAGATAGGTACAAAATGTCTGATTGGGAATTGTTTGACGGTAGCCCTGTCAAAAAGTATTTAAATACACATATAAAATGATCTGGACATGCATACACTGAAGTTGACTGAAGTTTTATCTTAATTCAAACATACAAAAGTCAGAAGGAATGTATACATAGTCAGAGTGGATGAGTGAGTGTGGTTTTACGCCACTTTTAGCAATATTCCAGCAATATCACGGAGGGGGACACCAGAAATGGGCTTCACACATTGTACCCGGGTTCATGTGGGGAATCGAACCCGGGTCTTTGGCGTGATGAGCGGATGCTTAAACCACTAGGCTACTCCAGCTCCCTGCATAAATAGTCACAAAGAAATGTGAACATTAGTGACTTGTAGTGTAGCCATGGAGTTCTAGATCATTTTTGTCATAAAACAATATATCACGTAACTTACTACGGGTCCGGGCAGTCCTGTGGGTACCGAGTCCAGTACCCATCTGACCTGAGTTGACCATCCCAGCCCAAGTATAGTCATAGTACCATCAGCCTAACACTATAAACACAGACCACTGAGAGAGCTGACTACTGCAATACAGATGTCAACACTAAATAAGTATCATGTAAGTTAATAATACCATATAATCAGGAATTGGGTGTTCAAAGAGAAAAATAAGCAGTGTTTTTGAGGTAAAAAATATAAATACAGCCTGATCTAATTTATGTTATTGAACGTACCATCTTTTGCGATCCACTTGTTCCGGAGGACATAGCATCTTTGACTGTGCACTGCATTTATCAGCTTCATAACGACTTGACCTTTAGGATTCTGTGCAGCTAGAACCGATTGTAAGAACAGATGATTGAATAGTTGGAAGCAACATTATGTGGGAAACGTTTTTGTCTTGTGTAGTATTTTAACTGAGGTCCTCAATCTGTACATATACTACACAAAAAAGTTTAGGACCATATCATGACATGACACTAACTATACAGGGATAATTCTAGGACATATCATGACATGACATTAACTATACAGGGATAATTCAAGGACATATCATGACATGACAATAACTATACAGGGATAATTCTAGGACATATCATGACATGACATGAACTATACAGGGATAATTCTAGGACATATCATGACATGACATTAACTATACAGGGATAATTCTAGGACATATCATGACATGACATTAACTATACGGGGATAATTCTAGGGTTGGGCCTTGTGCCTTTAGCTCCTAAATTTGAAAAAAGGCCCACATTTTCAAAAAGATGGGGTCATTTGAACATTGTGCTGTATGGCGAATATTTGAAATTTTCACATATAGGGTCCATGTCAGAAGATTCCTAGAGTGAACCCTGATGATTGCAATAGGAAACAGTCAGGTGGTCCTTTTTTGAGTAGTACCATATTCAACGTAATAAGCACCAATTGGAAATAGGGGGCGCTTATTAGAATATTATTTTGAGTTGAAAGATTGTAAATTTTGTGGTTTATGCTAACAGCCTGAAGTGTTTACATACGACAGATAAATTTTTCAAGAATTTAATTGCCCATAATTAAGGGTGATATAACACACGAGTGTGTATTATACACGAATAAATAAGTCTTGTGAACATTGATCAATCGGAAGGGGTGCTAATTGGGATTGTTCACTAGCCAATATATGTTTGTCTCAGTTATTTGTCAGATAAATAACTTATATATTCCTAGTAATAGCTATTTCAAATGAAATGCCAAGTCTAACTGTCAAATGTCAAATGTGTGTTGACAACGTCAGCAGAGAAAAAATGTGAGATCTTCTACCCCATGAATAGAACAATGGCCTTTTGTACCTCCTCATTCCAGGTTATGAAAACTCACATTATAGATGTCAATATACAGAAAGTTTGTATAGGAAAATCAAGAAACATGCTTATCAGAATTTTTTCTCTTTTTTCTTCACTTCTTATTTATGGATTTAAGATCCGTAAAAAAAAGTTTTTCAAAATGTACCTTAGAGGAAATTACTTCATTTGATATCCCCTAGTATCCCTTTTTGTATCAGGGGGCCTGGGTGGCCCGGTTGTCTAAGGTGCCGCGATTCGCTGTGCAGAGTTGCGTCCCTTGGGCACGCCAGAAACCTATGATTGTGGGTTCGAATCCTGGTTCTCCCCGATTATGTTTCTAGGTTTGTCAGCACCATACCCGTGCTCATTGGTTTCACCCAACTGGTAAATGTCTGAGACCTGCATCACTTCGGGCTTTCCTCCCACGTTAAGCTGACACGCCGTGATATAACTGGAATAATGTTAAAAGCGGCGTTAAACCCAACCCAACTCACTCACTCACTCACTTTTTGTATCATCATTTTACAATGTGATAATTTAACAACCTTTGAAACAAAGCAATATTCCATCATCAACATCAATGTAGGGGACACATTGTACCCAAGTGCAGAATCGAACCTGGACCTTTAGCAAGACGAGTGAATGCTGTAACCACTAGGCTATCCCAAAGATCCCTTAAAGTAAAGCCAGTTCTTCAAATACCCCTAGATATAACAACACAGGTGACAACGAAAGATACCTTGTTCTGTTTGCAGACTGTGCTGCTCCTGTTTCTTGTTCCAGTTGATAAGGCAGATGAGAATACACCATGGTCCGAGCAGGAATAACACAACTGAAGAATACACAGGATCAACATGTCACAACTAGATGGGGTTTTTACTCATGTAAACCCCCCCGAAATATGTGTTAGCTGGCGAGAAACAAACGCTAGTTGTTTGCGACTAAATCCAAATTGTTCCATTGAAAACACAAGAAATTAAAAAAATACAAATTGAAAAATATGAAAAGGCAATAGTTGGCATCTGGTCATTGTTTGAGAGCTATGGATCGGAAACGAAGCTGTGAGTTGTTTGTGAGCCCAAATTGTTTCCATGGAAATTTATTAAGAAAAATTGAGACAAATTTCAAAATAGAAAAAGGCAATTGAATGGTATTCAAGTTATGGCACGGAAAAGGATGGCAACTCAAACAGGAATGAAGCCAGAAACAATATGTCTCCCTTTCCTTTGGGGAGAGAAATAGAATCAATTACCATGAATCAGGTCACGAGAACCATATTTATGTGACAGAGGTCAGTGGATTTGTGAGTTGTGTTCAACACCGCTTAGAACAGTTTTAGTTACATCACAGTGTGTCAGTTTGATGTCAGAAGAAAGCAGGTCTTAGACGTTTACCACTTTAGTAAAACCCACAAGCACAAGCACGGGTATGGTGCGGACAAACCGAAAAGCATTATCAGGGGAATAAGGAATTCAAACCCACGATTACAGGATTCTGGGGTGTCCAAGGGACTTAACTCTAAGTCACCTGCAACACCTAAGACAACTGGGCCACCTGTGTCCATGTAAGGCTTGAAAAAATATAAGAACTGGTTCTCAGGCAATGGCTTTTGAAAATATAGTGCGGGTGGGCAGTGTTTTGTTTTTCTTAGTTTTGCAAATTAGTATGTAACCAAATAAACAGTTGTGTAACCAAATACAATCAACCTGGGAGAGGGCCTCCCTACATAAATGTATTCCTTGATGAGTAATTTAATGGAATACAGACCTTGACTATAGTTAGACTTCGAATATTCAAGGATTTTTTTGTTTTTTTTAACAATGGAAATGAAAACGAAATGTGCAGCAAAGTTTATGATGATGCGGGCGGTGCCTGAGAACCAAGACTGTTATTTTTTTAAATTTCAATAATCAGGTGCTGACAGTTACTGCATATCAGATCATTCCAAAGATATGTACAGAAATGTCCTAGTACATGTAGTCAAAATCAAAATGGCTCATAGTAAGCGTCACTGAGATATTGTTGCAGCAGTTAGATTGAAAGGAGCATTCCATTGGAAATGCAGGAAAAGAGTTCACATGTTTACATTTCCAGAGTGCGATAGGATATACATTATAGCTTTGTTTGTTTGTTTGTTTGTTTGTTGTTTAACGCCACACCCAGCAATATTCCAGCTATATCAAGCAATCTGTAAATAATAGAGTCTGGACCTGACAATCCAGTGGTTGACATCATGAGCATCGATCCACGCAATTGGGATCGATGACATGCATTAACCAAGTCAACTAGCCTGACCACCCGATCCCGTTAGTTGCTTCTTACAAAAGCATAGTCGCCTTTTATGGCAAGCATGGGTTGCTGAAGACCTATTCTACCACGGATCTTCACGGGTTTATAGAGAATACTATGCTAATTCTCGTTAGATACCATTTCTATGAAACGAGTGGATTTTCTATGGTATCTGAGCGAGCAAAAGCGAGGTCAGATATCATAGAAAGTTCATGAGTTTCGTAAAAATTGTATCTAATGAAAATGAGTATGGTATTTTATTTATTACCCACGTCAAAATATGTATTTAAGGGTAAATATATAAAAACGTTCTTTGTTGACAGATCAAACTGAAACCGGTTGCAAATCTGGTTGTGCATGAATATTGATATATGCCCAAATATGGGCATTGTATATGCATACACATTAACAACATGTTCCTGCTGTTGTCTGTGCAAACATGAGAGCATCAACGCTTAAGATCTTATTTTAAGAACTTATTCAACTTATGGTAATTCAAGCGCATTGTTGTTTGTACACACGACACCTATAAGAAAATCTAAAAAAGTCAATTCGCGCTGTGCTTTGAATATCAGAACAACAGTCGGTCACTCGCACCGGCGGAGTCCCGGCTGTGCAATCAAAATTTTGCGGTTTTCTTGATCTATCAGCTGAATTAATATTCTGTCCGTACCAGTTTGGAAGAGGGAAATCAGAGTGTTTGTCAAAGACATTCATGTTAACTGTACCGCCCTATACTGAAGTTGTGAATATCAACAAACTCAAGTCTGCTTGCAAGTCGAACGAAGGGCAAGGTCACCATCGGAATAAGAAAAGACAACTATGATCTACTCACAGCATTTTCCGCTAGGGAATGTTATTGTTCGCATTTGGGATGTTCTGGGCCCCGTTCCACAAAGCGATCTTAGCGCTATGATTGTCGTAAGTCAGTGTTAAAGAATGGGAGTTACGATCGACTTAGCGCTAAGATCGCTTTGTGGAATGGGGCCCTGGTCTACAAAATCAAAAGTCAGGCACACTCCCATGCATTTTTCAAATGATTTGTATCGGAACTGTTCACTTTTGAGAGTGATCTGGTCATGCAGTGTGTGTATGTTTATTCATGAACAAACATCTCTGGGAAACAGTGCCACAAAATACGCTTCGAAGGGGACACTGATGGCACAACCGGAGCATCCAATGTAAGTCAAGATATATCCAGATAGTTTAAACAGACTTCTTTTCACCACGCTTATCCTTTTACGTTAAATAAAATTTAAGTCGAGAAAGTGGTTGGGTGCGTCACGCTCGATCTATTAATCGGTAGTAGTACATTGCAAATGGATATAGCTCGATTATATAATGTCTGTAGTAGCTCCATGCATAACTAATATGAAATAAAAAGTGAAATTGATGCGTGTGACTGTGTTGTTTGGTTTAATAAAGTGTGTGTCACTGTCTCTCGCTTTCATTGGATTGCTTCAGTTCTGCCTTGTAGTTGCAAATAGAATGATGTCTCATGATTTATTATCAATGAAAAAGTAGTACTGGTGTGACAGAGGTTACGGTTATCCAATCAAAACGAATAAAACGAGGTCAACCTTGTACGACAAATGTGTGACATACAAATTTAGTATCTTACCACCTGTATCTTCACCACGTGGGTAATAAATATATATACATTATAGCACATAAAAAGGATATACATATATCACATTTTAAGGATATACATTATAGCACATATTAAGGATATACATTATAGCACATATTAAGGATATACACAAAAGCACATATTTGGGATATACATTATAGCACATATATAGGATATTTTTTCCATAGTATTAGTCAACCTTAAATCGATACTCACCCATAAAGAATATGGCCACTCCACTTAGAACTCCGTGTTTCTTTCTCCAGTCTGATTGTTTTTTATCTGAAATTGCAAATGATTATCATAACACAAGCTCAAATAACTGATGTTTTTTCAGTTTGTTTTTTGCTGCAGTCAGCAATATTCCAGCTATAACAGATCATAATAATAAATATTCACCAGACATGATCTCCCATGAAAGGATTGTCAGATCTTCACACGGAGAGCTATCGTACAAGAGCGGTAAATAATTCAATCTGGGTTAGGGAGACCAGTGGTTCATAGCAATCAATGTTTCACGCCATAGGGTATGAAGAGCCAAACCGTGAAGATCCAGGGTAGAATAGGTCTTCAGCAACCCATGCTTGTGGTAAGAGGCGATTATGCTCGTCTGAGAGGCGACTAACGGGATCGGGTGGTCAGGCTCACTGACGTGGTTGATGCATGTCATTGCATTCCAATTGTTTGGATCGATGCACATGATGTCAGTCGCTGAATTGTCCGGTCAAGACTTGATTATTTACAGACCGCTGTCATATAGCTGGATTATTGCTAAGTTAGGTGTTGAACAACAAACAAAAATGGGGACTGACATTTAGAACAAGCATGAGTTATTGGCGACCTGTTCTGACACATAATCACAACAAATTTGTTCTGTTTTCACTATGAGTCTTTCATGTCTGCATAGCTAGAAAACACTTATCAGTAAGGAGACTCCACTGTGGGTGTGGCTGTACAGATGGTTTATACTCACGCTGACAGAAGGGCAATGGATGACTCCACTGTAGGTGTGGCTGTACAGATGGTTTATACTCACGCTGACAGAAGGGCAATGGATGACTCCACTGTAGGTGTGGCTGTACAGATGGTTTATACTCACTCTGACAGAAGGGCAATGGATGACTCCACTGTAGGTGTGGCTGTACAGATGGTTTATACTCACTCTGATAGAAGGACAATGGATGACTCCACTGTAGGTGTGGCTGTACAGATGGTTTATACTCACTCTGACAGAAGGGCAATGGATGACTCCACTGTAGGTGTGGCTGTACAGATGGTTTATACTCACTCTGACAGAAGGGCAATGGATGACTCCACTGTAGGTGTGGCTGTACAGATGGTTTATACTCACTCTGACAGAAGGGCAATGGATGACTCCACTGTAGGTGTGGCTGTACAGATGGTTTATACTCACTCTGACAGAAGGGCAATGGATGACTCCACTGTAGGTGTGGCTGTACAGATGGTTTATACTCACTCTGACAGAAGGGCAATGGATGACTCCACTGTAGGTGTGGCAGTACAGATGGTTTATACTCACTCTGACAGAAGGGCAATGGATGACTCCACTGTAGGTGTGGCTGTACAGATGGTTTATACTCACTCTGACAGAAGGGCAATGGATGACTCCACTGGAGGTGTGGCTGTACAGATGGTTTATACTCACTCTGACAGAAGGGCAGTGGATGACTCCACTGTAGGTGTGGCTGTACAGATGGTTTATACTCACTCTGACAGAAGGGCAATGGATGACTCCACTGTAGGTGTGGCTGTACAGATGGTTTATACTCACTCTGATAGAAGGACAATGGATGACTCCACTGTAGGTGTGGCTGTACAGATGGTTTATACTCACTCTGACAGAAGGGCAATGGATGACTCCACTGTAGGTGTGGCTGTACAGATGGTTTATACTCACTCTGACAGAAGGGCAATGGATGACTCCACTGTAGGTGTGGCTGTACAGATGGTTTATACTCACTCTGACAGAAGGGCAATGGATGACTCCACTGGAGGTGTGGCTGTACAGATGGTTTATACTCACTCTGACAGAAGGGCAGTGGATGACTCCACTGTAGGTGTGGCTGTACAGATGGTTTATACTCACTCTGACAGAAGGGCAATGGGTGACTCCACTGTGGGTGTGGCTGTACAGATGGTTTATACTCACTCTGACAGAAGGGCAATGGATGACTCCACTGTAGGTGTGGCTGTACAGATGGTTTATACTCACTCTGACAGAAGGGCAATGGATGACTCCACTGTAGGTGTGGCTGTACAGATGGTTTTTACTCACTCTGACAGAAGGGCAATGGATGACTCCACTGTAGGTGTGGCTGTACAGATGGTTTTTACTCACTCTGACAGAAGGGCAATGGGAGACTCCACTGTAGGTGTGGCTGTACAGATGGTTTATACTCACTCTGACAGAAGGGCAATGGGAGACTCCACTGTAGGTGTGGCTGTACAGATGGTTTTTACTCACTCTGACAGAAGGGCAATGGGTGACTCCACTGTAGGTGTGGCTGTACAGATGGTTTTTACTCACTCTGACAGAAGGGCAATGGGAGACTCCACTGGAGGTGTGGCTGTACAGATGGTTTATACTCACTCTGACAGAAGGGCAATGGATGACTCCACTGGAGGTGTGGCTGTACAGATGGTTTTTACTCACTCTGACAGAAGGGCAATGGGAGACTCCACTGTAGGTGTGGCTGTACAGATGGTTTATACTCACTCTGACAGAAGGGCAATGGATGACTCCACTGTAGGTGTGGCTGTACAGATGGTTTATACTCACTCTGACAGAAGGGCAATGGATGACTCCACTGTAGGTGTGGCTGTACAGATGGTTTATACTCACTCTGACAGAAGGGCAATGGATGACTCCACTGGAGGTGTGGCTGTACAGATGGTTTATACTCACTCTGACAGAAGGGCAATGGATGACTCCACTGTAGGTGTGGCTGTACAGATGGTTTATACTCACTCTGACAGAAGGGCAATGGATGACTCCACTGGAGGTGTGGCTGTACAGATGGTTTATACTCACTCTGACAGAAGGGCAATGGATGACTCCACTGGAGGTGTGGCTGTACAGATGGTTTATACTCACTCTGACAGAAGGGCAATGGGAGACTCCACTGTAGGTGTGGCTCTGCCAGACAGGTAATGTTGTCTGGATCAGATGGCTTGAATCCTCGAGGACACCGCAGTGAGCAAGAACTGTAGACACTGTTGTTGTCACTGCACCTGAGGCTGCCTATCTCTGGCTTCCACTCTGTGCATGCTGAGAAAAAGATATACCAATGATTACTTGAGCAGCAGATATTACAACAATGATATAACACAAAATAGTCAGGGTATGTGGGCTTGTAGATTTTCAACAATTTCAACTTCATTGCCTCCCTTGATCTTTGTGTCCTCACAGATGAAGATTTATTTTTTTGTAAGAATTTTAAATTATTTAAATTTATATTAAAACATAATGCAACAAATAGGCCTGAACAACTTGACAATTCAATAAAATGAGTTTGTATAAAGTTTTGAGAGGGAAAAGGATATGTTTTTATGGGAGAATTGTATAATTTTAGCTGCAGGATTTTAGTAGTTTTACTGCTGAATTTTGACAATTTTACCACAGAAGTCATTTGAGACCGAAAGAACAAATTTAAACTGACAACCAAACATGAGAAGTCGTGACTCCTTGGTGCTGTTGTACAAAACAACCTTGGCGCTACGATTGTCGTAAGGTATGGGAGTTAAGGTATGGGAGTTAAGGTATGGGAGTTACGATCACCTTAGCACTAAGATCACTCTGTACAACAGCACCCTGAACAGCAATTTCTGTGAAACGTCTGCTACATCATCAACCTGAGTTTATTTATACCCAATATACTAAATGGTTGAAATTGGTTTAACATCACTTTTAGCCATGTTGTGGTGGATTCCAGAAAAGGGGTGAGGTGAGGTGAAATGGGGTTTAACGTTGCATCCAAGATTATTGCACTTATATAGCGACGTGCATGTACGTGTGTGTTTGTGGCTGCTTGTACTAGCCCGGACTGATGCCGATTTATAGTGCTAGCTCACCGAGATACCATGCTGCAGTTTACATTAATACCCCACTCAGACACAGTCATTGTTTTAGCCCCTTAATGCCGAGCGCCAGACAGGGTAACAACAAGAACCATCTTTTAACGTCTTTTGGTATGACACGGCGGGGAATCGAACCCTGGACCTTCCGCTCTCCGAGTGGACGCTCTACCACTAGACCACGGAGGCGGTCTCCAGAAAAGGGTTTCACAATGAACCCTTGAGTGAAATTATAACCCACATTTCACATCACTGGAGGTTCCAAAACTATTCCTTTATCATTTTGATAATAAGGTTTGTATAGCTTCAGAATGCATCCCTTGCATCGCTTGCATCCCTCACCTGGCTTGATGAAGTCCATGCCGCTACACTGCACTTTACGCCCATCAGACAGCTGGTCATGGCAACCAGGCTGAATGTAGGCCGCTATTTCCATATAGTCAGGACAGATCCGACACATGTCACACATCTCAGGCCGATTAGGTAGTTCATACAAGCTGGGAAAATATATTCAGGATTCAGGAATTCATTATTACATATATGTGAAAGTAAAGGCATCAAAATGCTTTCTATACTGGTATTCATAAGAAGAGAGTCGACTGTACGATTCTGACCAAATCATGAGCATGTGTTTATGAACCAGAATTGAACCAAATTGGACCAAAATGGTAGCCTATTGGATGACTACATCTTATTTCTTACATTCCCTGCTTGAATTGCCGAATTGTTGGCATTACATTTTCAACATACCAAATGCAAGTTTGTATCTTGAATAATGATGTAAGACGCCATTCTCTGGATATATCCGTCATTTTCCAAATTAAATAGATCTTGGGGGAAAAATCTAAGAGTGTATTTTGTCATCGGTTATTTTGACTAACTGGGGCATTCTTACTGATTCATACCAAAGCATGCATGCACAAGACATAGCTGCAACATAATTAGGTGTGCTATGAGATAAATCCAGCTGGATGTCACTACTGTCAAAGACATGGCAACCACATGTTATCTCTGGTTCAGTGGGTGTGGTCTGTGTTGGTGGCCTGTGTGGGTGTGTCATGAGGTGGGTCTGTGTGGGTGGTGTCATGAGGTCGGTCTGTGATGGTGTCATGAGGTGGGTCTGTGATGGCTAGTGTCATGAGGTGGGTCTGTGTGGGTGGTGTCATGAGGTGGGTCTGTGTGGCTGGTGTCATGAGGTGGGTCTGTGTGGGTGGTGTCATGAGGTGGGTCTGTGTGGGTGGTGTCATGAGGTGGGTCTGTGATGGTGTCATGAGGTGGGTCTGTGATGGCTAGTGTCATGAGGTGGGTCTGTGTGGGTGTGTCATGAGGTGGGTCTGTGATGGTGTTATGTCTGATTCATTGGGTGTGGCCTGTGTGGGTGGCCAGTGTGGGTGGTGTCATGAGGTGGGTCTGTGATGGTGTCATGAGGTGGGTCTGTGATGGCTAGTGTCATGAGGTGGGTCCGTGTGGATAGTGTCATGAGGTGGGTCTGTGTGGCTGGTGTCATGAAGTGGGTCTGTGTGGCTGGTGTCATGAGGTGGGTCTGTGTGGGTGGTGTCATGAGGTGGGTCTGTGATGGTGTCATGAGGTGGGTCTGTGATGGCTAGTGTCATGAGGTGGGTCTGTGTGGGTGTGTCATGAGGTGGGTCTGTGATGGTGTCATGAGGTGGGTCTGTGATGGTGTCATGAGGTGGGTCTGTGATGGCTAGTGTCATGAGGTGGGTCTGTGATGGCTGGTGTCATGAGGTGGGTCTGTGATGGCTGGTGTCATGAGGTGGGTCTGTGTGGGTGGTGTCATGAGGTGGGTCTGTGTGGGTGTGTCATGAGGTGGGTCTGTGATGGTGTTATCTCTGATTCATTGGGTGTGGCCTGTGTGGGTGGTCTGTGTGGGTGGTGTCATGAGGTGGGTCTGTGATGGCTAGTGTCATGAGGTGGGTCCGTGTGGATGGTGTCATGAGGTGGGTCTGTGTGGCTGGTGTCATGAGGTGGGTCTGTGTGGCTGGTGTCATGAGGTGGGTCTGTGTGGGTGGTGTCATGAGGTGGGTCTGTGATGGTGTCATGAGGTGGGTCTGTGATGGCTAGTGTCATGAGGTGGGTCTGTGTGGGTGTGTCATGAGCTGGGTCTGTGATGGTGTCATGAGGTGGGTCTGTGATGGTGTCATGAGGTGGGTCTGTGATGGCTAGTGTCATGAGGTGGGTCTGTGATGGCTGGTGTCATGAGGTGGGTCTGTGATGGCTGGTGTCATGAGGTGGGTCTGTGTGGGTGGTGTCATGAGGTGGGTCTGTGTGGGTGTGTCATGAGGTGGGTCTGTGATGGTGTTATCTCTGATTCATTGGGTGTGGCCTGTGTGGGTGGTCTGTGTGGGTGGTGTCATGAGGTGGGTCTGTGTGGGTGGTGTCATAACGTGGGTCTGTGATGTGATGGTGTCATGTGGTGGGTCTGTGATGGTTGGTGTCATGAGGTGGGTCTGTGATGGCTGGTGTCATGAGGTGGGTCTGTGATGGTGTCATAAGGTGGGTCTGTGATGGTGTCATGTGGTGGGTCTGTGATGGTGTCATAAGGTGGGTCTGTGATGTGATGGTGTCATGTGGTGGGTCTGTGTGGCTGGTGTCATGAGGTGGGTCTGTGATGGTGTCATAAGGTGGGTCTGTGATGTGATGGTGTCATGTGGTGGGTCTGTGATGTGATGGTGTCATGTGGTGGGTCTGTGATGGCTGGTGTCATGAGGTGGGTCTGTGATGGTGTCATAAGGTGGGTCTGTGATGGTGTCATAAGGTGGGTCTGTGATGGTGTCATGAGGTGGGTCTGTGATGGTGTCATGTGGTGGGTCTGTGTGGCTGGTGTCATGAGGTGGGTCTGTGATGGTGTCATAAGGTGGGTCTGTGATGGTGTCATGAGGTGGGTCTGTGATGGTGTCATGAGGTGGGTCTGTGATGGTGTCATGTGGTGGGTCTGTGATGGCTGGTGTCATGAGGTGGGTCTGTGATGGTGTCATAAGGTGGGTCTGTGATGTGATGGTGTCATGTGGTGGGTCTGTGTGGCTGGTGTCATGAGGTGGGTCTGTGATGGCTGGTGTCATGAGGTGGGTCTGTGATGGTGTCATAAGGTGGGTCTGTGATGGTGTCATAAGGTGGGTCTGTGATGTGATGGTGTCATGTGGTGGGTCTGTGATGGCTGGTGTCATGAGGTGGGTCTGTGATGGTGTCATAAGGTGGGTCTGTGATGGTGTCATGAGGTGGGTCTGTGATGGTGTCATGTGGTGGGTCTGTGATGGCTGGTGTCATGAGGTGGGTCTGTGATGGTGTCATAAGGTGGGTCTGTGATGGTGTCATGAGGTGGGTCTGTGATGGTGTCATGTGGTGGGTCTGTGTGGCTGGTGTCATGAGGTGGGTCTGTGATGGCTGGTGTCATGAGGTGGGTCTGTGATGGTGTCATAAGGTGGGTCTGTGATGGTGTCATAAGGTGGGTCTGTGATGTGATGGTGTCATGTGGTGGGTCTGTGTGGCTGGTGTCATGAGGTGGGTCTGTGATGGCTGGTGTCATGAGGTGGGTCTGTGATGGTGTCATGAGGTGGGTCTGTGATGGTGTCATAAGGTGGGTCTGTGATGTGATGGTGTCATGTGGTGGGTCTGTGTGGCTGGTGTCATGAGGTGGGTCTGTGATGGCTGGTGTCATGAGGTGGGTCTGTGTGGCTGGTGTCATGAGGTGGGTCTGTGATGTGATGGTGTCATAAGGTGGGTCTGTGATGTGATGGTGTCATGTGGTGGGTCTGTGTGGCTGGTGTCATGAGGTGGGTCTGTGTGGCTGGTGTCATGAGGTGGGTCTGTGATGGTGTCATAAGGTGGGTCTGTGATGTGATGGTGTCATAAGGTGGGTCTGTGATGTGATGGTGTCATGTGGTGGGTCTGTGTGGTTGGTGTCATGAGGTGGGTCTGTGTGGGTGTGTCATGAGGTGGGTCTGTGATGGTGTCATGAGGTGGGTCTGTGATGGCTAGTGTCATGAGGTGGGTCTGTGTGGGTGTGTCATGAGGTGGGTCTGTGATGGTGTTATCTCTGATTCATTGGGTGTGGCCTGTGTGGGTGGCCTGTGTGAGTGGTGTCATGAGGTGGGTCTGTGTGGTTGGTGTCATGAGGTGGGTCTGTGTGGGTGTGTCATGAGGTGGGTCTGTGATGGTGTCATGAGGTGGGTCTGTGATGGCTAGTGTCATGAGGTGGGTCTGTGATGGCTAGTGTCATGAGGTGGGTCTGTGATGGCTAGTGTCATGAGGTGGGTCTGTGATGGTGTCATAAGGTGGGTCTGTGATGTGATGGTGTCATGTGGTGGGTCTGTGATGGCTAGTGTCATGAGGTGGGTCTGTGATGGTGTCATAAGGTGGGTCTGTGATGGCTAGTGTCATGTGGTGGGTCTGTGATGGCTAGTGTCATGAGGTGGGTCTGTGATGGTGTCATGAGGTGGGTCTGTGATGGCTGGTGTCATGAGGTGGGTCTGTGTGGCTGGTGTCATGAGGTGGGTCTGTGTGGCTGGTGTAATGAGGTGGGTCTGTGATGGTTGGTGTCATGAGGTGGGTCTGTGTGGCTGGTGTAATGAGGTGGGTCTGTGATGGTTGGTGTCATGAGGTGGGTCTGTGATGATGTCATGAGGTGGGTCTGTGATGGTGTAATGAGGTGGGTCTGTGATGGTGTCATGTGGTGGGTCTATGATGGTGTCATGTGGTGGGTCTATGATGGTTGGTGTCATGAGGTGGGTCTGTGATGGTTGGTGTCATGAGGTGGGTCTGTGATGGTGTCATGAGATGGGTCTGTGATGATCTCATGAGGTGGGTCTATGATTGTGTCATGTGGTGGGTCTATGATGGTTGGTGTCATGTGGTGGGTCTGTGATGGTTGGTGTCATGTGGTGGGTCTATGATGGTGTCATGTGGTGGGTCTGTGATGGTGTCATGAGGTGGGTCTGTGATGGTTGGTGTCATATGATGGGTCTGTGATGATGTCATGAGGTGGGTCTATGATGGTGTCATGTGGTGGGTCTGTGATGGTGTCATGAGAAGGATCTGTGATGGGTGGTGTCATGAGGTGGGTCTGTGATGGTGTCATGATGTGGGTCTGTGATGGGTGGTGTCATGAGATGGGTCTGTGATGGGTGGTGTCATGATGTGGGTCTGTGATGGGTGGTGTCATGAGGTGGGTCTGTGATGTGGTGGTGTCATGAGGTGTGTCTGGATGTGATGGTGTCATGTGGTGGGTCTATGATGTGATGGTGTCATGAGTAGGGTCTATGATGTGATGGTGTCTTTAGGCGGGTCTTTGATGGTGTTATGAAGTGGATGGGTAATGGTGTCGTGAGGAGAAATACTGTTCTGTGTTAAGCTAATTCACTCACTCACTCAATGTTACTCAAACAATTGCAAGCTTCAGTTCCACTTCAACTATACTTACTATTTTGAGCAGTGTCCTTCAACGATCTGCAAAATATCAGAAATATTATCTTTAAAAAGGTTGCTCAAGGAGAGAAAAAACAATCATATAATGGGTCATATTGCCTCTCTGAAGTACCAAGTATATCCATCATATTGCCTTCCTAAGGTACCCAGCATATCCATCATAGTGCCTCCCTAAGGTACACAACATACCTTGATATTGCCTCCGTAAGGTACACAGCATATCCATCATAGTGCTTCCCTAAGGTACCCAGCATATCCATCATAGTGCCTCCCTAAGGTACACAGCATATCGATCATAGTGCCTCCGTAAGGTACACAGCATATCCATCCTATTGCCTCCCTCCGGTACCCAGCATATCCATCATAGTGCCTCCCTAATGAACCCAGTATATCCATCATAGTGCCTCCCTAATGTACAGAGCATATCCATCATAGTGCCTCCCTAATGTACCCAGCATATCCATCATAGTGCCTCCCTAATGTACAGAGCATATCCATCATAGTGCCTCCCTAAGGTACAGAGCATATCCACCATAGTGCCTCCCTAAGGTACACAGCATATCCATCATATTGCCTCCCTAAGGTACACAGCATATCCATCATATTGCCTCCCTAAGGTGCCCAGTATATCTATAATATTGCCTCCCTAAGGTACCCAGTATATCCATCATATTGCCTGCCTAAGGTACCCAGTATATCCATCATATTGCTTCCCTAAGGTACCCAGTATATCCATCATATTGCCTCCCTAAGGTACCCAGTATATCCATCATATTGCCTGCCTAAGGTACCCAGTATATCCATCATATTGCTTCCCTAAGGTACCCAGTATATCCATCATAGTGCCTCCCTAAGGTACCTGGTTCATCCATCATATTGCTTCCCTAAGGTACCCAGTATATCCATCATAGTGCCTCCCTAAGGTACCTGGTTCATCCATCATATTGCTTCCCTAAGGTATCCAGTATTGCGTAACATCTCAATATTTGGAGCCCTGATGAAGGGTTGGTCAGGTAGCCAAGTGGTTAAAGCGTTTGCTCATCACGCCGAAGACCCGGGTTTGATTCCCAACATTGGTACAATGTGTAAAGCCCATTTCTGGTGTCCCCCCACCTGGAATATTGCTAAAAGTGGCATAAAACCATACTCACTCACTCACTCACTCACTCTCTCTCAATGAACATTATCATAACGTTCACGTCAGGTGTGTCACAAGGACCTCCAGGCTCTCATCCGTTATAAACACTGTTTGTTTATTAAACATAAAATTAGTATTGAATCACTGCAAACTGAATTAATTGCTGAGTAAGGCGAATTAATAAACATATCACTGTTAATATAACAGTAAACATTATGAACCAATCTTATCTGAACAAATTTAATGACATTTCTATATAAAAGATCATCTACCTTTCCGAAACTTAACAGAAGAAGTATAATAATGCCAGAAAATTCTGCCATCCGGAACCATGTTGACTTCATCGTCCCAGGGGCACCCGTGGACCGTCATGTAGCCTGGAAATATATAGGTTGTCAGATGACTGTGTGAGATGAGATGCAGATGAAGCATTGGCCCTATGTCTAACACCTCGGAGGTTCTGGGGCAGAATTGGTACCAATTATAGACAGAGTGAACTAAGCAGTACTCCGTGGTCAGGTGTGTCAACTAGGGATTGCATGTCATCGTAACACTACGGCATGGATCGTTGTTCATGCTATCAACCACTGGTGTGCCCGGACTAATTATTCTCACACCCCCATGATGTATCTATATCTGTACAAAATAGGATGTACAATATTATATTTTAGGGTAAATAAACACGCTCAGCATTTTTCATAAAATACAATCATCTTTCAAATTTGAAGTTTCCATCTATTAAGGGGCCAGTCACTATCACAGAAGGAGGATTATGGATGAGTATCCCAGAAATGTTAATAAAGTGTTCTGTGTAACCGAAAAATGTTATAAGGGACCAACCTGACCATTTCATATTTTGTTCGGGGCGAGGATTTTGTCTGGAGATTAGATGTTTTAGACCAGATATTTTATTAATTAAAACGATTTAAAGCAAGAAGAACACCTTCATACAATTAATTTGGGGTGACAGATAATTTCTTTTCTTTCCATAGTCTGAGGCATAATTATTTTTTACAAGAATTTTCTGAGACATTTTCTTTTCTTTAATAAAATCCAAGCCCACCCGAATATCAAATGGTCGGTCCCTAAAACTTTCATGGGTATCACAAAAATGTTATAAATTCATTATGGGTATCAGAAAATGTTATAAAATCATTATGGGTATTAGAAAATGTTATAAAATCATTATGGGTTTCAGAAAATGTTATAAAATCATAATTGGTATCAGAAAATGTTATAAAATCATTATGGGTATCAGAAAATGTTATACAATCATTATGGGTATTAGAAAATGTTATAAAATCATTATGGGTTTCAGAAAATGTTATAAAATCATAATGGGTATCAGAAAATGTTATAAAATCATTATGGGTATCAGAAAATGTTATAAAATCATTATGGGTATCACAAAAATGTTAGAACTTAAAAAAACACTGACACTGTTGAATACAGAAATACTGAGGATATTCATCTCATTTCTTAACAAACAACATTAGTAATTTCATGAAGGCCAGACTCATGGATAAAATGTCAGCAGTCTTGATCACTGGCACAAGTACATGAGAGAGAATCTAAGGCAACATTTTTAACACCCCTCCCCTGCCACATCCTCCCAAAACAGCCCAACCACTCCCCATATCCATAACTCAAAGGTAGCAAAAAAACGAAGAAAATAACACTGTTAAAATAATATAAAAAAAATATATAAAAAATTAAATATAAAAAATATATACATATCTAGCCCCAAGGCTTGTTGAACAAACTTCGAAGTGACCTTCACCTTTCCTTAACAGTTTGTCAAGCCTGATGGATTAATTATCACAAGTCTAAACATATCAATTAATTCATGCAGTCCCTGAGGAATACATCCACTGGCCACCTCCACCTATCTGTCACCTACAAGTTGCCATGTTTCTAATCATACAATGTATGGGGAACCCAAAAAAGTTATATAACTGTACGGATAACCCAAAATGTTATAAAACTGTATGGATGTCCCAAAAATGTTATACACCTGTATGGGTAACCCAAAATGTTATATAACTGTATGTGTGTCCCAAAAATGTTATATAACTGTATGGGTGTCCCATAAATGTTATATAACTGTATGTGTGTCCCAAAAATGTTATATAACTGTATGGGTGTCCCATAAATGTTATATAACTGTATGGGTAACCCAAAAATGTTATATACCTGTATGGGTGTCCCATAAATGTTATATAACTGTTTGGGTAACCCAAAAATGTTATATACCTGTATGGATGTCCCAAAAATGTTATATACCTGTATGGATAACCCAAAATGTTATATAACTGTATGGGTGTCCCATAAATGTTATATAACTGTTTGGGTAACCCAAAAATGTTATATACCTGTATGGATGTCCCAAAAATGTTATATACCTGTATGGATAACCCAAAATGTTATATAACTGTATGGGTGTCCCATAAATGTTATATACCTGTATGGGTGTCCCAAAAATGTTACATACCTGTATGGATAACCCAAAATGTTATATACCTGTATGGGTGTCCCATAAATGTTATATAACTGTTTGGGTAACCCAAAAATGTTATATACCTGTATGGATGTCCCAAAAATGTTATATACCTGTATGGATAACCCAAAATGTTATATAACTGTATGGGTGTCCCATAAATGTTATATAACTGTATGGGTAACCCAAAAATGTTATATACCTGTATGGGTGTCCCAAAAATGTTATATAACAGTATTGGTGTCCCAAAAATGTTATATAACTGTATGGGTAACCCAAAAATGTTATATAACTGTATGTGTGTCCAAAAAATGTTATATAACTGTCTTGGTATCCCAAAAATGTTTTAAAATCATTGTGGAATCCCTAAAATGTCATAAAATAGTTATGGTTATGGGTTAACCACAAAATGCTATAACTTAAAATACAATGATACTGTTGAATACAGAAATACTGAGGATATTCATCTCATTTCTTAACAAACAACATCAGTAATTTCATGAAGGCCAGACTCATGGATAAAATGTCAGCAGTCTTGATCACTGGCACAAGTACATGAGAGAAAATCTAAGGCAACATTTTTAACACCCCTCCCCTGCCACATCCTCCCAAAACAGCCCAACCACTCCCCATATCCATAACTCAAAGGTAGCAAAAAAACAAAGAAAATAACATTGTTATAAATAATAAATAAAAAATATATAAAAAATTAAATATTAAAAATATATACATATCTAGCCCCAAGGCATGTTGAACGAACTTCACCTTTCCTTAACAGTATTTGTCAAGCCTGATTGATTAATTATCACACCAACTCCATGTTTAAACACATCAATTAATACATGCAGTCCCTTTGGAATACATCCACTGGCCAACTCCACCTACCTGTCACCTACAAGTCGCCATGTTTCTAATCATACTACATTCCTAACAATATGAAGACATAACAGGAAATTACAAATTGCGAAAACGATGAGCTGCATTTAACTAGGTCAGCTTACTGCGTATGTAATCTTAAAAATACACAACAATCACTCGGCCATTGGAGTTACCCAATATGCTAAATATAGCACCTTGTCATGTGACGTAGTTCAAGAGGCATCCAACAACTTCCCCTTGAAGTGAACAGCCAGCTGTACAGCTATTGGCGGTGATTCAACAATAAACACATTTGATAAACATATGATTCATCTGTCAGCATGGATGTATGTAGGATTATAAACAGGGTGGCCTTGGCAGGCAAATTGTTGTTTAAACATATTTATGTTCGGAAAAAAGTGAAAATGGATTGGTAAACAAGCGAAGCGCTTATGTCAATACCGCTCCATTACACATGAGACATGATACAATGAATACATGAATGAAGGTTAGAGGTAACAAATGAATTGTACATGCCATGCTATATGTATATATAACACAAGGCAAATTGTAGTCTGTCTTAGACACTGAAACAAATATATCCAAAACAGCCTATGCAAGTCTATAATGTTTGGCAAGTCTAGATGACTGTAGTATCTGAAAATGATGAAAATCGTTGGGCTCCTTTTTGTTAAATTTTATTCAGATAATTTAACAACTGTTTTTTCTGTAAAATATGTTCATTTCAGAGACTAGATGTTAGTCAAGGCAAATTGGGAAACTTGTTTTCTGGTCAATATTTTGTGTTTAAGTTCTAATTTGCTTAATTTCAGAGGTATTTAACATGTCTTCAACTCAATTTTGTAGAATTAAACCTCCTCCTATTGTTAGGCCTGTTTTCAGTGGAATACAGGTCACTTTGACCCAGCCATAACAATAGTCATAACTATGTTACAATGTTTCCGGTTTTGACCCACAGGAATGTCAAATCTTAAAATAAAAGTAAACATTGAAATACTGGTATGAAAATTATTAGACACCTTCAAACGGTTCATATGTAAGCTTTTTATTATTTTTACTTTCAAGTTTTGGACTTCTGGCTTGATGAAATAAACGTGGGCGTGAAACAAGTGAAAGGGTCATTTTTTAACTTCAAAGGAAATCTAAGACTAAGAGCAACTCTGTGACCCACAATTCAACAGATCTACATAAAAAAAAATCAGCTTGGGTCAAAGATGTCCTCATGTTCAAATATTTAAAAAAGGCTTTGTTATTCTCAAATAAGCCAAATTGGAACTTTTCAGCCTTACTTCTTCATTTAGAGACACCTGAAAGGGGCACTGATCTAACGCAGTTCCCCGGGACTGGTTGTTGCCTTTGTTATTGTTTTTCCCCGTAAGTACCCGGATGATATAGCAGAAACCTAGATTAGTTCGCGACCTGTGCTGCACAATTCGTAAGCGCATTTGTCACTTTTATTGATAGTATAAGGGCGTATGGTCACATTCATCAACAAAAAGAAATAGAGTTTTGGAAATAATAAGGAAATGTAGGTATCTTTGTGGGTAGCATCAGTAATGGTGACGAAGTTTTGATAAGTCACTTGCTTGGTAATTGTGTGATTTTCGTTTAAACTATTTTGACGGGCAACACAAAGTAAATATTTCTCCTGAGCATTGCTTATTGTATCACGTTTATATTTTTACAGTCAAAATGTGCAAAATTTTCACTTAGGAAATTTATTAAATGCCTCAATATTCAGTTATTCTACAAATTGACTGAAAAATATGTCCATCTGTATTATTATGACAACGAATTCCAAACATTTTTATGTTTAATATCATCACCAAAAAAATCCATTGAGTTAGGTAACAATGAGCAATCAATTAATGTATTATCGGTTAACCCTTTGAACAAAGTATGTTGTTTTTACATCGGCACTTCACACCATGATATGAGTGTATTCCCTTTGTTTTAGTAAATCTAGACAAGTAAACACTCACTTTTGACATATCCTCTGTGCAAGATAACAGTGATTAATCAATCAATGTATTTTCTGTTAGTCCTTTGATGACTAGGAATGATCCGTTGATTTACAAAAATGTAAATCAACAGATCATTCATCTCTTGCTGGGCTGCCACGTGCATATTACATAACACACATTTCACCACACTTCAAACCTGGATTTAGATTGAATAATTACCCCAGACACACTAAATGCCAATTGGGAACCTTTGTCAGGTAATCTGGATGGTGCTACCACTAATTATACCTGTAATAAGTTCATTAACTGAGCATCAAGTGAATGACGACAAATACACAAGTGTTGGGTTATACCAGAAAACGTGGATGACAACAAGGGAGTAGTAATCATATTATCGACGCAATCGGAAATCCGAAAATGCTTTCACTACATGGATACTTTTTATTATTATTAAACTATAACAATCATGGGTATTTCCAAATGACGACATCCGATGGGCTCTGCCGTTCTTTTTGTCTGTTTCTTTAGACTGAATTAATTAAGTAATATGCGCCCTTTGTCGAAATTTTTATAGATCACGGTTAACCAATCAGTGTTCAAACATGAGTAAAACAAATATTGGCAGCTCATCACTGAAATCGGTCTCGGTTCAAAATACATAGGCTTGTGTGAACACTGTGAAGCCGTCTAGAACTGCGCCAGTCCTGTAACCATGGCAATACATTTCTCATAAAATCATACAGTACCTGACAGTGTGCTTCCTAATGACTGTCAACGTTCTTGTTTAAACATGCTACAGATAGCTACATCTTCGTCAAAAAGCGAGTCAACTAATACGACAAACTCCTCACTCTACGACATACTTAATGCTAGTGCTGAGGGCTCGGTTTTTGATGTATGGAGTTTAGTCATTACATCACAGGGAATTCCCCGATCATTTCCGAATGCTTTTCAAATTGGTTTGACCCCCCCAACATCACATCACGCTAGTTCGTCCCCACTGAACTTTCGGTATCGGTTGGAACGACTTGGAATAATGTTACTAGGAGTGCCAAGTTGCTAGTCCCCTAGAGAAACTATTTATTTTGTTTATTTTACCAAAGGTGGATAATTCAGTTTTAAGTAGTCTGTTTCCCTTATGTAAGACACATTGTTTATAAAGTGTAGGCCTATTAGTAATTAGTTATAACTTCAAATGTAACCTTCACTTTGTAGTGGTAATCGTCAACGCGAGATAATGTTTCAGCTACAGCCGCCAAATGAGCCAAAATATATTTTCCCAAAAAACACATTACAACAATGTTATGATCGTGGCAGAAAAAAATACATGACTCTGGAGGGTCTTGATGTGCCCATCGCCTTAAATCAAATGTCTTAATTGAGAAACAAAGCAATATGCCCATCAATGTGCTTGGCTATGATGAAAATGATGGTGAATTTCACTTGTAAAGCTTTTGATTTACTGCCGAGATAATTTGCTGTTGCTGAGTTAGGTGAGGTGAGGTGAGGTGAGGTGAGGTGAGGTGAGGTGAGGTGAGGTGAAATGGGATTTAACATCGCGTCAAAGATTATTGCATTTATATAGCGAGTGTGTATGTGTGGTTGCTTGTATACTAGCCCGGATTTATGTCGAAATTATAGTGCCAGAACACTGAGATACCATGCCGCAGTTTAACATGAATACCCCACTCAGACAGTAGAGTGACTCCGAGCCGACCAGTCCTTGTTTCAGCCCCTTAATGCTGAGCGACAGGCAGGGTAACAACAAATACCATCTCTTAATGTCTTTTGGTATGACGCGGTCGGGGATCGAACCCCGGACCTTCCGCTCTTCGGGTGGACGCTCTACCACAATACCACTGAGGCGGTCTTGCTGTAAAGAAGAGAGAAGAGGCAATTCTGTCGCATTAGAGATTTCAGTAGGCTGATGGGTGAAGCATCATGGAGCTTCCTTTTAGTGTAAGAGTTTATAAGGCAAGACTTACAGGATGATTACCGACCTTACTGTACTCCCCATGGTATTTAGAAGGTGAGTTTACCTGACGCTGATGGTGTATGGTTGGTGGATGGTAACAACTTTCAATCTTACATGTAACCGTGGCGGCATTGGCGGCCTAGTCGTCTAAAGCGTCGTAGTTCCTTGTGCAGAGTTGCGTCCCTTGGGCACACCAGAAACATATGATTGTGGGTTCGATTCGCGGTTCTCCCCGATTATGTTTCTAGGTTGTCCGCACCATACCCGTGCTCGCGGGTTTCACCAAAGAGGTTAACGTTTGAGACCTGCATGACTTCGGGCTTTCCTCCCGCATTAAGCTGACACGCCGTGATATAACTGGAATGCTGCAATATTCCAGCTGTATGACGGCGGTCTGTAAATAATCCACCCGATCCCGTTGGACGCCTCTTAAGACAAGCATTTTCGCCTCTTAAGACAAGCATGGGTTGCTGAAAACCTATTCTAACCCAGATCTTTACGGGTGCAATGCCAAGAATGCTGCTCTGTGAACTCACCAGCAGTCTATACTCCCCCAATAAGACACAAACGCTGGTTTTCAAGCCACCAATTCTGTGACGTCCACAATGCTCACAGTTCATCAAACGTAACAGAGGATTCTCAGCGTGTGTCAGTTGCACCACTGTCTCAGTTATTTCACGGCAGTCGTAAAGCCTGGTACTGTGTGTGTTTACTATTGGCCTGCATGACTGCATGACACCTCCTGCCAATTGCTGCAGATTATGTGTCCCAGGTTGACATTGACGTAAACGCCTATCTTGCTAATCCCTCATGTGCTGCATTGGGTTGAGATCCGTTGACTTTGAAGGCAATGGCAGTACGTTCATATTTTGAGCTTTTGGGAGATATATAGACCTTCGACGTCGGGTACTGTTTGTTTATTTGTTTGTTTAACGCCGCACTCGACAATATTCCAGCTATATGACGTCAGTCTGTAAATAATCAAATCTGGACCAAACAATCTAGTGATTGACATCATGAGCATCGATCCATGCAATTGGTATACGATGACATGTATCAACCAAGTCAACGAGTCTGGCCACCCGATCCCGTTAGTCGCCTTTTACGACACGCCATCAACGTAGTCACCACCCGGTCCATTTAGTCGCATCTTACGACCAGCGTAGTTTGCTGGGGGCCAATTGTTATCCGGGGACAGACAAGTACACCATACAAGGGTTCATGTAAGGCGTCTCTGTGTAGAGACGGTGCGTGAGTGAGTGAGGATGGGGTCAAATCACGGTTGTCATATATTTGCAGGTGGAGACGAGTATTTTTTACTACTCAACATTGCCCAAGACCCAAATAAAGGGAGCACGACCAAAGATAAGCAATGTGGCGAATCTGGAATTCCACAACAAGCGGGACCTGACGGATAAGGGACACGGCGAGACACAGTGAGTTGCGGGGTCATAGGCCATATAGGTCCTCGTGCCTCATCTATCGACAGAAAACCCCTTTTGTCATGTTTTGCCACCTTAGGCTACTGGGAAGCCTGTGCATCCGGGGTAGAATAGGTTTTCAGGAACCCATGCTTGCCGTAAGAGGCGACTATGCTTGTCGTAAGAGGCGACTAATGGGTCCGGGTGGTCAGGCTCACTGACTTTGTTGATGCATGTCATCGTATCCCAATTGCGAGGATCGATGCTCATGATGTCAATCACTGGATTGTCTGGTCCAGTCTCGATTATTTACAGACGGCCATCATATGGCTTGAATATTGCAGATTGCGGCGTTAAACAACAAACAAACAAACATGTATAGCATGGAACAACATCACACACCTGCTGATACTGTCGGTAGTAGGAAGATAAACAGTTCTGAAAGTATTTATTCTCGTGTTGTATAATACACGGTATCCACAGAGATCTATTGGATTTATTTTCTTATAGATTCTATACAAAATACATGAATGGTTAAAATAATTAAGCATATGTACCTTTGATGCGATTTATGTTTACTTATTCGTGTAAGAGTCAGTGAGTGTGTTGAGTTGGCTTTAGAAAAAAGTATTTATCACAGAACGCCATTTAAATGTGGCAGTACATGAGTGGATATGGTTTTACGCCGCTTTTAGCAATATTCCAGCAATATCACGGCGGGGGACACCAGAAATGAGCTTCACATGTACCCACGTCGGGATTCGAACATGACGGCGTGACGAGCGAACGCTTTAACCACTGGGCTACCCGACCGCCCCCATTTTGTGGTATAGTAAACATGGTAAAGTCCAATGTGATTTACACAAGAACATGTAGTTGAGAAGAGCTCTTAAAATGAAACGTTGTTAAATCAAGCCTGGGGGTAAATGTGTCAAGTTTGGAGTAGGGCTCCATTATTCCACTGTTGGTGTTAAATCACCGTACTCCCTGATTAGAGTGCCGTTTCGTTTTCTTCTTCACCCGTCCTCGACGACGCTCTCCAGAAGCAGACCTGCTCTGACCTCTGCCCAGCAAGGTCCTGTTGACCACAACGTCAGAGTCGTAGTCACTGGACATGGCTGACCGCGGGGACGACCCATCACTGTCGCTACCTGCATCCCCTCTACTACTCATCAGACGCTGGAGACCTCGAGGGTTGAGGGCATCTGGAGCTCGACACAAATCGGCCTGGGGAGCCCTGCCACGATGGTCTGAAACGTTCTCAGCACTGCCGCAATGGCGTGATACATTCTCAGCCCTATCCGTATCTGTTCCGCCCTCTGCTATACCTCTGTCCATGCGCTGGGCGAGTCGTGTAGGTACTATAGTAGCATTCAAACTAGATATCATTACCGACTCTGGTTGGACACAAGAAAGACCACCGTCATCTGAATCGTAGCTTCCAACATCTGAAGATCGTGTTAGGCTCATCAGCGTCTTGTTAGCTGGTACTACTAGCGGTTCGGAGGCTCCCTGGCTACCTTCTCCTTGGTGCTTCTCGTCCTTCTCTTGAATCGATACGGGAGGAGAGGGTTGAGTCACTGAAGTTTCTTCACGTTCAAAGCCGTTATTGTCAGCTAACGATGTTCTCTTTTCTACAGAATTACCCGAATTCTCAGTTCCGCATTCGTGATTTGAGGCATCTGTGAGGTCATGTCCACTGTCAGAAATCCCATTAGCTTTAGAGTCTTTTGGAAGCTTATTCACTGGGCTTGGATGAGATCGTTCTACAACGTCTATCTCAACTGTGTATGTTTCCCGTACTGGAGGTTCGTCACGTGCATTATTCTGACCAATCGTGGCTTCATTTGAATCCAATCCACCGCCTATACCGTAATGAATGAGACACTGGCTGCAAGACACCATAGGAACTTCATCATCGAAGGTACGTGCTCTACCCCTAGCGTCGTTATTAGATCCTGGTTCATGCGTAATGACAAACTCGACCTGCTTAGATTTCTGGGTGTACGGGGGGATTTCTTTACCATCTTTCATTTTCAAATCGGAATTTTTACAATGACACATTTGACTGAGGAAACTTAAGGTTTCAGATTTTTTGGGTAACTGTTTACGTTTGTGAAGTGTACAAAATATCGCAAGTATGATGATGATTAATATAATACAGACAATGATTATAATTATAGCGACGTTAGGGGGTATAGGGACGCTGTAAGACTCGTCATAAAGAAATGGCGCAGACGAAATCATGTGCACTGTAGGTATCGTTGGAGGCGATGCTGGTAAGGATGTCGTAGCAGATTTTCGGTTCTTGGCTTGCGTCCCTTAAAATGAAATGTAACACAATGTGAACAAATGAAATCGATAAAGTTTGTTCTTGTTTAACGCCGTACTCAGCAATATTCCAGCTAAATGACGGCGGTCTGTTAATAATCGAGTCTGTGCCATACAATCCTGTGACTGACATCATGACCATCGATCTACGCAATTGGAATACGATGACATGCATCACCCAAGTCAGCGAGCCTGACCACCCGATCCTGTTAGCCGCCTTTTACGACAAACATAGTCGCCTTTTACAAGCATAGTCGCCTTATACGGCAAGCATGGGTTGCTGAAGACCTATTCTACCCCGGATCTTTACGGGTCGAAATCGATAAAAGTAAAAAAGGTACATATATTTTGTCGTGAAGAGATCGTAACACTCGTCTCCTCCATGCCAAAAGACGCCACTTTAATGGTTTAGTTGAGTGACCCACCCCACCCCTACTACTGCCGTAACACCCTTTTGCATAGACATACGACAGTCGTACCTCTAAGAGTTCGGAAACGGCATCTGGCTTGTCATTATTTCAATACGGACCTGTTTATCAGTATACTTCAATATGTCATTGATGATCATCATAGTGCAAACTACGTCACGCAAAAGGCGCAAAAGATACAAGGAAGAGAACAGAATAAATTTTGCACTTCCACTGTGTGAGGGTTGTTCCTAGATTGACGTTTAGTCCCAGAAATAAATTTATCTTATTTAATAACATATACATTGTATCTACAAAATAGTGGGTGACTATGGTTTTCCGCCGCATTTTAGCAATATTCCAGCAATATCACGGAGGGGGGGACACCTGAAATTGGCTTCACATATATAATTTTGTTTGTTTGTTTATTTGTTGTTTAACGCCGCACTCAGCAATATTCCAGCTATATGACGGCGGTCTGTAAATAATCGAGTCTGGTCCAGACAATCCAGTGATTGACATCATGAGCATCGATCCACGCAATAGGGATCGATGACATGCATCAACCAAGTCAGCGAGCCTGACCACCCGATCACGTTAGTCTTGCCAAATCATTCTAGACTTGGGTCAGACCCCTTTCTAATTAGTTTCACAAGTGTCTGTGAGACAGGCTAAGTTGCGCCCGTTTACAGGTGTTACACAGTTCTTACCATAAGACTTCAAAGGCCACCCTCCAAGTAGAGGCATACACGTCATGGTGGGGTCCCGGCTCTTGGTGAGGCACTCGTCCACCACCACAGTGGCCCCCGGGTGGTCGGGGTAGCAGTAGGAACACTTGATGCACGTGCTGGGCAGGTTCGGGTGGCGGTAGTAGCCTGTGGATGGAAAGCATGTACAGATGCAAGGGTTTTTTAATCAGCCCGAAAAACATAATATTTGTTTACTGGCAAAACGTGTTTAGTGTTCAGAGAAAACAAATTGCATGTTATGAAGCCCTAACAAAAGCGCTTCACCATGGGAGAAGGGGTACTGGGGCTTTAGTAATACCTTCGGTTAACCTTAAATAGTGTGTGGGTGAGTATGGTATTACGCCGCTTTTAGCAATATTCCAGCAATACTACGGCGGGGGACACCAGAAATGGGCTTCACACATGGTACCCATATGGGAAATCGAACCCGGGTCTTTGGCGTGACGAACGAAAGCTTTAACCACTAGGCTACCCCACCGCCCCTAACCTTAAACATGACATGGCAGATAACATTCATGGTCATATGGCATTACTAAGTATTTTGACAGGATCTCCCTTTGTCGCACCTGAAAACGTAAATACACGACACTAAATACTACTTTCTTAAATACCGCGAGTCAGTTGGGCAATACACGGCGCTTTGAAGCTGTATTTCAGTAACACTACGGCGTGTCAGGTCAGGAAAGAAAGGAGGAAAGTCTGAGGTGATGCAGGTCTCAAACGTTTATCACTGTGATGATCACAAACAGCACAGCTATAGGTTACACACATTCAACTGTTTTCCCATATACTTCTATAGTTATATTTGTTTTTAAAATAATTAAGCATTCAACAGCTATTACCTCATTTACCTGTACGTGTGTTCACAATTTGGCCTTAGAGAAGCGATAAAGAAAATATAAAAATGACCAGCTTAGCAAGCTCCTTTTCCGAGTACAGGAAGTGAACACACCACCCCCAGTTCCGCACCAAATGTCACATACTTGAAAATATCTGTGGTCACATTCAGCATAAGCATCATGTTGAAAAAGACAGTACTAAATATAGAAAAACATGGTCATTTTAAATAACTGGATGGATGTACTTAAAAATCTTACACAATATCATCCAATCACAGTCTGCAGGTATCTGCACTGAACGCTCCCTACAAAAAATGCTCTGTCCCAATGGTTCTGATTCAGTGTAGTAGAACCTATAGTGCTGACAAACAGACACTATTAACCAAATCGAATCTGGGTTTCGGGCACACGGGCACACGGTCAAAAGGTTCTAGGACGCCTGTAAGGAACGCATCTCGGCGAATTGCAGCGCTTTAGGCGACATTGCCATCGATGTAAAGTTGCTGTATATCGTAAATCAACAGTCGCACACATATTGTTGCATGAACATATCAGTCCTTGCATTACCTTCGATACAATCTCCGCACTTGTAGTCATGGGTCTTGCTACAGTTCCTCTCCACCGTCATTGCCCTGCTACATCTACTGCACGGCATGCAGAATCCAGCTGACCAATCAGAAGAGTACATGTTTTTGGCACACGGTTGGCATTGCGTGTCAGAGGTCAAAGTACAGTGGCGCGACACATAGGTTCCCGGTTGACACTGGGAACAGTTTTGACATTTAAATCCCCCGGTGGAATAAGTTCCAAGGTCACATGACCTGCAAACCGTATCTGATTGGTTTGTACAAGATTCGACCAGCATGAACCCATCGCTGCACTGTGTACACGGTTGACAGCGAGAATTATTTCCCGTGTAATGATCTTTTGGACAAGCGGAACTCTCCTCGCACTGCAAAGAAACAGACAAGAATATCAGATGGCATTAATTCCCGTGATATACCCTTTGTTTTTTTAACGCTCTGCAATATTTACAGCTACATGACGGCGGTCTTCAAATAATGGAGTCTAGACCATATTATTGATATTGATTAATGTTCCATTATAAGCATATAATAACTCATTGCCTTAGAATCACTCTAATAACTGCCAGGAGTGCAACAAGGCTGGCTTTAAGTGTAAGTATACCAATTTTAGGGGGGGGGGGGGGGGGCATGTTTCACCAACACGTTTTCGACTGTCATTCAAGTAACATCTATTTTTATAGTGCGTAAAGATTCCGATTTTCAAGTTAGACAATATATATCGCGTTCGGCCGTGTAGAGTTGAGGTTTACTTATTAAAAAAGTGCTTTTTTATCTGTAAGCAACTGCTTTACTGCTACAATGGTAGTTTCGCCCCTTGCGACAACCAGGCGGGAAATCGAAACAATCATTTATGTAATATTGCGTAGCGGTAAAGCATTCTCTGCAACGGTCATGACTATATAAATATATGCAAATGATTCCGTGGCTTTGATTTGCTAACCAAGCAACTCATGCCGAAAAATAATTAGGCCACGGTCACTATCGGACTTACCCGTGAAGACCCGGGGTAGAATAGGTCTTCAGAAACCCATGCTTATATATGCTTGTCGTAAGAGGCGACTAACGCGGGATCGGATGGTCAAGCTCGCTGACTTGGTTGATGCATGTCATTGTAGTCAGTGAGTGAGTACGGTTTTCCGCCGCTTTTAGCAATATTTCGCATGTCATTGTATCCCAATTGCGTAGATCTATGCTCATGATGTCAATCATTGGATTGTCTGGTCCAGACTTGATTATTTACAGCCCGCCGTCATATAGTTGGAATGTTGCTGAGTGTGGCGTTAAACAACAAACAAACAAGACTATACCACCCAACCAGCAACGGCCATAATTCAATGTCTAAATCTTAAATTTCAATATCTAACTGCTGTCTATGGTTCTCAAGACCCACCCCGGCCGTATCTACCAGGAAGTAATTCCCCGAGTGAGTCATTGCCTTAGACTCGCTCTAATTATTGAAGGGACGTACGTATGTGCTCAGCGTTGACAGAAATTTATAACAGCTGGTAGTGCATGCATTATACATTACATGGATCTCTCGCTCCACCAAATACCTGTGACTTGGGTCAGTATGGGTGTAGCATGTCATTTGTACCAGGATGTGGAGCGGATGTCATTTCAAACCGACCTAGTATTAGACGGGTGGGGGGGGGGGGGGGGGGGGGTCACACCGACGACCCTCTCCCCACACAGGTACAACATTGTAACGTTTATGTTTACTCGTGGCGCCCCCTGTTGTTCTGGGGCGGTCGGGTAGCCTAGTGGTTAAAGCGTTCGCTCGTCACGCCGAAGGCCCGGGTTCAAATTCCCACATTGAAACAATGTGAGAAGCCCATTTCAGGTGTCCCCCGCCGTGATATTGCTGGAATATTGCCAAAAGCGGCGTTAAACCTTACTCCCTCACTCACCCTGTTGTTTGAATCATTCGTATTGTTCAACATACACTAAAGACGACTTCTACCACCCCACTACTACTACTTATTCTAGCACTACTACTATCACTACCTCTAAATAGTCGTCTGAAAAATATTCGAGTCTGGACCAGACAATACAGTCATAGATATGACCTCATGAGCATCGATCCACGCAAATAGGATACGATGACATGCATCAACCAAGTCAGCGAGCCTGACCACCCGATCCCGTAAGTCGAGTCTTACGACAAGCATTGTCGCCCCTTACGACAAGCATGGGTTGCTGAAGACGGGTAGCCACTACTACTACTACTACTGCTGCTGCTGCTGCTACTACGACCACTGCCACTCTTTTGATTACGATGAGTGAGTAAGTGGGTGATTTCCCCCCACTAAATTCCAGCAATATCACAGCGAGGGACACCAACAATTAATGGGCTTCACACAATGTACCATGGGTGATATCAGACCCGGACCTTCTGTGTGACGAGAGAACGCTTTACCCCACCCCACACAATTACCCCACCCGACCCCCAATTAAACCCCCTGTCACAATAAACGTAGTCTGTCTTACAGACCCTGATACAAATATATCAACTACAGCCCATGCAAGTCTAGAATGTTTGGCAAGTCTAGTATCTGAAAATGAAGAGAAACACTGGGCTCCCTTTTTATTATATTTTTATTGAGATAACTGAGCAACTGTTTTTTCAGAGACTATATGTGAGTCTACAATAAACGTATCATTTTGGGAGGAATTGTGCAGGCCTTGCGCTTGAAATACCGAGCAGAATAATTACGAATTTTAATCGAACGGCATATGATATTAGGAGAATTTAAAATGCAAAATAATTTATTATTTGTTTTAAGGCATATGCATATATTGCACTTAATACAACCAATTGACCCGAGCCTGGAGAGTACCTTTAAATCTATGGAGGCTATTGGTCAATAATTAGACCATTGTATATTAGAATACGTGGATCCTTAGAGGGGTTGTATTTTATGTTTAAGATAACTCATTTGGTGGTGTGTTTTCAAGAAAAGAAACACTACAATTAAACCCACGCACATGTTCTGTGTTAACAAAATGTGCCCCTCGTTCTTAACCTTTAAAAATGTGTGTCCACGCTGGAATTGTTATCTGACCATTTGGACACTGGTCAAAGCATGAAGGGGATAATGCATCACCATAGATAGTCGTGTACGTTCCATGGACGTATCGACCGGAGGGGGGGGAGCAATCAGACCAGTTTCTATTACAGCAATACCGTGGAGGTATAGTAGCTGAAGAATGCATCACAACGAATATCTAGAAAGAACACGCAGCAAACATTACATTTTTACATAATATATACCTGGGAAGGTGACAAAACACTTACTTACCTTGTGAAATGAAACATTTAGAAATATTATCATCACAAGATGACAGGAAAATAGAAGTATTCGCCACATTTCGGAGACCAGTTGACACAGTGAGAGGCGACGCCATGAAAAAAAGGGTGCGTTCTATATTTAGGTATTACGGGGATTTCCCCGCGTGTTGTATAACAGCGATATTTGATTTCGGTCTTAAACTGCGCATGTGGGCACATTGTCCTTTGTCATAAGTTATGCACATGTGCAGTGCGTCAGAGGAAATATTCTGTTGAAGCAACTTTTATAACCTAGTGTGGGGTTCAGTTCTCTCGTGTGTGTCCTGGGTGTGTCGGGAGGGGGGGAGCCTTCCTCCCACATTAACATTGAAGAATGTCATCGATCCCAATTGCGTGGATCGATGCTCATGATATCAATCACTGGATTGACCGTCTCGGTCCAGAACCCCCTACCCCTACCCCCCCCCCCCCCCCCCCCCCCCCATCACCACACACACACACACACATACAATTGAGCGTGGGTCCAACAGATTATATAACCACCGTCACAACAAACAAACACGACTTTCATGGGAATCGTGACTCGACCTGCAGTCCCAGTAAGCTAAAGCATGTCACATGTGACCGTGGCCTCGGTTCAGGTCTCATGGCTGTACACGCTATTCCCCGAAAATTCATACCTTGCCTGGCAGATACCAGATAAGGCTCGGTATTTGATACTGTCGAGATAAGAGAAATGCTTCCTTGAATTTGACAGTTGCATATTAGAGCGTGATTTGTGGAATGGGTAAACTGAATTCACTCACTCTCACCCCTCCACGCACTCACTCACTCACTCACTCACTCGCACACGATGACTAATGTGTAACAGACGTAAGGTTATATTACATACCTTATGCCCGTTACAAATTAGGCAAAGTGTTCGAGTGAGTGAGTGAGTGTGTGTGGGGTGGGAGTGAGTGAATCAAAACTACAGAGTATAGAATGATGTAGCCTTTCCTGCCGTCCATAACGTGACGAACAGTGTAGTGACATCCATGTCTTATGTCTGAGGGTTGAACTAATGCCTATGGGATATAGGTATAGCATTAACATCGGTCCATGTCATATAGGTATAGCATCAACATCGGTCCATGTCATATAGGTATAGCATTAACATCGGTCCATGTCGTATAGGTATAGCATTAACACCGGCCCGTGTCATATAGGTATAGCATCAACATCGGTCCATGTCATACATGTATAGCATTAACACCGGTTCATGTCATATAGGTATAGCATTAACACCGGCCCATGTCATACAGGTATAGCATTAACATCAGTCCATGTCAAAATGTTTTCAGGATAGGGCTAACATGGTTCCTGACATAGTGATGTAAAAGTAGAAGTTCCCGTTTTCATTCTTAAAACCCGTGATTCACCTACATCACATAATGCAAAACAATATATCTTGTTTGTTTGTTTGTTGTTTAACGCCGGACTCAGCATTGTTCTAACTGTATAACAGCGGTCTGTAAATAATCGAATCTGGACCAGAAAATACAGTCATTGACGTCATGGGCATATCATCTACGAATTTGGGATACGATGACATGCATCAACCAGGCCTGACCACCCGATCCCGTTTGTCGCCTCCTACGACAAACATAGTCGCTTTAACGGCAAGCATGGGTTGCTGAAGACTAATTTAACAATAAATAATGTCTACCATACAGAATAGTACCGAGATGTCTACAATAAAGAATATGACTACTACACACAGTAACTTTGATCAATGTTTGTTCGTCAATAGAAACTCCTTGACACTTTACGACCCCAAAACTCCAGGCAACGCAGGGTATTCCCCTGTAGGATGGTTTCAGTGTCCCGTTACGTGGTTGTTCAAATATTCTTTATCTGCACCCTGGTATTTCCTCAACACTTGGGGTATCAGTTTACCTGAGGTCTACATTATAAATAGACACGAGTCAGATCATGTGTGCGTCTATGTGTACAATCAAGGTCAGGCATGTGGCACACCTACACACTTTCAATAGACATGACGTGTTAGCCTTTATAGCACGGCGTGTTCAACTGCACAAAGCAAAAATAAATTTGAATTCCGGAAAGAAGGATAAGAATCTTGTCAGAATTGAGCCAGGCGCATTTTATGTTTTGTTTAAATGTATCTCTATGTTAATATGCATTGTGTATTGTATATCTTGATGGCGCGGCTATTGTGATCACGAAAACTAATAATTCATATCTGTATCGATTCGGGTGCACGGAAACACCAAACCAACCTGACACAATTGTATCATATCTACCGGATCCCATCTAAGGACTGCTCAAATATAGCAGCCATTGTGACCAACTGTTCCTCGTTTACACGCGAGGCATTGGTGGTGGAGAGTAGTTGGATGGGTGGATTTTTTACTCCTAAGTGGTTTTTTGTGTGTCGGTCCTGCCCCACACTGGGTGAGTAAGTGAGTTGGGTTTTACGCCGCTTTAGACAGTATTCCAGTTATATCACGGCGGGTCAGATGGTCTTACACGAGTACCACTTCAGTGAATACCACAAGTACGGGTATGGTGCTGACAAACCTAGAAACATAATTTGGGCGAGCCGGGATTCTAACCTGCGATCATAGATTTCTGGCGTGCCAAAGGGACACAACTCTGCCGAGTAAATTCCGACAAGGCTACTCCTTCCCCGTTCCACACTGAGGTTTGATGTTTGCTTGTTGTTTAACGCCGCACTCAGCAATATTCCAGCTATATCAAGGCGGTGTGTAAATAATCGAATCTGGACCAGACAATACAGTGATTGACATCATAAGTATAGATCAACGCAATTAGGATACAATGACATGCATCAACCAAGTCAGCGAGCCTGACCACGCGATCCCGTTAGTGGCCTCTTATGACAATCGCCTTTTACCGCAAGCATGGGTTGCTGAAGACCTATTCTAACCCGGATCTTCACGGGTCCCACACTGAAGCACATGTTACATATTGTGTTTCTTTCGGCCACTGACTTTGTTCGAAATATGAATCTGGCCTTCCAGCAGTGAATGGGTACCCGGTAGAATGTGGCTGTTGACCTAGCGTCTCACAGGCAGCTTGGGTTCTATACATCCCTGGGAGTTGAGATTGAAAATAGAGTGCACACTGATCCAGAGACTATCATGTCATCTGTCATGGTCTAAACGCATTTAATGAAATTTTAATACATAAGGAAAGCTTAGTTATAGCGAGAGGGCTTCAGTAAAGGGAAGTAACTCTGGAACACGTTAAAACACCTGTCGAGTGTCTATTGAATCAAGTTTACGTATGTGTCCTGTTTGCAACATGTCTGTTGAAGATCAATATAATTTCGTATTGATCTGTAAACTTTATATTGAACTACGCAAAGTTTATTTGCCAGAATTGTATTGGCAATTTCCAACTATATATAAATTCAAAAGTTTGTTGTGAACATCTGACTTATAAAAATGTCTGCAATATTATGTATATTATGCATACAAAACAAGACATGACGTCGTAAAATCCATGTAATGTGTTTCACATTGTACTATTGGCATTGCATTTCTTGTGTATGGGCCAAAGTCCTACCCACAAATAAACTAATTTTGACTTGACTTTTGAGTCCACTGTTTCTGCTGGTAGTCGATGCTGGTGCCCTGGCCATTCGTGACCAACTCGTGTTATTCCGGGACAAGCCGAATAGCAATCTTCTTACAGGTTACGGAAAGGGGCGAGTGGTGACGAATGGTGCCCTGGCGTGGACGTGGTCACGTGTACAGATGTAGATCCATATCCCGGTCTACTACGACTGATTGTCGTTCCACCACAAATTCGATGCGCACGTACATGTTAGCGCAGGCAGACCTTGGCCATGACGTGTTCATATATATACGACTGAAAGTATCGCCTTTACAATCACATTGAAATAGTATCTTTTACTCAGAGCTAACGGAGATGGACATTCTACGAACTTAGTTAGAAAGCTAAATATATTTTCTTCAATTTGTAATGATATCATGACAAAATCGAATGCAAAAGGCAGAACGATCAATTTACTCGAGAAAAACAAAGTTTCCCTAAAGTGTATCAGCACAACAGTAAATGCCGATTACAAATGCTCCCAATACACCTATTCCCCCTATAAAAGTTGTATTTCGTTGTTTAACGTGCGCTTATCAAACCTTGCCATTGCTGCATGCACGTCTACCGTTGCAACGGGAATCTCTAATCTAGAGTAGAGCGGAAGGTCCAGGTTCGATCCCCGTTCTCGTCAAAAGACGTTAAAAGATGGTACTTGTTGTTACCCTGTCTGGCGCTCGTCATTAAAGGGCTAAAACAAAGACTGGTCGGCTGAGCGTCAGTATACTGTGTCTGAATGGGTCTTCATGTGGGCTTCGGCAGCATATCTCAGTGAGTCAGCACTATGAAGCAGCGACGCGCACAAACATACACCTGCATGCCACATGCTATGTAAGTGCAATCATCTTGAACCCGACCTGTAACCCTATTTCACCTCACCTGTTTCAAGCCTGGTTGTCTTAGTGTGGTATCATACCTAAACACTGTGCCAGCATAATGGTAACTGATGTTAGTGTTGTGCCTCTGCAATTTGGTAGGGAATATTCGTTTCAGGTAGAAAGGAATTCCATTTAATAGTGCCTATATAGTGTAAAGGCGATAGGGTAGCCTGGTGGTTAAGGTGTTTGCTCGCCACAGATTATTTTTCGATTCTCCACATGGGTTGTTTGTATGTTTTTTAACGCCATGTTTGTTTCTGTTGTTGTTTAATGCCAAACCTGGCAATATTTTATGTCTCTTAGGGCGGTTTGTAAATAATCGAATCTGGACAGACAAGTCAGTATTTGATGAGCATCATGAGCATCATGCTGTTGGCATAGGATGCGCGCATCAACCAAGTCACGGAGGCTGACCATTTAGTCGCCTCTTACAACAAGTCCCTGGGACCTATTATAACTAGGGTCGACTGGCAGTGTCAGGTCCATGGGTCTTGTGGTTCCACAGAGCAGCGGCCGTCAGTGACCTCTGGCAGACACAGATGGTATAGCTGCCATATAAAACATGACCATGTGGACGTATTTAAGTACTTTAATAGTAAAATAGACAATCTATCTGTACATGTGAACAAGAAAATATATAAAGTCAACTTTCAATAACACAACACTTTGGTCACTTCAGCAGATTCCCTCTTCACTTGTTATTTCATCATAAATAAACAAATCTGATTGGTCAATCCGAGGTTTCAAATCCGACTAACCTGCAACTACATCACCTTGAAAGGAAGCATCTCCATGAAAGTACCCATTTCTCAATGCTCAAATGGAGACTTTACTGTGTTTTGCAAAACAATTTTCTTAAAATATTTACATCATGAGACACAAATACTTGAAAAGAATTTCTTAATTTCAATGTAAACAAATTCAATTTCTGTATTGTCTACACAAGAAGTGGTGAAGCATCTTATCACTTTCAATCCCAATAAGAGATGAAGCCCAGTTTGAAATGAAAGGGAAATTTGAGGTACTTGGAGAGTCTTGAATTAGTTGCCTCACTTGATATTGAATCTGTCAGTTTCTCCATTCAGCAGCACACTTTGTTTGAAGTTGAGTATCATTGATCCTATTAATCTACACCAATGCTTCATCACTTTTTACTTTTGTAAAAAAAATCAAAAATCATTTAAAATGTTGTCCTGGTAGAAATTGAAAATGAAAGTTGTTTTTTTATCATAAATTTGATACCTACTAAAGATACAATATATCCTCGTGATATGTGCAGAAAGCTTTCATGGCCAAAACGACTTTCAATATGACCAGGTATACTAGTATTTTTTTATCTGAATTCTGTAAGCATTTTCTGGAGACATATTCCTGGCTGGGATCATCCAGCTTTAGCCTTGTTCGCTAATCACAGATGTTTATTAATGTATCGGTTATTACTCTCTATAGGAATGTGTCAGTACTGTTTCATCACCATTTCAGCGCTGTTTCATCACCATTTCAGCATTGTTTCATCACCATTTCAGCATTGTTTCATCACTGTTTCAGCAATGTTTCAGCAATGTTACAATTGTACATAAAGAAATTTGAAATGTAAAAATGTATCTCCATGAGGAAAAATGAACAAATATAACATATTACCACTAAAACAATGACACCAACAATTTCATCAACTGTTTCATACAATTCAGTTCAACTTTCTGAAGAAATGTGTGGGCTTTTCTAAAAGTTAAAATGTATACGTTTGAAGTAATGTAAATGAATGTGGACATATAAGATAGAAAAAAATAATTAATCAATTTTAACAATAATCCATATAAAAACTACATCATGTACAGTGAATTTATATGGTGGTCCTTGGACAACAGCGCCACCTGGTGTCATCATCATTTGAAAGTGATTCATAAACACACGCTCATGATATAGTCGGAATCATAAAATCAACTGTTTCTGGCAGAGATTTCTTAAGAATATGGAAAGGGTTTTACGTTTTGTTGACATTACAAGCCACTCCATGTCTTGTTATACTACAAAAATGGCAAACTCTGATTATCTGCATATTACTTGAAGCTTTTCTACTATAACTGCTGAAAAAGTCTTGGATATGTACCCATCAATATGTATTAGAATTGATTTGAAGACATACTAACTGTATGAAAGATAAGCACAGTATGGAACATGAGTATAAGCTGCACGCAAATCATAATTTTTTGATGAAATATACTCTTGAAAAAAATATTGAATAAAAACTATATTAAAAATAATGTAAAGGAAATCAAATTCTATATATACATCTGGAAACATCTAAGCACTGCTTACTATTTATTCTAGATAAAATAGGCAGTTTTGGAAATCGGACCATGTGTTAAGTTTCTCCACATTGTTATCTAGACCAGACTTGAGCAGGGGGAGATAACTCCCTGCAAGTGTTCAGGAAGGTATCTGGGGTCTACCAGACATTTACCAACATGAGATCAAGGTCAACATGAGATCAAGGTCATGTGTAGACATGTCCAACACATGCAGGGACACCTGGGACATATGCACAGAAATAGGCATGGTGCTTAACCTATTTCCAGGTGTATATTTCTATATACTATATGTTGAATTGTAATCTAATATATATATACATATACATTGATAGATGAAATAGATTGGTCAAAGTGAAAATATTTGTGATGGATGGACTAAGTTCAAGCGATCTAACCACAGACTGGTTTGTTTTTTAAAACTATCAACATAATTTTCATGTGTACAAATTGCTTTAATATAGAGGAGGGGAGTAGGGTCATTAAAAAACTAGATAAAAATCACATCTGTTAACAATTAATGTTCATAGATGCTTGAATAGTTGATTTCTCCTTTATAAATTGTGAAAGATAAAGTGCTACTCACCTCACACTAAAAACAAATGGATAACAGGCCTATAATTCCTTTATTGTGGCCTTGCATACAAATGGATAACAAGCCAACAATGACTTTATTGTGGCCTTGCATGCAAATGGATAACAAGCCTATAATAACTTTATTGCGGCCTTGCATACAAATGGATAACAAGCCTATAATAACTTTATTGTGGCCTTGCATACAAATGGATAACAAGCCAATCACGACTTTATGTTGGCCTTGCATACAAATGGATAACAAGCCAAGCATGACTTTATTGTGGCCTTGCATACAAATGGATAACAAGCCTATAATGACGTTATTGTGGCCTTGCATACAAATGGATAACAAGCCAACAATGACTTTATTGTGGCCTTGCATACAAATGGATAACAAGCCTATAATTACGTTATTGTGGCCTTGCATAGAGAGGACCAACCGGCTTGACCAGCAAGCTTAAATATTCAGCAGCATGTTTCATAAAACTTGGTTTAAAGGAATTGGCTACACAAATGTCACACACATGTGCAATAAAATCAACATTTTGAAAAATCCATTTTTCACATTCTGTCAAGTCAAAATATTTCAGGAATGAACACAAATGATATAGCAGGGAAGTAAAAGTTACACTTTTCGTCCAAACAGCATAATTCCAGAACTTGATTTTTGTAATTAAGTTAATAATAACGCACGCATATCTGGATGAATATATCGTTACAAATAATGTACAAGGCAACAAACTTGCACATGTACTTTGTGCAGTTCGATTGTTGTAACCAGTGCATTCGTAATGCATATACCGTAATAGACGTAATAAGCGCCTAGGGCACTCTCAAAATTAGAAATAGGTGGCTCTTATTGGAATATTATTTTAGTGAAAAGAGTTGAAAGATAAATTTTGTGGTTTATGCTGACAGCCTGAAGTATTTATGTATGACAGATATATTTTTACAGAATTTCATTGCCCATAATTAAGGGTGCATATAACACACGAGTGCGTATTATACATGAATAAATAAGTCTTGTGTACATTGATCAATCGGAAGGGGTGCTAATTGGGATTGTTCACTTGCCAATATATTAGCAAATGTCGACGTGGGCGCTTATTAGAGCAGGGCGCTTATTACGTTGAATACGGTACTTAGAATTAATGCATGAGCTTAAAATTTGTATTGGAGACACTTGATACAATAGGGTGACTTAGCTGTATTTTAAACTTTGCTGAAGTAATATTAAAAGATCTCTTTTAATACAAGATGTTGAAATCCTTTTATCATCTTCTCAACCCACAACGCTGTAAACAAAGTAATATGAAACATGCCTTACTAAAACACTGACAACATTGTCTACCCTTGATAAATATTATCATTATATGGCCTGCCACAGGGTAACATGTGTGAGACTTCGATATGATACATACCAACATATAAGTCAGGAAACAACGATTCCTGTTTCTTCAAAAGACTGTAGAGTCACTTGTTCAAATGGAAAAAGTAACTGTGCATCTGTGCTTAGCTTAAAATACTGATTTGATACCTTGATTATAATGACACTGGATATAGTTAGAAGCATATTACACAAGTTATTTTCATTTGTCCAAATACATATATGGCTAAAAAGTGTTTAATTAATAAAAACCTCATAAGCTTCTTTAAGATATAAAAGATATCAAAATTCAAATTATTCAAATTTGGTTCACACAATTGTAAATTTCTGAATTTTAAATGTTTTGTTAGCAATGTATTGGAGTTTAAAAATGAAAGAAATTTGTATTGTTTTTTTCCTTTATACCATAATATGCAAAGATATTTCTTCAAGAGCTCCCTGTCCTTCTTGACAAGTGGTTTGTTATATTGTCATGTACCCAAAATAGGATACATCAGTCGCTAAAACTATTTATGAATTCAGATACATGACAAAAGCACAGTTACAATAATGACAAACAATGGGTAATAGATAACTATATACAGCATAATCCTTTCTCCAGGAATGCCCTAGTTTGATCAGGTCCTGGTCTCCAAGTACTGAAGCTGTATGACAGCCGCCTGTATATAATCGGGTCTGGATCAGGCAATCCAGTGATCGATATTGTGAGCACTGATCCATGTTCAGGTACAATGACACACAATGAACAAAGTCACCGAGTCTGACCACCCAATCAATTCAGTCGTTGCTAAAGACCAGCATAGCTCCCTGTGGCCCTACCCTAACCTGGAATCCCCATGGGATGTGTTGTGGAGGTAGCTCCCTGTGGCCCTACCCTAACCTGGAATACCCATGGGGTGTGTTGTGGAGGTAGCTCCCTGTGGCCCAACCCTAACCTGGAATCCCCATAGGGTGTGTTTTGGAGGTAGCTCCCTGTGGCCCTACCCTAACCTGGAATACCCATGGGCTGTGTTGTGGAGATAGCTCCCTGTGGCCCTACCCTAACCTGGAATCCCCATAGGGTGTGTTTTGGAGGTAGCTCCCTGTGGCCCTACCCTAACCTGGAATCCCCATGGGGTGTGTTGTGGAGGTAGCTCCCTGTGGCCCTACCCTAACCTGGAATCCCCATGGGGTGTGTTGTGGAGGTAGCTCCCTGTGGCCCTACCCTAACCTGGAATCCCCATGGGGTGTGTTGTGGAGGTAGCTCCCTGTGGCCCAACCCTAACCTGGAATCCCCATAGGGTGTGTTTTGGAGGTAGCTCCCTGTGGCCCTACCCTAACCTGGAATACCCATGGGCTGTGTTGTGGAGATAGCTCCCTGTGGCCCTACCCTAACCTGGAATCCCCATAGGGTGTGTTTTGGAGGTAGCTCCCTGTGGCCCTACCCTAACCTGGAATCCCCATGGGGTGTGTTGTGGAGGTAGCTCCCTGTGGCCCTACCCTAACCTGGAATCCCCATGGGGTGTGTTGTGGAGGTAGCTCCCTGTGGCCCTACCCTAACCTGGAATCCCCATGGGGTGTGTTGTGGAGGTAGCTCCCTGTGGCCCAACCCTAACCTGGAATCCCCATAGGGTGTGTTTTGGAGGTAGCTCCCTGTGGCCCTACCCTAACCTGGAATACCCATGGGCTGTGTTGTGGAGATAGCTCCCTGTGGCCCTACCCTAACCTGGAATCCCCATAGGGTGTGTTTTGGAGGTAGCTCCCTGTGGCCCTACCCTAACCTGGAATCCCCATGGGGTGTGTTGTAGAGGTAGCTCCCTTTGGCCCTACCCTAACCTGGAATAGCCGTCGGGTGTGTTGTGGAGATAGCTCCCTGTGGCCCTACCCTAACCTGGAATCCCCATGGGGTGTGTTGTGGAGATAGCTCCCTGTGGCCCTACCCTAACCTGGAATCCCCATGGGGTGTGTTGTGGAGATAGCTCCCTGTGGCCCTACCCTAACCTGGAATCCCCATGGGGTGTGTTGTGGAGGTAGCTCCCTGTGGCCCTACCCTAACCTGGAATCCCCATGGGGTGTGTTGTGGAGATAGCTCCCTGTGGCCCAACCCTAACCTGGAATCCCCATGGGATGTGTTGTGGAGATAGCTCCCTGTGGCCCTACCCTAACCTGGAATAGCTGTGGGTGTGTTGTGGAGATAGCTCCCTGTGGCCCTACCCTTACCTGGAATCCCCATGGGATGTGTTGTGGAGATAGCTCCCTGTGGCCCTACCCTAACCTGGAATACCCATGGGGTGTGTTGTGGAGATAGCTCCCTGTGGCCCTACCCTAACCTGGAATCCCCATGGGATGTGTTGTGGAGATAGCTCCCTGTGGCCCTACCCTAACCTGGAATACCCATGGGGTGTGTTGTGGAGATAGCTCCCTGTGGCCCTACCCTTACCTGGAATCCCCATGGGATGTGTTGTGGAGATAGCTCCCTGTGGCCCTACCCTAACCTGGAATCCCCATGGGATGTGTTACAGGCATAGGGGTTTATGTGATTCAAATATGGGTGTGGGGTATGTATTACCCACCAATGTCATACTTTCCGTCTTAAATATATTCTGGACCCATCATATCTGCCATGTAAACCAGCAAGCATCAGTAACAATCATTACATTACAAACATGTCTCTGACACCATGTCCAAGAATACTTAGTAAGATTTAATGACATGATGATCTTTTGTTATTTCACATAAATTTAATACTTAATAACGATGTCACTGGTCACAGTGATGTTACGTAAATTGCGGGGATGCTTTAGCTGTAAGAGAGTAATTTTTCTCAAACAGCCAAACTTGGGGGTGGGCAAGAACTCGAAGATGGCCACAAGTCTGTGACAATTTGGTAGTTCTACAGAGAGATGGAGGAACACCCTGAACACGCGACACTATTATCTATACGATAAGTTCACTGATGACGACAAGATCTAGTGTGTTCCAGTGACAGGCACATAGTGAACTACAGGACTCTTCACAAGTACTTCTCCAAGACTGCAATCGCTTTGTTGGATGAAGGCTGATACTGCTGCAGAAGTTCGATCAGCTCCTCCACCGTGGTGCCGTTCTGTTTCATAAGATTCAGGACATGACACATCGGCCCGTCATACATCCTGCCTTTCCGGTGGTACCTGTAAACATACGGGCAAGTCAAGATTACATTCATGGGAAGTATGATTGATCAATATATTGCATACAACATGTATACTAACACAATAAAAGTATAAAAACACCAGGTGTCAATAAATATACTCAACAACAAAAGTTCCTGTAACACCAATATTTTTGTGTATTTCTCAAACAAGTAAAGTTTGGTTTTCAATATTGTAGTACATGTATGGAATCAAGTCACAAAAACACAACTGCTACAGAAAAGCATGCATTCCATGCAAAAGTTGACTTTTATGCAAGCCCCATGCATTTCACTACCCAAGAATGGGTATAAAAACATGTGCGTTAACGGGATTCAATATGCATTGTTTAGCATCGTGCTGACAACAACCACAAAATTACGCAATTATTCAACATTACGAAATGCCACGCCTGTCCGAAAATGAGCGTCTGCGAGCCATTGGTATTCTAGAAGCAGGATCGAGTCAACGTGATGATGCAAGACAATTTAACGTCCACAGAAACACCATTTGGTGTTTACGGCAACGTTGGCAACAGACGAATGCAGTCAGAGACCATCCTCGGAGTGGCAGGCCACGCGTAACCAATAATCGACAAGACAACTGGATTCAAACAACACACCTACGAAATCAATTCCAGCCAGCAACGACGAATATCTTCACAAACCGTACGTCGTCGCCTCAGATGTGCAGGGATTGTCGCCAGAAGACCCGCCAGACGTCCCATTTTGACAGGAAACCACCGTCAAGCACGTCTAAAATGGTCCTGCCAGCGTCTACGCTGGACGGCCATGCAGTGGGGACAAGTTCTATTCACTGACGAGTCTCGTTTTCACCTCAGCCACAGCGATGGACGGATTCGAGTGTACTGACGTTGAGGGGAATGTTACGTCAATCATTGTGGCATGGAAGAAGATCGGTTCGGGGGTGGCAGCGTTATGGTATGGGGTGGGATTACAGCAAGAAGAGGACCCGTTTGATAGTGGTAGAGGGAAATCTCAATGGACAGCGCTACGGCGATGAGATCATCGGCCCTGTTGTTCTACCGTTTTTGCATCGTCATGGCCCAGGCATTACCTTTCAACATGACAACGCCCGACCCCGTATTGCTCGACTTCAACAAAACAACGTGAATGTCATCCCCTGGCTGGCTCGTTCCCCTGATCTCTCACCTGATCTTTGTAAATTGAGATTTTGGCATGTTCATGTTTTTTTTTATGAAATCATGCATTTTCTGAAGTCAGTATGGCAAACAAAACCATTTGAAAACTTACAGGAGTCTTTTATCTGTTGCAAACCGAAATTGTTTCAGATTTGGTAAAAAACCTAACTTTGCATTAAATCTTATTCAATGTCACAGGAACTTTTGTTGTTCAGTATATGTTTTAACTGGGCAAAGCTACCAGCAACATGACAAACAAGCATGATGTACTCATATCCCGCCAATATAACATGTCTGGTTGTGTGCAAGGCAAGAAATATTGTGCAAAGCAACAAGCACTATACCCATTTTCAGTCTAAGTCAAAGTTGTTGCTATGGAAACTTGAAAAATACATTTTTTAAAAATCCCAAACTATCAAAAGACATTTCTTCTTTGATAGGCATTGAGAAGTTGGTGTACGGTGCTTGATAACAGTGTTAGAACCTACACCGAAACGTCGCTCTTAATTGTAATAAAGAAGTTGTTCACCCATACATTCTTATCCTTACTTATCAAAAGGCACCAGTTTACCACTAGACCTATCTATGTGCCAAGTCCGGTTGAGATATCTCTCAGGGTTTTTGAGTTCTGCTCTGGAAACAAAACGTGACGGACGGACACCATAATAATCTTCTCACTCTTGGAACCCTTTACAAATGGACACTTTGTCTTTGGTCATGTGGACAAGGCATCCGACTTCTAATCAGGAGGTCCATGGTTCGAAAGCCATCAAGGGACACGGAAATCTTATGGCTGCTACACTAGTAATACCGGGTGTCATCATACAATGACAGTGTGGACTGTTGCTCATAACATCAATCACATGTCTTATCCACATGATTTACAGATTACAGCCCGTCTAGAAAATTGCTGAATGTGAATCTTACTCTAGGAAGGAGAGAAAGTCCCTGTCGTATCCCAGCAGCGGCGACGTGACGATGACGTGCCAGGACACATGTCCATCCTGCTCCTCTCTGTCCAGGAGACGACACAGGGTGCGGACATCTTGTCGGGTCTGCATCAGTCGAGAGTAACCTTCCATCTTGTCTCTGACAGGCTGCGGTTCTGCAACACAGGCCATTTGGAGGACATGACCCTGTAATTCTTGCCGATGCTGTCAGGCTCTGGTCACCAAGACAACATTTACCCTGCAATAACTTCTATTTGCTGTGGTTGCTATGACAACACTGTAATTGCTTCTGATCCACTGTTTTATTGTATTTTGGTCTTAGGACTGCATCATATTTTGCTGAGCCGGTTGTGATAAATTTTAGTGACCCCTCCCCCCTCTTTCGCTGTGCAATATTTTTATTTATTACTTGCCCGTGAAGAGATCACCTGTTTAATAAACATACAGCTTTATTACACATTGTGTAATACCAACACGCGTGCTTATGTACTCTCGGAACACGTTTCACGAACAAATATTGAAAGCTCTCAACATCCCTTGGCGTATTCAACGACATTGTGTGTGGAGATGATAGATCACTGGGAGGAGCTTATGCACACTCGATGACCCCAGCAACCTTGTTGCTAGGCTGATGTCACATGGCATTGTTTCGCCGATGGATCTTGCAACAAAATTCAACAAATTACGTCATCGGGTATTGTGACGTGATTGTAAACTTTGAGGTGCAAGGCCCCGTTCCACAAGGCGATCGTACTCTAGCGCAACGACAGTCGTTAGTCTAAGTTAAATTATGTGAATTGTGATAACCTTAGCACTACGATAATTTTGTGGGACGAACGCCTGAATTCTAAAGGTGGACTATTGTATGATATTAAATTCATACGTTTCAACTTTTGACGTGTTTGAAGTATTATTCTGTTAAACTCAATTGGATTATGCCATGGGATCGTGTAGGTGTCAGCCTATTTACACTCAACAGTATAATTCTAAAAACATTATATATGACAAGTAATAAATAAAATACTAAACTCGCTCTCGTGTAAAACCAATTTTATGAAACTCGTGAATAGTTGTGGTATCTGACTCGCTTTCGCTCGTCAGATACCAGAACTATTCACTCGTTTCATAAAATTGGTATTACACGGGAGCTCGTTTAGTATTCTATATGACTTAATCAAACTGACCCTCCCTTCCCCCCCTCCATATGACCAGTCCCTTTTCTTTCAGTTCCCCCAAACTTCTGTACCTTTGGTTACCATGACAACACTTACCCGGCATTTGCTCCAGATCCTCTGTTGCCGTGGTAACCAAGACAAGGGAGGTGTCTGGAACAGCTTGTAGACTGTTTTCCTCGACTGCTGTGTGTGATAAAGTAAATCTATTATCTATTTATATGCAAATTCCACTTGAAAATATACATATTCTTCATTGGATAAAATCATACAGTATTTCTACAAATAACCATAAATCCCAAAGAGTTGGGTTTAATGCCGCTTTTAACTGTATTCCAGTTATATCACAACATGTCAGCTTAATGTTGGAGGAAAGCCCGAAGTGATGCAGGTCTCCAACATTTACCACGTCGGTGAAACCCAAAAGCACAGGTATGGTGCTGACAAACCTAGATTTGAACCCACAATCATTGGTTTCTGGCATGCCAGAGGGAAGCAACTCTGCACAGTAAGCCTTAGGTGCATCAGCTGCATCAGCTGAAACATCTGTTTGATCTGGGGATCCTACCTGGCTGAGTGTGAGACAGGATGTTATCAGCCTCACACTTAGGGGATGTAGATGGCTGTCCGGCAGAGCACTGAACTGCAACTGGAATGTTTCCTGATGGACATAAACCTGAAACAAACAACAGTCATTTCCCATCATTCACTCAGGATCTAAACCTACAATATTTTGAAATTTGAGGTAGTCTAACCGTAGTATTAAAATAGATACCTCAAAGGTACATTTCTAATGGATTATTGGCAGCCGCTGTTATATGCATCGATGCGTTGGATATCAATAGATCAAAGTTTTCATCAGCAAGTTTTTGTGTGAAAACGCATGTTTATTTTGAGGTATCTATTCGAATTAGATACCTGATTTTAAAATTGTTTTCACCAATCAGAAACAAGCATTCTTCAGTGTTATGGTTGAATAATTATTAGTGTTTATCTGAGTCTGTCTATATTCGAGTTTTCATGTTGAAGGCATAAACATGGGGGTCATGTGATTTACAAGAATTATACAGATGTCATGTCACTGCACATCCTCAGAAGCCTTTAGCCTATTATAGCTAGGGACTTCAATGTCAGACTGAACAAAATAAAAAAATGACACTCTGGTCTTTCAGCTTATTTCTTACCCTTTTCACGAACACCTGGCATCATCACTGATTTTCAGTGAACATTCATATAACTTTCCCTGCTATTTTGCCTTTTATGCCCCATGGAATCGGTTTCATAATCAAGGTTATTCTACGGCATTAATTTTTAATATTTACCGGAATAGAAATGACAGTGACACTTTAAAATGCAATTTCCAATTTTGATTTGGTGATCATACTGCCACCAATGCAAAACTGTTTTGCATCCCAAAGACCTTGCAACGTACATTGCTTGAGTATGTGTATAGGAAGCAATAGTTTGTGTTTGGTAAAATATCAATGTACATATGTTTCATATGGCATTACCTGCATAGATCGAGCGCACAGGGAACATGTGTTTCTTGACAACCAGCTTGAAGTGTCCTCTTTCTGTTGTCCCATCGGTCAGTTGGACGATCCAGTTGTAGGACCCCTGGTGAGAGTAGTCAAGACTCACTAGGTCCACTTGGCTGGGGCCATTAGGCTTGCTGGAATACACTGCCGGATCTCCGGTTTTCGACTCCCGCTTGAGCAGGACAAGATATTGGATCCCACATCCTTTACTGTATGCCATGACTGTCACTGTGCTGCCTGAAGGACAAGGTGACACTGTCACAACACTTCCATAGCAACAGATGTCAAATGGGGTTTAACACGATATTCAAGTGTGGGGTGCGTGTATGCATGAATGCTCGTTCTAGTCTAGACTAATGCCAGTCTTATAGTGCTAGCCCAATGAGATACCATACCATAGTTTAACACGAATACCCCACTCGGACACAGTCTACTGACTCCAAGCTGACTAGCCCTTGTTTTAGCCCCTTGCCGAGCGCCATACAGGGTAACAACAAGTACTAGCTTTAAACGTCTTTTGGTCGGGAATGAACCCGGGTAATGAACCCCGGACCTTCCACTCTCTGGGCGGATGCCCTACCACTAGACCACAGAGGCAGTCGAGTGAGTGAGTGAGTGAGTGAGTGAGTGAGTGAGTGAGTGAGTGAGTGATCAAGTGAATGATCAAGTGAGTAATCGAGTGGGTGGGTTTTTGAGTGAGTTAAGAGTGAGTGAGTGAGCTGTTTTGAGTGAGTGAGTTTTTTGAATGAGTGAGTGAGTGAGTGGGTGAGTGGGTGGGTTGGAGGGTGGGTTCTTGAGTGAGTGATTGAGTGAGAGGATGGGTGGGTTTCTAAGTGAGTGAGTGGGTTTTTGAGTGAGTGAGTGAATGGGTTTTTTTGAGTGATTGAGTGAGTGGATGGTCGGGTTTCTAAGTGAGTGAGTGGGTTTTTGAGTGAGTGAGTGAATGTTTTTTTTTTAGGGAGTAAGTGAGTGGGTGAGTGGGTTGTTACAAGTATAAGCTATAACCACCGGACTACCTCAACACGATTCCCTGTAGAGTGAGTGAGTAAGCCATATTAATATTCAACCAACATCCCAGCAGGGCGACCTGAAATGTGCTTCACACATTCTACCATGTGACGATTCGAACCAAAGCCTTCTGATGTACAATCAAACACACCCCACCTGGAACCTACCTCTCTTAGCAGACCACTTGTGTAGCTTGTAACATCTCTGAGTTGCATTAGCCAGCGTGATTCTGACATTCCTCACTGCTGGTGGAGCTACTGAAATCAGGTACAACATGAAGCCTATAAAATGACTTGTATCTTTAAACATGTTCATATTTTATTACTTTATAACAAACTTTATCTCACAGGCACCAATCAGGTAACGCACTATGCCAACACAAAATAGTGCCATGCGCTGGAGCTATTGTAATTCATATAACAAAGTATCGTAGAGAAAACAACAGAAGGCAAGCATGTTATTAATGCAAATGTAAGGACGGTATATGCTCTAGTGATCTGGTGATTTGCTTCCGTCCGAATCACAACATAGATGGGGCATATTAATTGGGAGAGATTTTGAAGGTTTCTACAGGGGGATGCTTTATACACAGTGATATTTGGTAGTTCTTCCATCAACAAATTAATACATGCAACTTGCAAGCCAGTACCATGGAACAGACAGAACTGTACAGAGCTGGACTTGCATCAAATGTGACATTTTCTATGGTATTTGTTGTGATTGCATTTTTTACATAAAATATTTGATCCCTAACCCCCAACCCCTCACTGAGAGAAGATTTTGTATTTTTGGACATCCTTTTAAAAATGCTGAATCTGCCCTTGATGCCACTATATTCCACATTTTGTTCAACTTATGATAGGTAATATTTCCTCCACTAGAACAACTGCCGCCCAGGCCAAACCCTTGTTAATATTTTTACAGTAAAAAGTCTTACACCCTAAAATTGAAAGTGAGTGAGTGAGTTCACAGCCCTGTTCCACAAAGAAATCTTAGTGTTACAACCGTCATGAGTTGACGTTAAAGTATGAGAGTTACGATCGTCTTTGTCTTTACGGTTAAGCTCACTTTGCGGAACAGGGCCCACAGCTTATTTCTGACCAGTATTTCGGCTATTTTAGAGTAAGCTTGACAGGAATGGTGCTGACAAACCCAGAAACATAATCAGGGCAAATCTGGGTTTCAAACCCAGGGTCACTGGAACCTGCCTGGTTAAAGAATGCCCCAGTCACCTAGACACAAAAGTAATAATTCAGATTTAAACCCATGTTTGATATACAACTTCCCACACAACAAACCTTGTTCCTCTATGTCGATGTCTGCATCAGTAGACGATTTCTTTTTGACACAGATGAAAATAACAACCACACCAAGGACGGCTGCAGCCACAATGACGATCACTTGAAATGGAAATATATATTGTTGATACACAAACATCAAATACATAAAAACAGCTTTATTAAGTAGAAGCAATATATTGTTTTCTTTTCTTTGGAATTAGTTGAGGTGAAAGAGGCATAATGATTATTGCCCTTATATAGCAATGTGCATGCAAGTGTGTGTGTCCCTGTGTGCATTCATGTTTGGAGTCAGTATAATGTGTCTCAGTGGGCTAGCCCTACATAACTGGCATTTGTCTGGGAACACATATGCATTAGTGTATGTAGACGAAAATACAGATATGCTAAAGTTTGCAATTTTCCAAAAAAATAAAGGGGGGGGGGGAATATCAAAATGCTCTTTCAGCCAATTTTACTGCCTACATTTGGTTTTCAAAAGTGTGTGTGTGTGGGGGGGGGGGGGGGGTCTGGACCTCTGGACCCCGCTAACCCCACTCTGGATCCACCTCTGCAACAAATAAACTTCAAATGACAATTCTTACCTATGAAAACAACGGCTACTGTGTCCAGTCCTGTGCCTCCACCTGAAATACACAGTGACCAACATGGTTTTCTCTTCAAGTCTTGGTAGTGAAGTTACAGGCAAGTTTCAATGATGTCAGAATATACTAGAGGTTTAGGAAAACAGAAGCAGCCCTTCACTGTCATTTCATCAAAACTCCAAAAGCCTGTAAATACAACTCTTGTTTCCAAGGCCTTGACCATTGTCAAGATTCCAATTTAAGATCCAACAATTACCAATTGCATAGCAGGCAATAAATAATATAACAACGTTTCACTATAACCTCGAAGATGACCTTAACCTTTGATAGACATGGTGCGAAGAGCAGATGTTGGAGGATTTGTGAAGATACATGCCTCAGAGTCTGACAATGACAGAAAGCATAATGCTGACCTTGACCTTTGACTTCTTTTGACCAAAACCTTTTCAAAGCAGGGCCCCATCCCAGAGAAGTCATGTACCAAGTTTAATGGTAATGTACTAATAAATGTGTTTTTTCTGAGAAAGAGCCTCCACAAATGCTTTTGTGGTTTTTTTTGTCATTGCAAAAAGAATTCTATTTTGAAGAAGTTCATGTAAGAAAATTTTCAAGCATCAATAATCTTTTTGAAGATTTATACAGTGTGTGAAATGATTGTCTCACCTGTACAGTGCGAACTGATGGTCTTACCTATACAGTGTGTGAACTGATTGTCTCACCTATATAGTGTGTGAACTGATTGTCTCACCTGTACAGTGTGTGAACTCATTGTCTCACCTATACAGTGTGAACTGATTGTCTCACCTGTACATTGTGTGAACTGATTGTCTCACCTATACAGTGTGTGAACTGATTGTCTCACCTATACAGTGTGTGAACTGATGGTCTCACCTGTACAGTGTGTGAACTGATTGTCTCACCTATACAGTGTGTGAAATGATTGTCTCACCTATACAGTGTGTGAACTGATGGTCTCACCTGTACAGTGTGTGAACTGATTGTCTCACCTATACAGTGTGTGAACTGATTGTCTCACCTATACAGTGTGTGAACTGATTGTCTCACCTGTACAGTGTGTGAACTGATTGTCTCACCTATACAGTGTGTGAACTGATTGTCTCACCTGTACAGTGTGTGAACTGATGGTCTCACCTGTACAGTGTGTGAACTGATTGTCTCACCTATACAGTGTGTGAACTGATTGTCTCACCTATACAGTGTGTGAACTGATTGTCTCACCTGTACAGTGTGTGAAATGATTGTCTCACCTATACAGTGTGTGAACTGATTGTCTCACCTGTACATTGTGTGAACTGATTGTCTCACCTGTACAGTGTGTGAACTGATTGTCTCACCTATACAGTGTGTGAACTGATGGTCTCACCTATACAGTGTGTGAACTGATTGTCTCACCTGTACAGTGTGTGAAATGATTGTCTCACCTATACAGTGTGTGAACTGATGGTCTCACCTATACAGTGTGTGAACTCATTGTCTCACCTATACAGTGTGTGAACTGATGGTCTCACCTATACAGTGTGTGAACTGATGGTCTCACCTGTACAGTGTGTGAACTGATTGTCTCACCTATACAGTGTGTGAACTGATTGTCTCACCTATACAGTGTGTGAACTGATGGTCTCACCTGTACAGTGTGTGAACTGATGGTCTCACCTATACAGTGTGTGAACTGATTGTCTCACCAATACAGTGTGTGAACTGATGGTCTCACCTATACAGTGTGTGAACTGATTGTCTCACCTATACAGTGTGTGAACTGATTGTCTCACCTATACAGTGTGTGAACTGATGGTCTCACCTATACAGTGTGGGAACTGATTGTCTCACCTATACAGTGTGTGAACTGATTGTCTCACCTGTACAGTGTGTGAACTGATTGTCTCACCTGTACAGTATGTGAACCGATTGGCTCACCTATACAGTGTGTGAACTGATTGTCTCACCAATACAGTGTGTGAAGTGATTGTCTCACCTGTACAGTGTGTGAACTCATTGTCTCACCTATACAGTGTGTGAACTCATTGTCTCACCTATACAGTATGTGAACTGATTGTCTCACCTATACAGTGTGTGAACTGATTGTCTCACCTTTACAGTGTGTGAACTGATTGTCTCACCTGTACAGTGTGTGAAGTGACGGTCCCACTTAGGCTGTGGTCGGTCGGTGCAGGTGATGTTGGTGGAATTTGATGGTCTGTAGCCCACATTACACTGGAGAAAGCAGGTGCTGTAGACGGTGTTTCCATTGCTGCACACAGCTCGTCCGTTATGAGGGGCCCACTTCTCACAGGCTGGAACACAACATCACCTGATTATCTGTCCCTGAAATACTGCTGACAAAAAATACAAAATTGATTCATCTGGGACAAAAAATGTGTTATTCCAAATAGCTCCTGGGTTACTCTCTTAGCATAAACACTCCTATGTACTGTTTATTTATATTGCTTATAATTAGGAAACAGATGCAATCTCATTAAAATCAGATCTTAGTTCTCACTACCGCTGAACAAAGATCTGAGGACATCCCATTACGGGTCACGTCAGACTGACCTTGCGCGAACTTTGTCCAACCAATGGAATGACCAATCAGAAGGCAGCTTTCTCATGCTTTACGGCACTAATTTCAGCAACTACGCTTTGAAACATATTTTGACAAATTCTCGATTAAAAATTTGAAACCTGAACAAAAGAACATTCTGGAATGGCTCATAGATGGTCTAGATTGTATGGATTCAGTCGTTAAAACCGTAACTATCGTTCAGAGTTAAAGTTGTCGAGGTTGCATGATTAGAAATCACATTCCGACTGTCACTTCCATAATCTGGTAAGCGATGCTCTGATTGGTCGGATGAAAGTTGTTTATCATACAATGAAACACTGCAGGGAAAATAACCATGATGGACAAGTCGTTTGATTCTTATATGAGCTATCAACATTATGTACAACCTCTTTAAGGATGTTAATGACATGTACGAGCTTTAATTTTTAAATATTTACCTGTATTTAAATAATGATGACTCATGGAATACAAACCGACTTGGACCTGTCCATTTTATGAACAGGGGGTTAAGTTGGGTATTTCTCACAATTGTCATGTCGATTATCTGTACATTTTCTCCCAATACCGATTCTCATATATCGTCCACATTTGGATACATATTTCGGCCATAGCATTTATCTGTGTAGCCCAGCTACATCTATGGGGAACAACTCACTAGACACTTCCCTCTAAAAAATGCTGGTCTAAATGGATCAGGCAGTCAAACTCCTTGACTTGGTAGATTGTGTGTTAACACACCCAACAATGTATGACGTAGCTTATGATACCAACCACTGGTTTGTCTGGACTAGGATTGATCTACAGGCTGCCGTCATACAGCTGGAACATTGCTGAGTGTGGCGCTAAACAATATTCAAACAACAAACAACACGCACTGTACACACAGGAACTGTATGTTGTTTGACACTGATGTTGTACTTGGCAGTGTTCGAAATATGCGCCTGCCCGTAGGCCCGTGGCTGGTAGATTTTGTGTCGGGCCGCAGGTTCAAATTTGTGTGTGACGATTTATTTGTCACAATAAGTTGCAGTTATTTAAATGAGGGCTTGTGGAGTTGAATCTGGGCCGGCAGCTTCTAAAGTCTGTAGGCTCTGATGGCAGCCTGGCAATTTGAAACATTAGTACTGGGTATATACATGGCATACATACATGGTTTGTCAAAGGATGTGCTGTGACAGTGTGGCAGTCTACCATCAGGGAGGGCAGGGAGGTGCTGACACTCTTCTTGTAGATGTTTTTCATACAGCTGGTGACTGTCCACCACTTCCCTGGGGCAGATACGGCACAACCCGCAATCATTGTGGCTGTTGGGCAGCTTGTAGTAACTTAAAATGGGAAACAACAACATCATCATCATCATCATCATCACCACCACCACCACCATCGTCACCGTCGTCGTTGTCATAATCATCATCATCATCATCATCATCACCATCTCCATCGTCATCGTCATCATCATCATCAACATCATCATCACGTCTACATATACCAAAGTTAAATGCGCTTCATGTGCCTTGAATGTTCTGACAGTCATTATCATACATATCTTTAAAAAGTTCTAGGGTTCATGTGAAAAAACATTATTATTATTATTATTATTATTATTTTTTAGTAATATTTTTTACAAAATCCTAATGATTTGAGGAAAACATGTCTTCATTAGCAGGAACATGTATGCCATATTTCATCTTCATCAGTTTCACAGGACACGAGAATGCCTTCTGAGTGTCTTCAAGGTCATGATAAACATGGTGTAACTGTAAAGCCTCAAGTCAAGGTCAACATTCAGAATATTGCAAAACAGAAGGAACACACCTCAAAGCCCTACAGGTTTGAGGTCTGCTCTGGAAACAAACCACACACCCAACTTCACCTGAGGTTAAATAACTTCCATCAAGTGCAAAAACAAAATTTATCACTAAATATAAATAATCACCAGTTCACTTCCTGACGCATATAACTTGGAAGTCTGATGGAGGAAAGGTCAAGGTTTTCTTGTGTTCTGCTCCACAAAAGAAATGGACGGGTGGAGTGTTGGGTGGAGAGACAGAAATGCTGATAGCTATATAACTGTTTATTATTTTACGCCGCACTCAACAATATGCTAGCTTAATGATGGCAGCTGGTCAATAATCGAGTCTGGACCAAACAATCAAATGATTGAAAATGTAAGGCTAAAAAATATAATAGCTTTGGTTCTCAGGCACCATACGCATCATCATAAAATCTGCCGCATGTTTCGTTTTTATTTCAATTTTTTAAAAAATACAAAAAATACTAATTCTAAAAAACAATGCGATCCAATATAGCACGCAGTAACTTCGTCTTACATGCACACTGCTTTAATGCACATCTCGTGTAATGGTCATGGCATCATTGAGTTTGTTTGCTTGTTTATGTAGGGAGGCCCTTTCCCAGGTTGATCATACACAACTGTTTTTTTTATTTCATACCAGTTTGAACAAGCCCCCCCTCCCCACCCCCCCCCCAAATAATACCACAGCCTGCCTGCTCTATATTTTTAAAAGTCGTTGCCTGAGAACCAATCTTTGTATTTTTTTAAGCCTAAGAAATGATCTATCGGGGTACATTGACACGCATTCAACTAAGACACTGAGTGACCCCCCCCCGATCCATTAAGTCGCCTCTTTTACCAGCAGTGGTGGTTTGGGACCAATTCTAACACAGAATCACCATGGGTCGACAAAATTTTGTTATAACTTTGCAAGTGTTGGCTGATAGTTGCAAATGTATTTCTAATTTCTAGGTCAGGTGGTGATCAGGACATTACGACTTTATTATAAAAAAGGGCAACCGTGAGGAATATTTATTATCAATTATTTAGTATATATATCCATGTAAATAAAGTAATTCCAAGGCATTTGATTGGCTAACCAAGCATTTTGTTTTTCTTTATATTTCTATACACCAAACAAAGAGTCACGCCACACCAACAACCATTCTACTTTCTTTCTAAGTTTGTGATCTATTTGAAAGGTGTGAGGTGAATGTTAGAAAGAAACTAGGGCTGGGACAAGTCCAAATTAACAACCTGGGTGCCCACCCACCTATTACCCGACCCTACCCGGGTACCCACTGTAGGTCTCAAGAGATAGGTACAAAATGTCTGATTGGGAATAGTTTGACTGTAGCCCTGGACAAAATGTAAAATTTAGATACACGCATAAATTGATCTGGTCATGCATACACTGAAGTTGTCTGAAGTTTTATCTTTATTCAAACATATAAAAGTCCTGGTGCAAAGTCAGAAAGAAATGCAAACATTAGTGACTTGTAGTGTGACCATATAGTTCAAGATCATTTTTGTCATTAAACATATATCACATGACCAACCACGGGTCCGGGTAGTTCTGTGGGTACCCGGGTCATTCTCAGTACCCATCTGACCTGAGTACCCGAGTTACCCGTCCCAGCCCTAAAGGAAACCTTTACATTTCGAATTCAAAACATGAATACTTACAATGTTTTGTTTGAGCAGTGAGCCTGAACAACCTGAAATAAACCACAGTGTGATAATATGAAGTTGTGGACAGGTTGAATGAAGCAAACATTGCATGTTCTCTGGCAATGGCCTTATAGGTTGATTACTTTAATAATATACAGCTCCATTTCTGTATAACACAATACATATGATAATAAGAACTTCCTGTTGCCAGTCTTACCTTGCCGAAGTTGAGCAACAGCAGGACAATGGCGCCAGTCAGATGCGGCACCAGCCCTCCACATAGCTTCATTCCAGTGTCCAGTACACAACGTCATCGAATCTGTAACATACCAGTACCGCAGACATTAGCCTCACTGATTTCAGATTTAATGAGGCTCGATCTGTGGTGCTCTTTCAGATTCAATAAGACTGAGTCGCCTTGAGTCTTAAATAACATCACAGACTGAGCTTCCTTAAATCTGAAATAACATCACAGAGTGAGCTTCCTTGAATCTGAAATAACATCACAGACTGAGCTTCCTTAAATCTGAAATAACACCACTGACTGAGCTTCCTTAAATCTGAAATATCATCACAGACTGAGCCTCCTTGAATCTGAAATAACATCACAGACTGAGCCTCCTTGAATTTGAAATAACATCACAGACTAAGCCTCCTTGAATCTGAAATAACACAACTGACTGAGCTTCCTTAAATCTGAAATAACATCACAGACTGAGCCTCCTTGAATCTGAAATAACATCACAGACTAAGCCTCCTTAAATCTGAAATAACACCACAGACTGAGCCTCCTTGAATCTGAAATATCATCACAGACTGAGCCTCCTTGAATCTGAAATAACATCACAGACTGAGCCTCCTTGAATCTGAAATAACATCACAAACTGAGCTTCCTTAAATCTGAAATAACGCCACAGACTGAGCCTCCTTGAATCTGAAATAACACCACAGACTGAGCCTCCTTGAATCTGAAATAACACCACAGACTGAGCCTCCTTGAAACTGAAATAACGCCACAGACTGAGCCTCCTTGAATCTGAAATAACACCACAAACTGAGCCTTCTTAAATCTGAAATAATACAAGTTTGTCCATTTCAAAAAGGGCACAGATCCCTGCTTAATTACTGACTCGTCATGGCGAAACAATTTTCTCAATTGACTCAAATTTTTATGGATACCGCTCTATGACATCATGTAATGGCCACAACAAAAGATTTCACTATAATGCAATTCCTTCCATGTGAAGCTCAGAACTTATCAGTCAATCCTCGTACATAAACTGAAAATGTCCCGAACTTGATGTATCATACAATCTAGCGACGGGAACACAAAGCCATGAGTGATATCAACACTTGGCAACACATTGACACATATGCCATGTATACCACGGTTGACTGACTTGCATAGGTCCACATCTATATGTGTCAATGTAATTTGGGGGGGGGGGGGGGGCTCGATGCATATTAATTATTCCTTGTTCAAACAGTTCTCAGAAACCCAGAGTCAATATTAACTATTCTGTACTGTAAAACGTCATGCATCGTTTCCTCTTCAGTGGAATATGAAGTTTCAGCTTGTCTCGCTCAGGGGAATATTCACCGTAGCTCCCTATCTATTTATATCCCATCATTCACGATATGCATTGTACAGCTAGGCTCTCAGGTCACATCCAGATATATACTTAAATGTCTTTTTCAGCTAGGCAACAGTGTCACCTTGACACAGCGATTATTCTGGGTGCATTGAAACATTTCAGGAAACCAATGGACATAATGCGTAACTGTATGTAAACACTGCCTTGGGCAAAAACAAACACTTAGGTTGGTGACCTATTCTTATAATGGTCATCACTATTTGGCATCTTAAGGAACCATGCCTCTAGCAACCTTAAAGCGAGTGAGTGAGTTGGGTTTAACTTTAACGCCGCTTTTTTTAACAGTATTCCAGTTATATCGTGACGTGTCAGCTTAATGTGGGAGGAAAGCCCGAAGTGATGCAGGTCTCAGATGTTTACCACTTCGGTGAAACCAACAGGCATGGATATGGTGCTGACAAACCTAGAAACATAATCGTGGTGAACCGGGATTCGAACCAACAATCATAGGTTTCTGGCGTGCCCAAGGGACGCAACTATGCACAGCGAATTGCGGCACCTTAGACGACTGGGCCACCCGTGCCCCCAGCTACCTTAGAGAAAACAGTGTATGCACTTCTGGTTGAATGTCCTTGACCCCGACTTTAAGCCAATTTTATTATTTCTAGTTGGATATGTGGGGATAATTCACCTCCTAAAAACACTGAGCTTCCATCAACCTGAAATAACGCCACAGACTGGGTGGGTTCTCATGGTACAGTAAACACAACTACCACCTTACAAATAATTGTTCCATTGACCTTGACCTTCAGTGAAGATCGTTCAAAATCTTACAAATTCAATGCACTACCTTAAGTATGATATGTACTGTATTTTCATCCAACTACACTGAACACTACTTGAGATATCATGAACATATTACATTTTTAAGTGTATGACCTTGATAATGAACTTGACCATCAATATCAGTGACAAGTCTACAAGAACATTTCCAAAGGCTATCCAGAATCCAGCATATAAACCAAATATGATGTCTCTAGGTGGAATTCAACACTGAACAAACAAACAAACAAACAAACAGCATATGCTATTCATTGAAAGTACACTTGTAGATCTCAGGGACCTATCGTTTGTTTGTTGTGTAATGGCGCACTAAACAGTATTCCAGTTACATCATAGTCAGTGGTCTGTAAATATTTGGGTTTGGACCAGCCAATCCAGTGATTGACCTCAGGAGCATCGATCTATGCAAATGGGATTCAATTACATGCATCAACCAATCAACCAAGTCAACCATCGGATCCTGTTAGGGCCAGTATGTCGACCATTCTGAAGTATTGTTAGCAGTCGTGTGTGGCTGCTTGTACTAGTTCGGACTAATGCTGAATTAATAGTGCTAGCCCACTGAGATGCCATAGCGCAGTTTAACATGAATACCCCACTCAGACACAGTATACTGACTCCGAGCCGACCAGTCCTTGTTTAAGCCCCTTAATGCGAAGCGCCAGATAGGTTAATAAACAAGTACAATCTTTTAACGTCTTTTGGTATGACGCAGCGAGGGACCAACCTTCGATCTTCCGCAGATTACTAGACCACGGAGCAGTGAGGTACATGACAATAAAGCTTTACACATCAAGTATAAAACATCCCCCAATTTCCCGACACTGAAAATGAAATGGTTGCTGCCTTACACACACAAACAATAACCAACTGAGGGTGAAACTAACATGACTAACATTGTCAAACAAAGGGTAAAGGGCAAAGGTAACATGAAAAGTGACAATTATTCAGCATGCCACACACTTTGGGCATATCACTGTCATTCCACATTTATCTACTCAGTATTTCCGAGTGATTGTGCATAAACAATGATAAATATATTACTACAAATGAAAAAGAATTTTGGGTTCGAGTAAAAACACCAACAATTGAAAGTGAAAAAAATACACAAGTTGCATGTCCAGCTGTGCCCAGCATGTCCAGTTTTCATTGTGTGTGCGTGTATGTGTGCATGTGTGTGCGTGTATATGTGTGTGCGTGTATATGCGTGTGTGTGTGCATGTGTGCGGGGTGGCTTAGGTTGGGGTGGGGTAGGGAGGTTATATTTTATATCAGCAATTTATTTTTTATCTTGAGGATCCCAATTACTACCCAGCATAAAAAAGTGCTTAATTCTTTTTCCTACAATGCCCGCTGTAAAAGGCGACTATGCTTGTTGTAAGAGGCGACTTACAGGATCGGGTGGTCAGGCTCACTGACTCGGTTGATCCATGTCATCGTATCCCAATTGTGTGGATCGATGCTCATGATGTGAGTCACTGGATTGTCTGGTCTAGACTTGATTATTTACAGACTGCCGTCATATAGCTGGAATATTGCTGAGTGTGGCGTTAAACAACGAACAAACAAAGAAACAGACAAAATCCCTAAATTCAATTCTTAAAGGGGCACTAATCTCTGGCTTCTTCTCGGCTGTCTAACACTGCCCACTGGGACTCACCAGCTGCCGAGAGTCAATTGCTCGCTAATGAAACTGAGCGTGACAAGAGACTGGACTACCGTCTGCAAGGACAGATAACTAAACTTGGAGGCAATATTTGTTTTACGCATATAAGAACACTGATTGTTTACCCGTGATCTATGAAGATTTCGACAAAGGGCGCATGTTAATTAATTTCTTCAGCCTAAACAAACAAACAAAAAGATGTCGTTATTTGGAAATACCCCTGATGGTTATAGTTTAATAATAAAAAGTATCCATGCAGTGAAAGCATTTTTGGATTTCGGATTGCGTGAAAAATACGATTACTACTCCCTTGTTGTTACTGGAGTATTTGTCGTCATTCACTTGATGCTCAGTCAATGAATTTATTACAGGTATAATTAGTGGTAGCACCACCCAGATTACCTGATAGAGGTTCCCATTTGGCATTTAGTGTGTCTGGGGTAATTATTCAATCTAAATCTAGGTTTGAAGTTAGGTGAAATGTGTGTTATGTAAGATGCACCTGGCAGCCCAGAAAGAGATGAATGATCTGTTGATTTACATTTTTGTAAATCAACGAATCATTCCTAGCCATTAAAGGATCAACAGAAAATATGTTGATTGATTAATCACTGTTATCTTGCACAGTGGTAAAAACAACATACTTTGTTCAAAGGGTTAACCTATAATATGTTGAATGGTTGCTCATTGTTATCTAACTCCCTGGATTTTTTTAATAACCGTGGTCATTATGGAAATAGTTGTCACATGGGCTTTCTCAGCTGACCTTTGAGACTTGACACCTATGTAAAACAACTGAAACAAACTAAGTGATTAGTTGAGAAACAAACACAGGTTATAATATCCCGAAACGCTAAATATATATATTTTAAAATATTTGATTGTTACAGAGACACGTGACATAGAATAAGCTACTTTGTACAGCTGCAGATGTATGGGATGTTGATCTTTTATGTGCAGCAACCAGTCCCGGGGAGTTGCTTTAGATCAGTGCCCCTTCAATTATTATGGTTGACACAATGTCAGAAATTATTCAATATCACTAAATTTTGTGTTTTTGTTTTTCATCTGATCTCAGTGAATTTTTCATGCGAATCTGTAAAGGGTACGAACCAAATCTACATACTCACATAGGCGGGTAAATGTACTCACTAACTTGTGAAGGCACTGACACTAGGACTGTGGTGAAAGTGACATATTATCCCAAATGTTTTCGTGAAACACCGTTGCAACAGGAAATAGGTCACGACCATAACACAAACAGTCGGGATACTTTCTGTCGATCAGAGATCAAGCATCTGTATGACAAGTCTAAAAGATTCACAAATCAAGCACAGAAACAGGACACAACATACCTGGATAATCTTTGCCTGAGAATCGTTTGTTTTGAAGCCATTCCACAGTCGGGTATAAACATTTTCCCCTGGACTTTCCACCCGCTTGAAACGCAATAGGAAATCCCACCACTGACCGATCGAGATAGGAGCTCTCAACTTAGTCTTTTTATAGATCATGTAATTCCTACAAGCACTGCGGGGAGCTTAAGTGGGGAATTCCCTCCTGTGCTGTGTTTGCTGTCGAGTCTGACCAATCTCTTTCTTATCTATTTAATATGTATTATTTTTTGTTGAGGTAGATTCTGTAAGGTTAAATGATAATATTGCTGACTGCAGCAGAGCTAGAGACAAATTTCATTCACTCACTATAATTACATATGAATTTGTATATATAATCAGGTGTTTATCAGCTGTTTATCTGGGTTTCAAAACTGAACGCCCTTGTCTTGGCAGTTAAAGAGGATTTTAAAATTGTTTATACCAAACAATTGTTTTCTCTTAAATTTCAGAAATAGTTTAACATTGCATTTAATGCAATAATATAAATATACATATTAAAGCCTCTTTATAGTTACTTAAATTTTGTTTAATTTTTGTAGTTGTCTTTTTATTTTTCTCATTTTAATATTGGGTAGTAATGCAAACACAAATAAATGTAAACCATTTTCTTTATTATTGTCCCTTTGGACTCCAGTCAAAATTATTAACTTCAAAATATAAGAAAGTGTTACTAATTCTGTCATTAAAGATATTTTTCCAACAATACACCACCATATCATCCATAATGCTGTCCCATGAGGGTCAACAACAGGGGACTAGATTTTTGTTTGTTTGTTTGTTGTTTAATGCCTCACACAGCAATATTCCAGCTATATGACGGCGGTCTGTAAAATAATCGAGTCTGGACCAGACAATCCAGTGATTGACATCATGATCCACGCAATTGGGATCGATGCCATGTATCAACCAAGTCAGCAAGCCTGACCACCCAATCCTGGTAGTCGCTTTTTACAACAAGCATAGTCGCCTTTTACGGCATGCATGGGTTGCTGAAGACCTATTCTACCCCGGAATCTTCACGGGTCTCAGGGGACTAGAAAAGTGGCTGGTCATACATTTTCAATGCAGAACATACCACAATCATTGTCAGTGGGTATTTGCCTGGAAAAAAACAACTCCATACTAATTGTACAGGCAATTGTGGAAGCATACATGAGCTTTAAAAAAAATAAGGATAGAATGAAGATTAATTCCTAAAAGAAACTTTTATTTTTGTTTTACAACTTGGAAATTTTAGAAAGCTCAGGATCTGGTCTGCAGTTACCTCCCCTGTTCAATTTTGAGAAACGTTCTACTAGACAGGGTGGAACATTCACCCGATCACAAAAATGTCTCACCCACAAAGTTATCCTGACCTTGGTTGATGAGCTCTCTAACTTCAAGATTTCTTCATAACAACAAATTAGATCTTCCTTGTTTTTCTTGGCTCCGCGATTCGCTGTGCAGAGTTGCATCCCTTGGGCACGCCAGAAACCTATGATTGTGGGTTCGAATCCCGGTTCGCCCCGATTATGTTTCTAGATTTGTCAGCACCATACCCGTGCTTGTGGGTTTCACCAAAGTGGTAAACGTCTGAGACCTGCATCACTTCGGGCTTTCCTCCCACATTAAGCTGACACGCCGCGACATAACTGTAATACTGTTCACTCACTCACTCATTGTTCATTTCTATGAACAGTTGGGTAGCCTGGAGACGAAATCACTGGCTCGTCATGCAGGACTGGGTTTGATTCCCCACAAGGGTGCAATGTGGGAAGCCCGTTTCTGGTGTATCCATGATATGTCTGGGGTATTGCTAAAAGCGGCGCAAAACTGAACTCACTCATTTCAATACCAAGCCGTGGAGATTCCAGGTTAGACCGGTCCTCAGTAACCTATGCTGGTTGTAAGAGGTGACACATTGGATCAGATGGTCAGGTTCACGGACTGGGTTGATGCTCATAATATCAGTCACTGGATTGTCTCATCCAGATGCGATTTTTTTCAGGCTGCAATCATATAGCTTAAATGTTGCTGACTGCGGTGTTAAACCACGCACAGATGCACACACATACGTGCGCGCACACACACACACACACAGAGTAACACTTGCATTCCCATACCCCCTACAAACTGGTGTTGATTCATCGTAAATCATTAACTGATGAAGTTTGCAACTGCTTGGTTATATCTGTGCATGTTATATAAACTTGGATTACTGAGGTATGTCTTTTCACCTCTACATGAGATAACAAATACCAACGTGCAACTGTGGCCAATAGCCACTCTCGATCAGTTTATGACATTCAACAACATAGCCGCTCCCACTAGAATTCTCAAAGAACTTTTTGTGTATTCAAATAGTATACCAACATTTTCCACCAATTTCTTTAGAAAGGGATTTGAGATGAAGTTCCAGTTTGAAGCTGTTGGTAAAGAAGTGTGACGGGAACAGGAGCGACCATGTTGTCAAATGATGTAAACCAGTCCTGGGTACCTTTATGATATAGACTATCACAAGATTTCCAAAATTGGCTACATTTAGATATGGTCTGGGTACAAAATGACATGGCAGCAAAAAATCTTGGTAACCGATCGAGAGTGACCCTGTCAGGACAACTGCAGTATATGTGCAGGCGAGATGAAGGCAACTTCCGTATCATACTGACGATAATAAGACACATTAATGAAATCACTTCAGAAAGAATTTATTTCTTGTAATGATATCATAATGAGGATGTAATTACTCACTGATATGAAATAGTGCATAAAAAGTCACTGATATGAATTATTGCATAGAGCACTGAATGAACTATTGGAGTCACATGGTTTGTTTGCCAACTTTGTTGTTTAAAGCCACACACAGCAATATTCCAGCTATGGGATGTCCGTCAGTAAATAATCAAGTCTGGACCTGACAATCCAGTGATTGACATCATAAGCAGCAATCTTTGCAACTGGGATAAGATGACAAGCATCAACCAAGTCAGCAAGCCTGACCACCAAATCCTGTTAATCGCCTCTTACGACACGCATAGTCGCTTTTTCTGGCAAGCATATAATATACCGTATTCGACGTAATAAGCGCCCCGCTCTAATAAGCGCCCACGGCGATATTTGCTAACATATTGGCTAGTGAACAATCCCAATTAGCACCCCTTCCGATTGATCAATGTACACAAAACTTATTTATTCGCGTATAATACGCACTCGTGTCTTACATGCATCCTTAATTATGGGCAATTAAATTCTGGAAAAATATATCTGTCGTATATAAACATTTCAGGCTGTCAGCATAAACCACGAAATTTATCCTTTAACTCTGTTTTTTTCACCAAAATAATATTCTAATAAGAGCCCCCTATTTCTAATTTTGAGAGCGCCCTGGGCGCTTATTACGTCGAATACGGTATGCACTATTAAATAGTTCCCTTTAGCACCATTGTTACAGAAACATAACATGAACACAGCAGTGATATGTTTGATATATACATGCAGGCTTCTTGCTTGACTGTATACAAGAATCTTCAAGTCATCAAGATATACCCCAGTGTTGCATAATAGTGAAATAGTATGGATGTTACAAAGAGGTATTTACACAAAAGATTTAGTCAAATGAGCAAGTGACAAGTCAGTATCATGGACTCTGGAAGTGTTTTTGTTGTTGTTTAATGCCGCATTCAGCAATATTGCAGCTATATGACGGCTGTCTGTAAATAATCAAGCCTGGACCAGACAATCCAATGATTCACATCATGAGCATCAATCCACGCAATTGGGATACGATGACATGCATCAACCAAGTCAGCGAGCCTGACCACCCGATCCCATTAGTCGCCTTTTACGACAAGCATAGTCGCCTTTTACGGCAAGCATGGGTTGCTGAAGACCTATCTCCAAGCCCTGATCTTCACAGGTCAACTGGATTTCACTATTATGCAATTCCTTCCATGTTGAAGCTCAGAGCTCAGTCAATCCTCGTCACACTTGAGTGGTGAGATTGTGCCAAACCAGCTAAATTGTCTTCAAAACATGCTACACAGCACTTGGATGTGATACAAATAGCTTTCATTGATACAAATTCTGTAATAAAATAATCTGGAAAAATATCCACTAAAAACCTTCACAATTTCCATCAAAACTCTCCATTGATCATGACAGTAAATCCATCCTTTGTTACCATGGAAACAGAATGGACATCCATAAGTTCACTTTCTTGGAATGATAAAGACTGAACATGATAATCATGATTGCTGATGAATCTGTATTTTGTAACCATGGAAACAGATTCATTCTCTCATGGAATAGCGGAACAACTACAATGGTTCTCAGATGGCATGGCAACAGAACCAATCATTCATCACTCCTGAAAGATATCAAACAGTTAACCAGATCATGAATCAACGCTGTAACCATGGTTACTTGAAAGTGATTGGTTTCGAACACGGTATGAGAGAAACCAGCAATGATGGAATCTGTCCTTTGACGGAGGTAGTTTGGGACTTGGCATCGTTGAAATCAGGAGCATCTTGGAATGTGATCTTAACAAAACCATCCGTGTAAAAACAGATCTCGGAACGTCCCTCCAGGCCAGTGTAACACTGCGGACCCTTGAGATCAACATACAAAGTGTGCATAGTGTCTTTCTTAATCAGCAACTTTCTCCGAAAATACACTCGGAACATCTCCTCAGTTGTCCGTCTATGAACACTTTTCCTCTTCATCCAAATATCCAGCTGTTCAATTTTGTCGTAGACTTTGGTGTTCAATTCACAAATCACCTCCTTTTCTTTGTACACTGCTGAGTGGACGTCGTACAAGCAGGTCTTGCCCGTGCTGGTTCCAAACAGACAGAAACCATGTAGATACAAGTCTTCATTTGTTTTGAAGGACACAGCGTGATGATAGTCATTCTTAATGCATGTGTCTTCCGACGTGTTTCGGAATCGCGTTACTGTGCGGATGTTTTCGTGTGGACCTCTACGCTTCATGTTACAAAGTTTAGACTTGGCCTTATTTGGTGCAACAACATGTTCCAATATCATGCATCTCTCCTCTGAAGACAGAATGTTCATCTTCGTCACGTCTGCCACAAAATAGTCAGGGCTGAGTTGCGAGAAGCGCACTTCCCACAAAATGTCGCCAAGGACCTTCCGCTGGTTCTGGCTCGTCACCTTGACCTTGGTTTCAACACACTGGTGAGTTGCCCACGTCATGACAGCTGTCAACACAGACCTCTCCAAGTCGGCAGCCGCTGCTTTCCTTTCCATTTCCCATAATTCCCTCCTGACCCCAAGTTTAACATGCAAATTATCGGAGGACACAACTTTCTTCAAACAGCCAGCACACAACGTGGTCACTTCCTTAGATTCCAACACACTGGTTGCATGGTCTTCGATAAACTCAAGGGCCTTAGTCTCCAGCGTGGGTTCATTGAATAGATGGGCCTGCTCCATGACGACACAAGCACTTTCAATGGACATCTGTGCATCGATGTAGGAGATGATGGCTGTCACCAGGGGCTCCACGTTGTACTTCTTGGCCACGTACATCAGCTGCATGACGGTGTCCGGTGTCACATCCAACTCCTCCGTGTACACATACCTACAACACAAACCTTGGATGAGGACTAGGCATGGTGTGTGTGTGTGTGTGTGTGTGTGTGTGTGTGTGTGTGTGTGTGTGTGTGTGTGTGTGTGTGTGTGTGTGTGTGTGTGTGTGTGAGTGAAAGTGAGTGAGAGACACAGAGACACAGAGAGAGAGAGAGAGACAGAGAGAGACAGAGAATTGTGGGTTTGTGTGTTGTGTGCGTGAGTGTGACTGTGTGTGTGCGTGAGTGTGAATGTTGTGTGTGTGAGAGTTGTGTGCGTGGGTGTGATTGGTGTGTGTGCGTTAGTTAGCTTAACACAACTCAGCAATATTCCAGCTAAAGGAAGGCAGCCTGGAAACAATCGAGTGGACCACAAAATCCAGTGATCGATATAATGAGCAACAATCCACAGTCTGAGACACGCAATCAACCAAGTAACCTAGCCAGACCACCAGATCCATTTAGTTGCCTTTTACAACCAGCATAGGTTGCTTGGGATCAATCATAAACCTCTGATGACGTCATCCCATTGTTCTATACAGGGTTTTCTCCTATCAGCAAGTGCTTGGACTCATGCAAGTTGAAAGCCGGGAGTGAATTTGAATACATGGGGAGGTGTTACTTTCAAGTAAGACCTGCTTCCAGGTTCTCCTTCTTTCAAGTGAGACCTAAGGTTTTACTTTGAATAATTAATAAAACATAAATTGTGTTTACTTTGAACTTTGTCAATTAATTCACATCTAATGTCGATTTTTGACTATTTGTTTTGCACATGACTGAGTGAGTGAGTGAGTATGGTTTTACGCCGCTTTTAGCAATATTCCAGCAATATCACGGCGGGGGACACCAGAAATGGGCTTCACACATTGTACCCATGTCGGGAATCGAACCCGGGTCTTCAGCGTGACGAGCGAACGCTTTAACCACTAAGCTACCCGACCGCCCCTGTTTTGCACATGAAAATGCCATGATGTGAATCCAACCTGCAACCCCACATGTCAAGTGTAGTATTGCCACCCAGTGTTTTCCCATTGATCCACCGATGCAGGTGATAGTGAAAGTGCAATGCATATTAATGAGCGTTAGACAAGCCCATTTTAAATAGGTGTAGGTATGACATATTTGATTGATGCGTGCATAAATCTAAGATCATGATGGTCAGTTTATCAGTCAGTTCACGACTTCGAGTGAGTGAGTGAGTTGGGTGTAACGCCTCTTTTAACATTATACCAGTTATATCATGCATGTCAGCTTAATGTGGGAGGAAAGCCCGAAGTGATGCAGGTCCCAGACGTATACCACTTCGGTGAAACCAACGAGCACGGGTATGGTGCTGACAAACCTAGAAACATGATCGGGGTGAACCGGGATTCGAACTCACAATCATAGGTTTCTGGCGTACCCAAGGGACGTAACTCTGCACAGCGAATTGCGGCGCCTTAGATGACTGGGCCACCCATGCCCCCTCACGGCTTTGAATTCAGAGAAGCGAGATTTCAGGGGGATAGATAGGACCTCGGTCTTAATTTGTCACCTATCCCCCTCCCACTTCAGATCTTATTAATCCCACCAAGACCTCATTCCTGGTCTAACTAATGGGTGTCTTATGAATAGGCCTTTATGGCCACAGATTGATGCAGGGACTACAATGCACACTGGGTTCATCATATGATGAAATTAATGATCCCTATCACATTTACTTACGGCATGCAATGATTACTCCCTTTTTGCTTATAAATGAAATGTATAATGTATAATATGACTGTAGAATTTGGTAAGGCAATGAGCTGCCACAGTGCAAACATTAAACAGAATAGATCCCCGTCAACGGCTTGTGATATTAGTTGAATTGGTTCTCAGACAATGACTTTTGAAAATAGAGTGCAGGCGGGCGGGTCTTTTGTTTTGTTGCTTTTTCACGGCGTGTCAGCTTAATGGGGGAGGAAAGCCCGAAGTGATGCAGGTCTCAGACGTTTACCACTTCGGTGAAAGAGTGCGGTGATAAACAACAAACAAACTAGTATGATTGTCATATAGCAGAAATATGCTGCATGTGGCGTTAAACAACAAACCAGCTGTAGAAACTAACGTTTTCGGCCCACTAGTCCTTATAATGATAATATATAGCAAAACCCTAAAAAATGGCAAATATCTACTAGTCCTTATGATACCGTAACTATTCGGCAGTTTGGCAAGGACTACAGGACTAGTGCCAATTTCTAACCCTGCAAACTAGTAGGATTGTCATATGCTGCGTGCAGCGTTAAACAACAAACAAACTAGCATGCAATAAACAGTTGTGTATCATCAACCTGGCAAAGGGCCTCCCTACATAAACAAGCACACAAACTCCTACTGCCACCATGACCACAAGATACACAGTAAAGCAGTGTGCATGTAAAGGGAAGTAACTGCATGCTATTTTGGATCACATTGTTTTTAAGTATTAGGATTCTTTTATTTTTTATTGAAACGAAACATGCGGCAGACCTTATGATCATGCGGGCAGTGCCTGAGAACCAAGACCATTATTTTTTTTAGCCTTAAGTTTACCAGCCTGGATTCAGACTTGTGTCTGAAATTGTGGTTTGGGTGACACGTTCCAGTGTATTTTTAGACACATCTTCATAAAAGCTTACCGTAAAAAGGCTTTGAAACTGGTGAGGTCGATGTCGGGGATTTTGATGGTGTTGTCATGTTCTGCCATAGGCCCAAGTAGCATGACATAGAACACATCCGACACTGCCAGGAGCTTGTATTTGTGTGCTCCATACTTGTCTCCATTCACACCTACAGTGAAGAAGACATCACAGGCCACCTGATTGGTCAGCATGTACTCGTGACACTGCTTCAGCGACCTCCCCTTCCTCCACTCCTCCACTTCGGGGATGAAAGGGATGGAGGAAGAGCCTGGAGAGGAACTGCAAAAGAAAGATGTCAACCCTTCAGAGCTACAGATAAGCTGCGTATTTGCGTAAAATATCCCCCAAAACTATTCCAAACCCAATAACTTTCAATTAACTTGCGTACAGAAACACGTCATTAAATGAAAAACTCAGTTTATGAAAACAGCACACGTAAATACCCAATGAAGTTTTTCCAGCATGCCTACAACTGAACTAATTTCTGAAACGAGCAAATTTACTTTCCGAGTCAAGCCTATATTTTGAACCATTATATACATCATTTTTTTTAAATCTCAAAATATTTACTCATTTTGGGAAAAACTCAATAGAGTGATGAATAGATGAGTGAAAAAATATTGGTTACACAATGGCAAATGTAATAACCCAATTAAAATACCTTTGAGTGAAACCTCAATTGCTCAAAATGTTACCGGTATCTGGGGCTCTGACCCTTAAAGGGCAAGTTCACACGGAAATGAACCAATTTTTCTTGTACTTTTTCCACATTAAAAGTGTTAACATAGAAGTGTCATAGACAAAAATATAAAAACATCAAATTTAATTAACATATTTTTTGCATTAAAACGATTTATATTTTTCACTTTTACCAAGTGTTCTATTTCCATAACAAAAACACCATGGCTTATGCCCCTTGCAATATGACGTCATTGGTGCCAATTGATAAACATTATGACGTCATCATGCTTTGTTAGAGCCGCTTCACGTGGTGTAGGTACAGTTTTGTGATTCTAGCGTCTCAGATGCCAGCCAGAATTGTGTTATGCTGAGTCAGCACTGCGCCGGAGTGTGTCGTAGACCATGTTGTTTTACCGCAAACTGGTCGTTGATATCTTTTGCGTTGAGAATAGACAGGGACCCAGTTGAATTGGCACCAATTACGTCATAATCTAAGGGGGATAACTCAGGCCTATTTCGCTCGTAAAACGAAGGCTTCATAACGGCATATCATTTTCACACTATTGTGAGCTTCCTACTTTCACTGTGAAACAAAATGAGTGTATATTTTCAAACACAGATACTAACTAATTCTAAAATTGCGTTTTGTTTAGAAAAAGAAAGAAAGTGATTTTTGCGTGTACACTTCCCCTTTAATGATTCAAATTGTTCAGGACAGCCCTTCTCAGAACTGTTCTTCAATACAGTAGTCAGTAAAATTCCAGCTGTATCTTGGTAACCTTTAAATGTTCGAGTCTGGACCAGACATACCAGTGGTTGATATCATGAGCAACATCCCATGAGTCAGGTTACGATGACAGGCAAATCAACCAAGTCACAAGACTGGCCACCTGGTCCATTGTAATTGCCTCTTGTTGAAATTAGGTTCATGGAAGTTTGTTTGTTTGTTGTTTATATAACGCTGCACACAGCAATGTTTTCCAGCTATATGACGGCAGTCTGTAAATAATCGAGTCTGGACCAGACAATCCAGTGATTGACATCATGAGCATCGGGAAAACATTAATATCCACTATAAATTGTGGCATCTTCCCGAGGCAAGAGAGTTAACTGACTTTAAAAGTCCAGTTTCCACCCTTGCCGAACTAGGCTGGAATTCCTGGGCTCGATCGTAGCGCCACCAGTGGCTATTACGAGTTATGTCCTTTCTATGCCTCTCTTATTGACCAATAAGATTCAACCTCTCGTATCACTTGCATTTGCTTAAAAAAAAAACGGTGGCGCCCAGTCAAGATGATCCGATCGATAATCAAGATCTTTATTGTGATAAAACGAGTCTTACATCGCGAAGTGCATCAAATCACGTGTGCACCTTGATTAAAAACCTGAAAAGATTTAGAAAATATCTGTTGACAACGAGCAAATCCTGCAGTCGACCGAAATCTGCATGACACTTTACGAACCGGATTTCGATTTCGGTGCGCGATTTTGATTGGACTATACAAAGACTCGTTTGTCCAGCCAAAATATAACTCCATAATACCAGCCTAGTTCGGCAAGGGTGGAAACTGGACTTTTATAGTCAGTTAACTCACTTGCACCGGGAAGATGGAATTGTGGATACCCATTGAAACTCAAACCCACTGGAAAGATACCCAAATAACCAAAAGATTATCTAGTGCTCTGCACGGGTATGTTGCTGACAAACCTAGAAACATAAACTTGGAGAACAGTATTCCAACCAATGATCACAGGTTTCTGGCATAGCAAAGGGATGCAGCTTTGCAATGCAACTGTGGCACCTTAATAATTGGGCCACCCATTCACCCTCTCCCTCCCCTCCTGTAAAAGAATAATAATTCACTTGTTTGTTACTGCTGGTGTGGTCTGCTTCTCATCTGATTGCTTTGGATCCCTGGCGCTTCCTGAGGCTGAAGTCTGCGACTTCGTGGTCCGTCGAGCTTTTCTCTTCGGTGGCATGGCTGCAGGTAGCTCCTGAAATATTTTAATGTTCTATTCTCAGGGGCTTATCTTGACCTGCTCATAGGCCAATATTCAGCCTTAAGCCTCAACGAATGTCAGTAAACATTCCCAAATTGGAACTCATTATATTTGACTTTTGTTTGTTTGTTTGTTGTTTAAAGCTGCACTGCATATTCCAGCTGTATGACGGCGGTCTGTAAATAATCAAGTCTGGACCAGACAATCCAGTGATTGACATCATGAGCATTGATCTACGCAATTGGGATACAATGACATACATCAACCCAGTCAGCGAGCCTGACCAACGGATCCCGTTAGTCGCATCTTAGAACAAGAATAGCTGCCTTTTACGACAAGCATGGGTTGCTGAAGACCTATTCTAAGCCTGATCTTCACAGATATTATATATGACTAATGTTATGTCTTTGTTAAGGAGACTTGTAGATTACTGAAAACAGGACCAGTAATGGTAAACAAGGTAAAGGCTTTTTTGCTTTGGTATTATTAATGTTAAATAAATAAGAAAACAAATCCCAATTTTGAACAAAATAATGATTTTTTCCCCAATTTGACCATGTTGACTGCCAAGGGCACATAGTCTGGAATCCTAGATAAATCCTTGATTCTATCACCTTTGTTTGAAGTCGAGGATTAAGGTAAAGAGCAATTGTGACATAAATAATCGAGTCTGGGCCAGACAAACCTGTGATTGAAATATGACAAGGACAAGTGCTTGAGCGATTGATCATTCATTTGGTCACTCAATCTATCTGGAAAGTCACAATGATTATCAATCTGTTAAAAGGTTTAATCAATATAGAACGTCATGTTGTAACTAGAGTTTGTTTTGTCCATAATTACAGACTTTGCTGAACTTTGTTGCCCTGGGTAGATTCACTGAATGTTATTTATTAATTTGGTTAGTTGATGCAATTCAAATTTAAACGAGTAACCAGCCTGGAAGCTTTGCTTGCCGGAACCACTCCATTGTAAAATGTTTGGTTACCGTTGAGTAGACATATTTATTTCATATGGAAAAAACAACAGTAACAATCAATTATTGATCGATCTGATTCTCATCTATGAGATAAATGAGTGATCTGTGAAGATCTGGGTTAGAATTGGTCTTCAGCAACCCATGCTGGTTGTGAGAGGCGACTAACAGGATCGGGTGGTCAGGCTTGCTGACTTTGGTTGATGCATGTCATTGTATCCCAATTGTGTGGATCAATGCAATGATATCAATCATTATCTGGTCTAGACTCGATTATTTACAGACCGTGGTTATACAGCTGTAATATTGCTGAGTGCGGCGTTAATCAACAAACAAACAAAGATAAATGAGTGACGTTTTTTTTACAAAAATAGAAACGAGCAAAATTTTTGGAGCGGACGGTAGACTTCTAGATTTTACAAGGAGCTGTGCGAGTACAAAGAGACAGAATTTGGAAAATAAATTTTGTTTCAATGCTGATGTATCAAGAAACCTAGGGAATTATTTAAGAATTTTCTTTAGTGGTCCCGAGGCCACTGATGTCAGTGATCAACCATGAAACGAGTGAGCGCCCGGTAGGCGGTACACTGCACTACTCCCCGATATGTACCTGTGCTATTTTGATCGTAATTAGGGTACCTGTCAACTTATTTATTACCTGTTGTCGCTCCTCGTTTCACTATATGCCTTCGTCACTTTCGGTTTGCTCCTTTTCTTTTGAAAAGCACCGCCAGAAGAGCCGGAAATGAATCGAAAGCATTTCACGAGTAGAACTCGGCCGAACTATGCAAAGCTCAGAAACAGCGCATGCTACTATGGCAGGACGTTATGTTATCATGCAAGGCGACGCATTGGCTCTGCAAAGAGCTTAGTTAGCGTAACCACTCGATATTTTCCGAATGAGATCACGCACTCCTATTTCACTTCATTAAAATTACTCGGAACATTTCGCGTTCGTATCCCACAAAAGAAATGTTAAAACACGATGGAGGAGACAAAATGGAGCTTTATTATATCGTCAAAAAGAATTCTCCTAAACCCTAACTTTCTGATCATTGCGGCTGAAAATGAGAGTCGTGCCTGGTAAACTGCAATTTTATTTATTTTGTTGTTTTTTACTTATCCTCTTTTCTGGTTCTTGTTGTTTATTCATGTTACTAGTATCAATGGTAATAAAACAAAGGGAAACAATTGTATTGTACAAAGAATGGAGAATTATTTGACTCAATTGTTAAACATAAATTAGAAAAAACAACACATAAAATATATTTCATAAGATTAATGGAATTAAAGGATGGAGGCGATATGTCTTAATTATAATAGGTAGAAGAAAAATACTTTAAATGATCCCCGAAATAAATCCTCTTTGCTTTAATAAGTTCACAATACAAAGAGACATCACATAGCAAACTCAAGTTCTGTGACGTAATAATAAGAGATTTTACGTGCGCCTCAATTATCACACATGCCATTGAAATTCAGCACGGCTGTCATTACATCAAAACATGTGTCGCTGTCAGCACACACTCCAGATGGATCCCAACTGATGTCACGTTTGGGGTAACCGTGTAGATCCGGGTTAGAATAGGTCTTAATTAACCATGCTTGCCGTAAAATGCGACTAACGGGATCGGGTGGTCAGGGTCGCTGACTTGGTTGATGCATGTCATCGATTCTCATGATGTCAATCTCTGGATTGTCTGGTCCAGACTCGATTATTTACAGCCCGCCGTCATATAGCTGGAATAGTGTTGAGTGTGGCGTTAAACAACAAACTAACATACAAGCCGAAATTCCATTCCAACACACAGTGCATTCACAAAATAAGCTGAGTTTAACACCGCTGTGACACGTATTTCAGTTGTCACGGGATTTCAGCTTAACCTAGATCTAGGATTCCTAAATCGCGAGGCCTTAGACAAAAGGACACTCGCGCACCTTTACATGCACGGGACACTGCTCAAAGACACGATAAACATTTCATTCGAAAACTTCAGTCATATGACGAACCTCAATATAATCAGATCTCACAGTGCTCGCTCCCGCTCTACAAAGAGCTGAGGACAGATTACAGCTCTGATAGGTCGGATGGAATGTAGTTCTGGCGTGACCGGTGATGGGATGTCCTCAGATCTTTGTGTGGAGGAAGCGAGAAATATAAGATCTGATTTTAATGAGATTGTTATACGTATTATGCAACATAAACCGCAGGATATCAAGTACATATACAATAAACTACGGTTATAACGAATTCAAAGGGACCACAATTTTAGTTCGTTATAACCGCAGTTCGTTATATGCATATTTAAAGCAAATATACTGCAAATTGCCGGGACCAAAAAATAGGGTCGTTATAAGCGTGTTCGGCATAAACGTAGTATACTGTATTCCCCTTTAGGTGAAGAGGTGAGATGGAATGGTGTTTAACTTTCACTTACCACATTTCCTCTAATAAGCACCCGAACACTAATTATTCTTTAATAAAGCTTCCAAACCCGGCGCTTAATATTTCAACAAAGGTGTCGCATAAGCTAGTCAATAATACAATAATACAATTGTATTGACACACAACAGAATTTTATGTTCTTGAAACCGAATATATTTCAAGATAGTGAGCGAAACTGAGTACAGTAATATGAAATTACAACAAAACACTTGTGAGTCTGAACCTAAGAACTACAAATCTAACATACACGGCATTATGGTGTTGTACGCTGCTTCGTACTTCGCGCTTATTAGAGGAAATACTGTATATATCGACGTGCAAGCGCGTATGTGTGCAGCTGCTTCTACTAGTCCGGTTTATAGTGCTGACCCTCCGAGATACCACGTCACAGTTCGAGTGGGTCTGTTAGACACTCTATACACGGACACCAAGCCGACCAGTAATTGTTTTATCCCCTTAATGTCGAACGCCAGGCAAGGGGAATATCAAGTGCCATCTTTTAACGTCTTTGTGTATGACGCGACCATGGGGTCGATCCAGCGACCTTCACTCTCCGGACAGACGCTCTATCCAATACATCACTGAGGCGGTCGCATCTTAAGCACATACATGCATATCGAATTGTTTTGTTCAGAAAGTGTTCACAACAATTCGTGTAATAAACAAAACGTTAATTAACTCATCACAGGCATAATGCAACTCATAGGTAATTTAAAGTCATATTTATTACATATACATGATAAACATATGACAAAAACATCTTGACCTGAAAATATAGAATAAGCTGAGCCAAAAATATTCGGTATTGCAACAATCTGTAGAGTTAAGACACCAAGCATGTAATTGGGCGTGACCATATATAACAGAAAAAATCTCATGTTTGTTATTTGGAATATGGCATATGAATCACGGGTGATATGACATGGTAAACTGTGTCTCCGGAAGCAACTGAAACGCGAGGGTTTTGCATAGATAACTTTGTTCAGTGAGTTCTGTTCCATAACATTAGTAGAAGTATATATACAAACAAAAATGTGAAAAAAAATCGCAATATTTTAAAACATATTTCTCTACAGAATTCTGGGTCCGGTGAAATAAAGTACAGCGTAAAGATAAAGATTTTATTTATCATCCTGTACCGGTTTATTTTGAAAATTAATTCATTTCTTAAATAGTTAACATCGTCGGTTGCAATAAACAAGAATAAATGTGACTTTTATCTGTAAACTAAGTCATTATAGCTATGTACTCGTCATGATCATCATCAGTACTTACATATTCTGAGAGAAAATTGAAATCCTGATGTCCCGTATTAAACAATGATGTACACAAAAATCACAATACTTCGCATTATAAAGAAAAAACAAAACAAACACATTTACTTCCGCGAGAACACATTCAGATTCAGAGTCCAGTTAATCGATATCGATATCTTCCGTTGCCCCACCCTTGGGTTGGGATTCCTGACCACGCCCACTCTGCCCCGCCCCATGCAGTTTGGCCATGATAGGGCTGCACGTCTTCTGCAGTTCAGTGTACTGATGTTCGTATTCCTCACATTCAGCGAGCATGTTATTGTCCAGCCAGGTAAGTGTTTCACTACAGGACTGCTTCGCCATCTCCTTGTCCCCCTCCCCCAGTTTGTCCCCTGCGTCCTCCACGGCACCTTTAACGCTGAAGATGTACGTCTCCAGTTTGTTCCGACTGTTGACCCGTTCCTTCTGTTTTTCATCTTCCTCCCTGTACGTCTCCGCTTCGTCCACCATTTTCTTTATCTCCTCTGCACTAAGACGCCCACTGTCGTTGGTGATGGTGATCTTGTTGGATTTCCCCGTGCCCTTCTCCACTGCCGTGACGTTGAGGATGCCGTTGGCGTCGATGTCAAACGTCACCTCGATCTGTGGAATACCCCGTGGGGCTGGGGGGATTCCTGTCAAGTCAAACTTGCCCATCAAGTGATTGTCTTTCGTCATTGTTCTCTCTCCCTCGTATACTTGTATGGAGACGGCGGGTTGGTTGTCAGAATAGGTGGTGAAAGTCTGTGTCGTCTTTGTCGGGATGGTGGTGTTCCTCTGCACTAGTTTGGTCATAACGCCCCCCGCTGTCTCGATCCCTAGGGACAGAGGAGCAAGGTCGACTAGTAGCACGTCCTTGATCGCGTCGCTTGTGTCACCGGTCAAGACGGCAGCTTGGACAGCAGCGCCATATGCGACGGCCTCGTCGGGGTTGATGGATTTGTTTAATTCCTTCCCGTTCATGAAATCTTGCAGAAGTTTCTGGATCTTTGGAATTCGGGTGGATCCTCCAACAAGAACAACCTCGTGGATGCTCGACTTGTCCATCTTTGCGTCACGAAGTGCCTTCTCCACTGGCTCCAAAGTACCCCGGAATAGGTCGGAACACAATTCTTCAAATCTTGCTCGGGTTATCTTGCTGTAGAAGTCGGCCCCCTCGAACAGGGAGTCAATCTCTATTCCCGCCTCAGAGTTGCCTGACAGGGTTCTCTTTGCACGCTCACATGCTGTACGAAGTCGACGCATGGCTCGAGGACTCGCACTCAAATCTTTCTTATGTTTTCTCCTGAATTCCTCCACAAAGTGACTGACCAACCTGTTGTCAAAATCTTCACCCCCCAAATGGGTATCCCCTGCTGTTGATCTCACCTCAAACAGAGACCCCTCGTCAATTGTCAAAATAGATACATCAAATGTGCCTCCTCCAAGATCGAAAATGAGCACATTTTTCTCACCTTTGAGATTCTTATCAAGTCCATATGCCAGAGCAGCCGCTGTAGGTTCGTTGATAATTCTAAGCACGTTCAGACCGGCAATTGTCCCGGCATCTTTTGTCGCCTGCCGCTGTCCGTCGTTGAAGTATGCAGGGACTGTGATCACAGCGTCCGTTACCCTGCCGCCCAGGTATGCCTCGGCAGTTTCTTTCATCTTGGTGAGAACCATAGAGCTTAGCTCCTCAGGTGCGAATGTCTTATCTTCATTCTTGTATTCCACCCTCACGCGAGGCTTACCGCCATGATCGACGACTTTGAATGGCCAGTGCTTCATGTCCGCCTGAACGGTAGAGTCCTTGAACTCTCGTCCGACGAGTCGCTTCGCGTCGAACACTGTGTTTTGGGGATTGAGAGCCACTTGGTTCTTGGCCGCATCTCCTAACAGCCGTTCACTGTCCGTGAATGCGACGTAGCTCGGGGTAGTTCTGTTTCCCTGATCGTTGGCAATAATCTCAACTTTCCCATGCTGAAATACCCCAACACAGGAGTATGTTGTCCCCAAGTCGATTCCTACAGCTGGAGCCTTACCGCCCGCCATTGTGAGTGTCAAGAAGAGAATTATTCAATGAAGGTACGTTGACAATCTCTTTTGAGCTTTAACAGCGTTTTCTGTGTACTCTCTGCTGTCTGTGTGTTGAATGTGCGGTAGTCAGGACGTTCCTGGTTATATAGCCGATCAGAACAGACTCGAAACACGCAGGAGCTTCTAGAAAGCACATGGCGTCATGTTGACTATGTATTTTTAGTTTCTTGTGACGTCAGGAATAAATCAGGGATTCCCCAAGGGAGGCAACTCTCGATGCCCATATTTGACAATTCGGATGTTTCCGAGAGTATTGACAGCCTCATTCGTCAGCACTCGTCCCTTTCCGCTACCTTCCGAGTTGGTCACGAATGGTTCATGAGGCCCAACGGAAAACTCCGATCAGTCAGCCTTCCTTCCTGAAGAATCGTGATGAGTGTCGAGCCGAGACTGCAGGATACAGGCTTGTGGTGACGATATTCAGTTTTCCCTGGACAACGCATCATGTATTTGTAGTCGTTTGGCTGCCACCAATGTGGAATATTCGAGACGCCCACACAGCAGAAAACAAACAGTAATTACCTACTGAGCTAAAATACACCAAAATAGCACGTTACGTTTATCACGCAAGTCCAAATTAACTCATAAAAGAAAAATACAATTAATAATTAACTTGGATATGACAAAATACATTTTTATCGTAGATCTGTTCATAAGTACAGAACCAGGCGATCCATGATTAATAAAAAGGTGGAATGTCAAATATTAAAATTGTTCCCATAGAGTTCCTGTGACACCCCTACCCCCACCCACGACAAAAAATAAACAAAACAAAAACCCCGCTGCGTGTCTCTACTAAGAGGCCTCGTTGAGGTTGAGTACATGTTCGTTATTAAAATTAGATATTTTGAATCAGCTGCTAATTGTGTTATATTCTGGATCAGGGCAAACGTGTTTCTATTCGGTATCAGCATCTTTGAAATGTTGTACATGTACTAATTATAAGTAACATAATATAATTATAACACATATGTCATCTACATGGTGTATGCCTGTTGATATTGTGGGTTTATTGACCTCAACACAAAAGCTGTCTTGTCACTTTTTGTTCGTTATGCAGATGTACAGTTTTTAAAAAAACAACACATGACCCCCACCATATAATTTTAACATTTTATTCAATGAAAGCATCGATATATAACCTCACAGTAAATAGTCAACATAATTCCAATCTGTCTCTCACATCAACTGTTGATTCAGTGAAAGTATCGACATATATACCCTTCATTATAGAAAATAGTCAACATCATGACAGATTAACTTCTCCAGCTATGAGAAAAAGAAATTTCTTAATCGTTAAATTAAGATTTGAGTGGAATTATTTACTAGAAATGAGGACAATGTTTCAAATTCTGCCAAGCCTTTACATAAAGATTTAAATGAAATTCTACTTACAGTAAAATAATGTAGCTAAAATTATATTTTTTTTGATGATACAAGGAAATTACTCCACTCAAACATAAATCAAAAGAAATCCTTTCATAATAAATAATATACTTGCAATCCAATGACATTTAGGTCAGTTAAATAGAAACAATCTATATGAGAATGGCTTATTAAAAGAAAACAGCCCTCCTTTCCATATACATATACATGCAATAAGAATTATATATTGATGTATGTGTGGATTTAGGTCAACCTGTACATAGAGTGAGTGAGTGAGTGAGTGAGTGAGTGAGTGAGTTGGGTTTAACGCCGCTTTGAACAGTATTCCAGTTATATCACGGCGTGTCAGCTTAATGTGGGACGGAAGCCTGAAGTGATGCAGGTCTCAGATGTTTACCACTTCGGTGAAACCCACCAGCATGGGTATGGTGCTAACAAACCTAGAAACATAATCGGGGTGAACTGGGATTCGAACCCACAATCATAGGTTTCTGGCGTGCCCAAGGGACGCAACTCTGCACAGCAAATCGCGGCACCTTAGACAACTCGGTCACCCGTGCCCCCCCCTGTTCATAGAGAAGCTCACCCTTGTGTCTTTTTACATTTAATATATCAATGCAAATCAATAAATGTTTTTAAACTTCCATCGATGAGGGTGAGATTTTATTTATCATCCAAAATCATTCCTCCTTTTTCGGTTAGAAAACAGGAATAACCACTACCAGTAAAATGTACCACTTGCCAGCTTCATGGGCAGAGAGATTTAATTGATTATGACTTCATTGCAACTGATGATGTCACAATGGTTTCCAATGCATTGTGAGGCCATTTCATTGTAAGTGATATCATTATACAGATGGACATTGCTTGATAACACCCAAGCAATATCTCCTGTGGAAGCTAGTTTGGATGATAAAGAGATAATACTCACCCGAGTGTCTTTTAATATCAAATATATCAACACGAGTCGATAAAACTTTACACTTTGTCACCCTTGTTTATTTTTAACTGTTAATCTCTGTGCATGTAATTGTTGGCTCTATAACCATGTCCTACTGATTTGTGGATCACTTGTTTGATAAAAGTTCCTGTACCGAAACATCACTTGTTTGTTAAAGGTTCCTGTACCGAAACATAAGAACAAAAGAAGCTGAAATCCATGTCTAATGTTGTGGTCACTGACACTAAAGCCTATAAAGACACAGCTTAATGATTGGTTGTATATACATATTGGAGATGTCCATACAAGAGGTATCATTGACCTAAAACTATGTACAGTGCTTTTCAGAAGTGTCTATTTGTCTCTTTCATGTCCACATTTTGAAAGAACAATAAGTAACACCTAACATGTACCTAAATATAGCCGGACAAGTAGGTGTCATATGTAGGTTCATCACCCACATAAAACTGTGTGAATCTTATTTTGCTGCCCGCTGCCAGTTTATGTAACATCTTTCAAGCCCTCACCCTCCACTCACCATCCCCCCCCCCAAAACCAAACCATGTAACATTTATTCATGACACCCACATTCCCCCTAATAAATGACCAGTTCAAAAACATAGATCAAATTAATAAAATAGATTATTTGAAAATATAGAATTTCCATTCCCCCTCCCCCAAGTGGTGATAAATTTTCACAAGCCCCCACTTTTGCTCTGTCATTCATGAACTCCCCATAATCTCCCCGCCCCCACCTCCTATACTAAATGACCAGTCCCTAAGCATTACCGGTATCTATCACAAGCAAAAAACAGTCACCTAAAAGTCTATCGGTACCACTGTGGGTGAAGATCTGAGGACATCTCCAGAAGGATGTGTCAGGGGAACCTGAGTGAACTCTGACCTCACATCTACATGAAGGATGCGTAGGTGCTGGAGCATGTCAGCCAAAGTATTCGGCTTCATAACTTAACACCGTGATATGGAAATTTTGATAAGAAAAGAAAACACCCAAAGAATACAAACATGCTATGGTGCTCAGATAGGACAGGAAGTATCAAATATTCACAACAAATTGATGGTGCAGCCATTATTGTTTACATTCCAAAGAGGCCGATTAACTTCATTTTCCAGATTCATAAATCGGATATGTTAACCTGAATGCTTAGCTTGTTTATGCTGAGCATTTAGAAGCCTTGATGCTGATTAAGTTTACCCTCTATTGAGACGTACTCAGATCTTCATGCTGAGAAGTATTGCATCAGAGTAAAATCTCTGGCAAGCAAAATCTAGGTGCTAAATTAACAGCAATGCTTCACTGGTCAAAATAAAATCCTCTCTTGCTGAGATGTATGAAAGCGATGACGTCTCGTTGATAAGTATCCCATTCAGATGAGCATCATACATCATTTTCTGTCCTTTTCTTGCGTTTTTCTGAAAATTTATTGCAAATAAGAAATATAACAATAGCAAAGAATGTTCATTTTATTAAATGTGCATTTTACAATATATTATTTGGAATGTTGGGACATAAAACCTGAAAACTTAGGCCAGACTATTTTTGGGGTTACAGATTTTGATAGTGAAACATTTGGATGGTAGGTGGATAATAAAATAAAATATAACGCATTGTACAGATTTTGACAGTGAAACATTTGGATGGTATGGTAAAAGGAAAAATATTATAAAATGCATTGTACAGATTTTGACAGTGAAACATTTGGATGGTGGAAGGAAAATAATAATAAAATGAAATGCGTTGTACAGATTTTGACAGTGAAACATTTGGATGGTAGGTGGAAAATAATAATAAAATATAACGCATTGTACAGATTTTGATAGTGAAACATTTGGATGGTAGGTGGATAATAAAATAAAATGCATTGTACAGATTTTGACAGTGAAACATTTGGATGGAAGGTGGAAAATAATAATAAAATAAAATGCATTGTACAGTATTTTTTTAATCATCTTGAAGTTTGATTTGGATCGGAAGGTCATATAAATAAATCTTAGCCTGGTTTGGGTCCTTATAAAGATAAATCTGAAATCTGACTTGTAATCACATTGTATTGTATAAAAAGAACCTGTTTCAGTCATATAAAAATACCTTGGATTATTTTTATGGTCAAAGTGATCTTTAACCAGTCAGTTTTGAAAAGAGAAAAAGAGTAAAAAGTTTTTATCTACCAAAACAGAACTGACACAAAGTTGAATTTTACAAAGGAGACACCACCTAATTCAATACCACGTGCTGTTTCACATGTCAAACCCCAAACATTCCATGGAGTCAAGTTTGCTGAGTTTAGTCACCGTTTTAAGTTATGTTTTTTTATGAGATCTTCCCAAGGCATGAATGTCCACTAGCATTTTTATCAAAGTCCTGTTTCCACCCTTGCCACATCAAACCCACTTTCCTGTGCTAAATATGATTGGACTATCGCACATATCTATAGTCCAATCAGAGAACGTTTCACAAAATCACCTTCATATGAAAGTGATTTACTGCTGCCTGTCTGTTGACATGAATATATCTTTTCATCTTTTAAACCCCCAACGACTGCCTATGTTTTTGTCAGGGATGAAATCGTGAATGTTTTCGTTATCTGGTCGACTAGGTCACAGCCTACAGTAGTCACCATCTTTGTGAAGCTAACAGAGATAACAGCGATCTGATTGGATATCAAGTTTTCATTACAAGGGACACAACTCATGATCTACGCGAATTAGTGCCAGGGTCGAGCCAAGAAAGTGGCCTTGATGTGGCATGGGTAGAAACTAGGCGTTGATATAGGCTAGTGGACACGCTTGCCTCGGGAAGATGGGCTTCAGGATGTTTTCACAGATCAATTGCCATCAAAAGTGTAGCCTCCAAGTTGAGTACCTTGTATCATATCATGGGCGGATTCAGAGTGGGGGTGCGGGGGTGCGCACCCCCCTTTTTATTTTGAAAAAAATCTTTATTTCTGTATAAATTACCACCAAAGACAATAAATAGATCTTCATTGTGCATCCCCCCCTTTTAAAAAACCTGTATCCGCCCATGCATATTATTGGGCAGCTTATCCACCATTAAAACCATCAGTAAAATGTAACAATGTCATATTTGAGATAACACTTTCGTAGTAAAGATTCTAGTACACAAAGTACATGATCTAGACTACCAGTTGTCAGACTTTTTTTTTTGTGAAAGCCTCACTGGCTGAGTGGGTCAGATCGCTGACTTTGTGTGCTGGCGATTAGGTGCCTCACTCTGGCAGTGTGGGTTCGAATCCTGGATGGGACTCAACCCCAAAAAGTACTTGAATCTGTACTTTACTAAGAAAGTGTTATCCAAAATATAACATTTGTTACATTTGACCACTTTCTAAATGGCATTGAGTGCTCACATCAGTAAAATATTTTCAATTTGATTACCTGGTACACATTTGGGTTTTTTCGAATTGCTCCAGCGCTGATTGGCCTTACATTTGGTTGCCGGCTTCCCTATCATGGTATAGCCTTTGTTACACATGAACATACAACGCTGTTTGAACGGTATAGAGTCCGCCAGGCACAATGGGGGCCGGACACTGCCATTTTTAGGCTCTGTTAAAGCAGTGCAGTATTTGCCTGGAAAATATAATTGGGTCTGTCATAAAATCCAGGCTCTTATCATTACATCCTTAGATTAATACTTAAAAATTTAGGGGCGGTCGGGTAGCATAATGGTTAAAGCGTTCGCTCGTCACGCCGAAGACCCGGGTTTGATTCCCAACATGGGTACAATGTGTGAAGCCCATTTCTGGTGTCCCCCGCCGTGATATTGCTGGAATATTGCTAAAAGTGGCGAAAAAACATACTCACTCACTTAAAAATTAAGGGGTCCCTGGATTTAATACCAGCAAACCCTAGTATCCCTCCTAATTTCAAACACTGGTCAGTGAGTGGGTTCAGATCAATGCTGATTTGAACAAGTATTTCAGTTATATCACAGCAAGCCATCTTAATGGTTTCATTTGTTTGTTGTTAAACGCCACACTCAGCAATATTCCAGCTATATGACGGCTGTCTGTAAATAATCAAGCCTGGACCAGACAATCCAATGATTCACATCATGAGCATCAATCCACGCAATTGGGATACGATGACATGCATCAACCAAGTCAGCAAGCCTGACAACCCGATCCCGTTACTCGCCTCTTACAACAAGCATAGTCGCCTTTTACGGCAAACATGGGTTGCTGAAGACCTATTCTACAAATATTATTACAATATTATTGAATTATTTATTTCAGGGTTTGAGTCCAGAGAGTCAACACAATGAAGTATCCGGTGATGGATGTCTGAGGAAGTGAAAAGCCATATTCACTCACTCAACAAATGTGCTTCCAGTCACATTTAACTTAAATAGGATGAGGAAGTGAAAAGCTATATTCACTCACTCAGCAAATGTGCTTCCAGTCACATTTCACTTAAATAGGATGAGGAAGTGAAAAGCTATATTCACTCACTCAGCAAATGTGCTTCCAGTCACATTTCACTTAAATAGGATGAGGAAGAGAAAAGCCATATTCACTCACTCAACAAATGTGCTTTCTATTACATTTCACTTAAATAGGATGAGGAAGTGAAAAGCCATATTCACTCACTCAACAAATGTGCTTCCAGTCACATTTAACTTAAATAGGATGAGGAAGTGAAAAGCTATATTCACTCACTCAGCAAATGTGCTTCCAGTCACATTTCACTTAAATAGGATGAGGAAGTGAAAAGCCATATTCACTCACTCAACAAATGTGCTTTCTATTACATTTCACTTAAATAGGATGAGGAAGTGAAAAGCCATATTCACTCACTCAGCAAATGTGCTTCCAGTCACATTTCACTTAAATAGGATGAGGAAGTGAAAAGCCATATTCACTCACTCAACAAATGTGCTTTCTATTACATTTCACTTAAATAGGATGAGGAAGTGAAAAGCCTTATTCACTCACTCAACAAATGTGCTTTCTATTACATTTCACTTAAATAGGACGAGGAAGTGAAAAGCCTTATTCACTCACTCAGCAAATGTGCTTTCTATTACATTTCACTTAAATAGGATGAGGAAGTGAAAAGCCTTATTCACTCACTCAACAAATGTGCTTTCTATTACATTTCACTTAAATAGGATGAGGAAGTGAAAAGCCATATTCACTCACTCAACAAATGTGCTTCCAGTCACATTTAACTTAAATAGGATGAGGAAGTGAAAAGCTATATTCACTCACTCAGCAAATGTACTTCCAGTCACATTTCACTTAAATAGGATGAGGAAGTGAAAAGCCATATTCACTCACTCAACAAATGTGCTTTCTATTACATTTCACTTAAATAGGATGAGGAAGTGAAAAGCCATATTCACTCACTCAGCAAATGTGCTTCCAGTCACATTTCACTTAAATAGGATGAGGAAGTGAAAAGCCATATTCACTCACTCAACAAATGTGCTTTCTATTACATTTCACTTAAATAGGATGAGGAAGTGAAAAGCCATATTCACTCACTCAACAAATGTGTTTTCTATTACATTTCACTTAAATAGGACGAGGAAGTGAAAAGCCTTATTCACTCACTCAACAAATGTGCTTTCTATTACATTTCACTTAAATAGGATGAGGAAGTGAAAAGCCTTATTCACTCACTCAACAAATGTGCTTTCTATTACATTTCACTTAAATAGGACGAGGAAGTGAAAAGCCTTATTCACTCACTCAGCAAATGTGCTTTCTATTACATTTCACTTAAATAGGATGAGGAAGTGAAAAGCCTTATTCACTCACTCAACAAATGTGCTTTCTATTACATTTCACTTAAATAGGATGAGGAAGTGAAAAGCCTTATTCACTCACTCAGCAAATGTGCTTCCTATTACATTTCACTTAAATAGGATGAGGAAGTGAAAAGCCATAATCACTCACTTAACAACATGGCCAATATTTATCAGACTCCTGATGTTTGAATAAAACTATTCTAAAAAAACACATTGTACAATTTGTTTACAAGCAACAAAATTTAATTTTTCCTGGAATTTAATTAGGTGCATTTGACTGACAAAGATGCTCTGGCCATGTTAAGTTTTGAAAAGTCTGAATAACTGAAGTGGATGATAAACAAGCTTATATTGTGAGAAATAAAGACATGGAATTTTTTGGGTTTTTTCTTTGTTAAATATAAGAATAATTATTTGGTTTCCAGGTTGTCCAAATTATAATAATAGTGATTCCTTAAACGTACTGTCAGGATACAGGATATCCGTTGGGGTCATATGCAGATAGAGATGCAAATATCAAAGGTCAAGTAGGGACTACTTCAGTGTTTAAAAACAAACATGGCTTCGCCCTTATCATTCGGCGATCGAATCAGAATTAACCATCGGGAATCTGGATAAACTACAGGGGTAATTGCCATCATTATCAAAAGAACAGTCTAATATACTGAAAATCAGTGTCTAACTGTGACGTAGCTAAGGCATTTTATAAGTTTTGGCAACTTTGGAGATATATATTTCGAAACAATTTTGCGATGGCACTAGGCCTAGCCATACGGGATCAGTAGCCATATCTGTGCTTGTAGACCTCTGCAGCTTGGAACTTTTCCACAAATTAAAATAGTTTGATTTGGCCAAAATATATTTGAATAGTTACCTTGTTTCGTTTTGTTGCTGCGTGTACATCTGACTGCAGTTCTTAACATTATGAAAGGACAGGCAAGGCTCGCTAGATACAATGTTTATTCCTAATGCAGGATATTTACCATCCCCAAACACACAAGCGTGATAACCTCTATATATCCAGCTTTCAAGATAAGTGTAAATAGACTGTAAATATACAGTCATGCCTCGTTTATACGGACACTTACATCATTTCACAATTCGTCCGTATAAACAAATTTCTGTATAACTGAAACCAGCTTCTTACTGGAAGAGTTACTTCCCTTCAATTATGCAACTCATGACAGATGACAGAGCAAACAGATACATCCACTCAATCATTATTCAAGACATACTCGTTTCAAAAAATCTGTCATGGAAGTTTGAACTTTACCACATTTTGAGGTTTGAATTTTAAACAATAATTCCAAATTGTCCAGATCGATACAAGCACAAGCTTCCTTGTGAATGACTGTAGTGGGTTGGAGGGATTTAGCCACTTCTGTTTGTCTTTTAAAATGTCATCAATTGTTGATATTCCTATGGTTTGTCCAAATTCAGTGCCATAATGCTTACTGATGGTTTCCAAACTTGCTGACGGGTGTTTTTCCTTATTATTTATTGAATGGGATTACATGTACAATAAACAAGCTCATCTCAAACGTAACTCAGTGTCACTTGGTTAATTGACTTCTCATGAATCAAAGGATTACCACCAGCGGAAGTGTATTGTCTGGGTAAGTGAGACAATTTTGTGTGCATTTCAGTGTTTTGTGTATGAAAATGACCATCCGGTTCCGGAAACTGAATTTCCATATATACGGGTAAATTTATACAGTAATTATTTCATTTTAAATGAAAATCGTCCGGGAACCGAGGTGACCGGATATCTGAAGTCCGTATAAGCGGGGCATGACTGTATATTTGTATATATATTTTTGAAACATTATGAAAAGAATACCTTGATATTTTTTTTTGGTCATAAGTATTATCAAATCATACATTTATCTGCATGAACTTCATTATTCAGACCAGACACACCTACTGGTACATTTGAAAACCTGTTTCACTAAGCAGAATTTGAAAGAAATAAAATAGATTGTAGTTCACAAACACTGATCAAATGTAATATCTCCATTTTGTACAATACGTCTTTGGTTTCACCAAGCAGATTGGCATATTTTGTTCAAATTTGGGTTCAAGAAAAATTATACTTATCAACGTAAATCTTCCTAAGCAGTAAAAAGTCCAAATGATTTCAGGAATACAAACTCAGTTTTGTAAAATCTGTTGTTATTAATCAGTCAGATTGCAGCACACTCTCCTATTCATGTCACAACTCTCAAGACACCTTGCAAGCCAGAAACATGGAATGTTTATACACTACCAGTAAATGTACGCATACCTTGACAGAAAGGCTGGGAGCCTGACCACGAGCTGTTGGCAAGACAGCTCCGATACCGCTCGCCCGTCAGCTCATATCCACGTGAGCAGCGGAAGGAGCAGATGGTTCCCTTCTTCAGTTTGCTGAGCGAGAGTGGGGATGTGCAGGCAGGGGGCCAGATGCGGCCGTTCGGGAAGTGATCCAGCGTGGGACAAGTCACACCTGGAGATATCAGCATATTGTCCATCATCACAACTTCATGGCTTTGTATACTGAACAAAACGAGTTAGGGATCATGAATATTTTTTAGATATTTTATCAGTTATCTAATGATATCAGATACTTATCCTGCTAAGACTTAATTTCCTACTTGTTCTACCTGTTCACGAATCCCGAACACAGCGCCAAAACACTCCCCCACCAGAAGCCACCACTGCACATGCTCTCCTTACGCCATGCAACGTCCCCTTCTTACTTCAAGCACCACACAAAGCAGGTCGACAGAAGTGGGGATGGATTGGTGGGTCCTGGAGACTGGAGGAGTATCTAATATCATTAATAGTAGAGTACTGTATATTATTTCTTATCCTGTGAAGACTCTCGGCAACTATCACACAGAAGGAGGTGGGAACTGTCGAAACTGCAAACTGAAGCCAGGGGGCCACTGCCTGATGTAATAGACTTGACTATCTTCTTCCTGGCTCCAAGGCACTCTTCACAAGTCTCCATCTGAACTCCAATCCAAGGCCGTAGTTAACCTTTTTTGACAAGGGGGGCAAATATTTGTACAAGTATCACTTGTCCCCAACTTGTATTTTCATGATTCAAATAAAACTGTTTTCTATAAAAAATCCAGGGGGGGCAACTGCCCTCCCTGCCCCCCCGGCTGGGTACGGCACTGCCATTACTGGGGAGTAAAGCAGTAACAAGCAGAAGGCACTGCTATGAGACTACATGTTCGTTACCGAGTACGCTCATGGCCCTCACCAAGTAAATAACCCCATCAACTCGTCAAGGCAAGCAATGAAAGGTATAAACCGAGTGCAGAGAGAGACATGGTAACAACGTACCTATCAAGTCCATTTGGGATTGGTGAGTTGTTGCACTAACAGAAGAGGTCCGAACTGGTGTACATACCACTGATTCCTCAACGTTCTGTCCCAGATTACGGGCTAGCGAAGTTAAGGTCAGTAGCCAAGTGTCAACCTGGGACAGTATTTGTTACCTAACAGATGGCGTGCAGAGCCAACGTCGAAGTCAACGCTCTTAAACCAAGAGAGTTGTGATCTCGAGGTGGCAGTAGACAAAAATGTTCATATGCTTCTGGAATAGGAATTCTTAACCAGGAATCCAAAGTTATCTTGGAGCCTCAACAATAGAGGACCATGATGTGAGGAGAAGCTGCTTCCTTTGTTGCTGAAATGGATGACTGACCGTAATAAAAAGCTGTACCGCTCTAACATGTCACAGTGATAAACCATCTAAATCCTCTTCCCTGAGAACTTAAGATAACGATGCAGTGGTGAAACATCTGTCCTGGCCAAATTGCTGATTTGTAGCAATGAAGTTCCATTTTAATCCCACAAGCACATTGCCAAGTTTATGTCCCTCAGACTTGATTGGAGACACATCGAAGCGTGAGGTGAGGTGAAATGGGGTTTACCGTCGCATCCAAGATTATTGCCCTTATATAGCGACGTGCATACACGTGTAAGGGTGTGTGTGGCTGCTTGTACTTGTCCGGACTGATGCCGATTTATAGTGCTAGCTCACTGAGATACCATGCCATAGTTTAACATGAATACCCCACTTAGACACAGTATACTGACTCCGAGCCGACCAGTCCTTGTTTTAGCCCCTTTATGCCAAACACCAGACAGGGTAACAACAAGTACCATCTTTTAACATCTTATGGTATGACACGGCCAGGGATCGAACTCCGAGCCTTCCGCTCTCCGGGCGGACTCTCTACCACTAGACCACGGAGGCGGTCCACATCGAAGGCATGAATGTCGCTGACAGATGCTGCTGTCGCCTAGGCAACCAGAAAAGCCAACATCTGCAGATGTTGCAGACTTGCCCATTGTAGAGGCCCACAATGCGTAGTGACGATATGACTTAAAACGACACCTAAGTCTCAAGCAGGAGGACGTAACTTCAGTATGTCCCACTGCTTTATCATCTTGAGACCTAGTGGACTTGTAAAGTGCTTGAACCACAGCCTGCGCTGTATCCCAAGAAAAATCACCCTGCTCAAAAGAAAGGAAGTCACAAAAAAAGGATTCTGAGGAGCAAACCATACCCAGACCGCCCAGTGTGAGTGAAAAGTAGGAAGAGGAAGTTGCATGGCATGATAGGAGCATGCGTAGTGGTGACATTTGGTGGGGGAGTGTTTTACCACTGAGTTACGGAAACACGTAGTTCAGGAACAAGTAGAATAAATAGGAAAATAGGAAATTGCAGGATAAGAAATAATTTGTGTGCTCAGTCTTCACTACAAACAAAATCCTGAAATATGTTCATGATCCCTTACTTTTTTTATCAGTATATGTGTAATATAGTTTTCATACCTCATGAAAATTGGTTCCTCCAGAGCTTTATCTCTAGGAAGTTTGATCTACAGGAACCAACTGTACCAGAGAAATGTTTCCATTCTTGTCGACTACAAATTAGAGATGAGGTGAAATTGGGTTTAATGTCGCGTCCAAGATTATTGCACTTATATAGCGACGTGCATGTATGTGTTATGTTTGTGTGGCTGCTTGTACTAGTCCGGACTGATGCCGATTTATAGTGCTAGCTCACTGAGATACCATGCCGCAGTTTAACATGAATACCCCACTCAGACACAGTATACTGACTCCGAGCCGACCAGTCCTTGTTTTAGCCCCTTAATGCCGAGCGCCAGACAGGGTAACAACAAATACCATCTTTTAACATCTTTTGGTATGACGCGGCCGGGAATCGAACCCCGGACCTTCCGCTCTCCGGGCGGACGCTCTACCACTAGACCACGGAGGCGGTCACTACAAATTAGACTGCATGGACTTAATTCTCTGCGAAACTGATCATCGTTTACATATACACAACATTACCCCATCATACGTGAATACATAGAGTAGTCACTGAGTGTTTGTTGTGTTACGCCGCACTCAGCAATGTTCCAGCTGTATGACAGATGTCTGTAATAATCAAGTCATGACAATCGATCCCCGCAATTCAGATACGATGACATGTAATCAACCAAGTCAGCGAGCCTGACCACCCGATCCCGAATTACCCACCAGTAAGAGAGTCACTATGTAGGGAGTCCTACATTACCTGATACATCCATATATCATATAAAGGATTGTTATCAGTGTGATAAACCAACCGATAAGCTTGGTATCATTATCCGATCAATATGCAAATGAGGTGGCCTTGCAGAAACTATTTTCTAGCTCCTTATATCAATGTGATGTCTTCTTGCTCAATTAACTATTGACTAATGTTCATATCTTGAGATAAGGGTTTGCTAGTGTGCCACCGAAACATGGCGAGAAAAATGGCTGCACGTTATTTGGTTTTATATTACGATAAATTAGGCCCAACTGTATTCATACACGTTTTCTAATACACATCTTAAACATCCTGCAGTGTGTGATAACACTGGTACTACATGACAGTGATGGCTACATACGTCTACAGGACTTGTCATCCTGCAGTGTGTGTTAACATTGGTACTACATGACAGTGATGGCTACATACATCTACAGGACTTGTTGTCATTCTGCAGTGTGTGTTAACATTGGTACTACATGACAGTGATGGCTACATACATCTACAGGACTTGTTGTCATTCTGCAGTGTGTGATAACATTGGTACTACATGACAGTGATGGCTACATACATCTACAGGACTTGTTGTCATTCTGCAGTGTGTGATAACATTGGTACTACATGACAGTGATGGCTACATACGTCCACAGGACTTGTCATCCTGCAGTGTGTGATAACATTGGTACTACATGACAGTGATGGCTACATACGTCCACAGGACTTGTCATCCTGCAGTGTGTGATAACATTGATACTACATGACAGTGATGGCTACATACGTCTACAGGACTTGTTGTCATCCTGCAGTGTGTGATAACATTGGTACTACATGACAGTGATGGCTACATACGTCTACAGGACTTCTTGTCTTCCTGCAGTGTGATAACATTGGTACTACATGACAGTGATGGCTACATACGTCCACAGGACTTGTTGTCATTCTGCAGTGTGTGTTAACATTGATACTACATGACAGTGATGGCTACATACATCTACAGGACTTCTTGTCATCCTGCAGTGTGATAACATTGGTACTACATGACAGTGATGGCTACATACATCTACAGGACTTCTTGTCTTCCTGCAGTGTGATAACATTGGTACTACATGACAGTGATGGCTACATACGTCTACAGGACTTCTTGTCATCCTGCAGTGTGTGATAACATTGGTACTACATGACAGTGATGGCTACATACGTCCACAGGACTTGTCATCCTGCAGTGTGATAACATTGGTACTACATGACAGTGATGGCTACATACGTCTACAGGACTTCTTGTCATCCTGCAGTGTGTAGGACAGGCGACAGGTGCAGGAGAAGCTGCCAGGCGAGTTGATACACCGATGTTCACACTGTCCATTCTCCGCATCACATTCGTTGATGTCTACAAACAAAACAAGACCAGCTTTATGCATTACAAAGTTGAATCATTACTCTCAGCTTACAGTAGCATCACCAAACACTGTAGCATCACCAAACACTGTAGCATCACCAAACACTGTAGCCCACCCCAAGTTTTGCAGGTTTGTGGAAGGAACTGTATGCAATGATGTACAAGGGAACTAAACCCAGGTTGTGTGTGAACGATGAACTCTGACAGACAAACCGGGACGAGTCCAAATTTACTACCCGGGTACCCACCCCCTATTACCCGACCCTACCCGGGTATCCATGCACCCCCTATTACCCGACCCTACTCAGATACCCGCTGTAGGTCTCAAGAGATACGAATGTCCGATTGGGAATTATTTTACCACAGCACTTGGAAAATGTATTTAGATACATGTATTAAACAATCTGGTCATGCATACACTGAAGTTGACTTAAGTTATATCTTCATTCAACCATATGAAAAGCCAGAAGGAATGGGTGCATAGTCAGAAAGAAATGCGAACATTTGTGACTTGTAGTGTGATCATAGAGTTCCATATATTTTTTTTCATTAAACAATATATCACGTGACTAACCACGGGTCCAGGTAGTCCTGTGGGTACCTGGGTCCTACTCAGTACCCACCCGACCCGGGTACGCGAGTTACCTGTCCCAGCCCTAGTGGAACTGGCTAAGTTTTTAACCACTGCAAAATTTGTCTGCCATTTTCTGTGTCTCATGATGGCATACAGTAAACTAGAGTTAAAACAAACTCAAAGGGACCACTAATATTAGTTCATTACAACCACTGTTCATTACCACCACTGTTCATTACAACCACTGTTCATTATAACCACTGTTCATTAGAACCACTGTTCATTATAACCACTGTTCATTATAACCAGTGTTCATTATAACCACTGTTCATTACAACCACTGTTCATTATAACCACTGTTCATTATAACCAGTGTTCATTACAACCAGTGTTCATTACCACCACTGTTCATTACAACCACTGTTCATTATAACCAGTGTTCATTACAACCACTGTTCATTATAACCACTGTTCATTAAAACCACTGTTCATTATAACCACTGTTCATTACAACCACTGTTCATTATAACCACTGTTCATTATAACCACTGTTCATTATAACCACTGTTCATTACAACCAGTGTTCATTAAAACCAGTGTTCATTATAACCACTGTTCATTACAACCACTGTTCATTATAACCACTGTTCATAACAACAAGTGTTCATTATAACCACTGTTCATTATAACCAGTGTTCATTATAACCAATGTTCATTACAACCAGTGTTCATTATAACCAGTGTTCATTACAACCATTGTTCATTACAACCACTGTTCATTACAACCATTGTTCATTACAACCATTGTTCATTACAACCACTGTTCATTACAACCACTGTTCATTACAACCACTGTTCATTATAACCACTGTTCATTATAACCACTGTTCACTGTAACCAGAGTTCATTATAACCACTGTAACCAGTGTTCATTATAACCACTGTTCATTACAACCACTGTTCATTATAACCACTGTTCATAACCAGTGTTCATTATAACCACTGTTCATTATAACCAGTGTTCATTATAACCAATGTTCATTATAACCATTGTTCATTACAACCAATGTTCATTATAACCAGTGTTCATTACAACCAATGTTCATTACAACCACTGTTCATTATAACCACTGTTCATTATAACCAGTGTTCATTACAACCACTGTTCATTATAACCACTGTTCATTATAACCACTGTTCATTACAACCAGTGTTCATTACAACCACTGTTCATTATAACCAGTGTTCATTACAACCAGTGTTCATTATAACCACTGTTCATTATAACCAGTGTTCATTTTAACCAGTGTTCATTACAACCAGTGTTCATTATAACCACTGTTCATTATAACCAGTGTTCATTACAACCAATGTTCAGTATAACCAGTGTTCATTATAACCAGTGTTCATTACAACCAGTGTTCATTACAACCACTGTTCATTATAACCACTGTTCACTGTAACCAGAGTTCATTACAACCAGCGTTCATTACAACCACTGTTCATTACAACCAGTGTTCATTATAACCAGTGTTCATTATAACCAGTGTTCATTGAAACCACTGTTCATTACAACCAGTGTTCATTACAACCACTGTTCATTACAACCAGTGTTCATTATAACCACTGTTCATTATAAGCAGTGTTCATTATAACCAGTGTTCATTATAACCACTGTTCATTATAACCAGTGTTCATTACAACCAGTGTTCATTTTAACCAGTGTTCATTATAACCAGTGTTCATTATAACCACTGTTCATTATAACCAGTGTTCATTACAACCAGTGTTCATTATAACCAGTGTTCATTACAACCAGTGTTCATTACAACCAGTGTTCATTACAACCAGTGTTCATTATAACCAGTGTTCATAATAAGCATAGGTACAGCTAATAAACAGCAAATGCCCGCGCCCAAAACAGATGTTTGTTATTTCCGTCGTATTTTTATAAGCGTGTTCATCATAAACGTAGTTGACTGTACATTTAGGAATCATCACTACTTCACTGGTGTGTATACACAGAGAATCTCAGCTGTGTTTTTATTAATATCAAATGCATCAACACAAGTGAATAAAAGTTTTAAACTCATTATTACACCAAATAAGTGTAGGTCCAGAGTGATCGTTAGTGGTCTCTGATGACAAGTGTGGGGTTATGGGGGACCTATTCTTCCCTAAGTGTTTATGTTTGTTGTTTAATGCGGCACACAACAATATTCCAGCTATATGAGGCCGGACAGCAAATAATCAGTGATTTATATTTTGAGGAATGTTCCACACCATCAGTGTACGATGACACGCAATCACCAAGTCAATGAAAATGACCACTGATCCATTATAATAAGTCGCCTCTTACGATCAGCAAAGCTCCTGGGGACTGGAAAAAGATTTAGAAAGATAACAGCACTGACCCATGCATGTGACCCCGTCCGACGGTGTCCCTTCAAACCCCTGTGCACAGACACACTTGGTGATGGAGGTACTGCCTTTCTGTAGCGTCAGGGACTTGGCGGGGCAGTTGACACAGGCTCGTCTGTTGGAGAACTTGGGGCTGTACGTCCCCAGGGGGCACACTGAAACAACACATAGATCATGGGAGCTGAGAATGATTGCTGCTGCCCTCTAGCAAACAGCATTATCCTGTACCAAATAGCAGTATCCTGCAGCAAACAGCAGTATCCTGTAGCAAATAGCAGTATCCTGTAGCAAATAGCAGTATCCTGTACCAAATTAGCAGTATCCTGTAGCAAACAGCAGTATCCTGTACCAAATTAGCAGTATCCTGTAGCAAACAGCATTATCCTGTACCAAATTAGCAGTATCCTGTAGCAAATAGCATTATCCTGTACCAAATAGCAATATCCTGTACCAAATAGCAGTATCCTGTAGCAAACAGCATTATCCTGTAGCAAATAGCATTATCCTGTAGCAAACAGCATTATCCTGTAGCAAACAGCAGTACATGTATCCTATACCAAATAGCATTATCCTGTAGCAAATAGCAGTATCCTGTACTAAATAGCAGTATCCTGTAGCAAACAGCATTATCCTGTAGCAAATAGCATTATCCTGTAGCAAACAGCATTATCCTGTAGCAAACAGCATTATCCTGTAGCAAACAGCATTATCCTGTACCAAATAGCATTATCCTGTAGCAAACAGCATTATCCTGTAGCAAACAGCAGTACATGTATCCTATACCAAATAGCATTATCCTGTAGCAAACAGCATTATCCTGTACCAAATAGTATTATCCTGTAGCAAACAGTATTATCCTGTAGCAAACAGCAGTACATGTATCCTATACCAAATAGCATTATCCTGTAGCAAACAGCAGTATCCTGTACCAAATAGCAGTATTCGGTAGCAAATAGCAGTATCCTGTACCAAATAGCAGTATCCTGTAGCAAACAGCAGTATCCTGTACCAAATAGCAGTATCCTGTAGCAAACAGCAGTATCCTGTAGCAAACAGCAGTATCCTGTACCAAATAGCAGTATCCTGAACCAAATGATCCTTTTACAACAAAACAATAGAGTTCTGAAACTCAACTTAATGTTCCTAGAATATTTGCAACATCAGATAATATAGGTCACAATAAGTGAGATGAGGAGGAATGGGGTTTTATGTTGTGTTCAAGATTAGCACTGCACTAATGTAACAACATGCATGTGAGTGAGTGAGTGAGTGAGTCTGTGAGTGAGTGAGTGAGTGAGTGAGTCTGTGAGTGAGTGAGTCTGTGTGTGTGTGTGTGTCTGCTTGTACTAGTCTAATGTCGGTTTTACTGTTATCTAAGCCTGAGTGTGAGTGTGTGTGTGTGTGTGTGTGTGTGTGTGTGTGTGTGTCTGCTTGTACTAGTCTAATGTCGGTTTTACTGTTATCTAAGCCTGAGTGTGAGTGTGTGTGTGTGTGTGTGTGTGAGTGTGTGTGTGTGTGTTTGTGTCTGCTTGTACTAGTCTAATGTCGGTTTTACTGTTATCTAAGCCTACTGAATGTCTGTTGGTATGATGCGGCTTTGGATCAAATGAACAACCTTCCGCTCTCCGGGCAGACGCTCTATCCACTAAGCCACAAGGGGGTATTAATCAGTAAGGTAAACATGTATGTGCAATCAAGAAACAGTTTTACATTTGCAGTGTGCTCCGTCATAGTAGAACCCGGGTCTACATTCACAGCGATAGGTGCCTCGTAGGTTCACGCACTTGTGGTCGCAGATGTTCGGGACCAGACACTCGTCTATATCTGGAAACCAGGAGACAGTTTGGTGTAAGCGTAGGTGACAGTAGATCCTGAAAACAACTAATCCTCTCAAGACATCAGCAACAGCATCAGGCAACAGCATCAGACAACAGCAACAGCCACAGCATCAGACATCATCATCAGACAACATCATCAGACGAAGCATCAGACAACAACATCAGACAACAGCAACAAATAGAGCATCAGACAACAGCATCAGGCATCATCATCAGACAACTGCATCAGGCAACAGACAACAGCATCAGACAACAACATCAGACATCATCAGACAACAACATCAGACATCATCATCAGACAACAGCAACAGACACAGCATCAGACAACAGCATCAGGCATCATCATCAGACAACAGCATCAGGCATCATCATCATCAGAAAACAACAACAGACACAGCATCAGACAACAGGAACAGACAACAGCATCAGGCATCATCATCAGGCAACAGCAAAGGACAGAGCATAAGACAACAGCAACAGACACAGCATCAGACAACAGAATCAGACATCATCATCAGACAATAGCATCAGGCATCATCATCAGACAACAGCATTAGGCAATAACAGACACAGCATCAGACATCATCATCAGACAACGGCAACATACATAATCATCAGACAACAGCATCAGGCAACAACATCAGGCAACAGGAACAGACACAGCATCAGACAACAGCAACAGACACAGCATCAGACAACAGAATCAGACATCATCATCAGACAATAGCATCAGGCATCATCATCAGACAACAGCATTAGGCAATAACAGACACAGCATCAGACATCATCATCAGACAACAGCATCAGGCAACAGCAAAGGACAGAGCATCAGACAACACCATCAAACATCAGCAACAGACATTCAACATCAGACAACAGCATCAGACATTGTAAGCCATCATCAAGCAACAGCATCAGGCAACAGCAACAGACACAGCATCAAACAAAACCATCAACAGCATCAGGCATAATCATCAGACAACAGCAACAGACATCATCATCAGACAACAACATCAGACAGCAGCATCACGCAACAGCAACAGACACAGCATCAGATAACACCATCAGGCAACAATAACAGACACAGCATCAGACAACAGTCAGACATCATCATCATACAACAGCATCAGGCAACAGCAACAGACATCATCATAAGACAACAGCATCAGGCTTCATCATCAGATAACACCATCACGCAACATCAACAGACACAGCATCAGGCAACAGCAGCAGACACAGCATCAGACAACAGCATCAAACATCATCATCAGACAATAGCAACATACATCAGCATCAGCCAACAGCATCAGGTAACAGCAATAGAAAACACCATCAAACATCAGCAACAGACATTCAACATCAGACAACAGCATCAGACATTATCATCAGACAACACCATCAAACATCATCATCAGAGTGAGTGAGTGAGTGAGTGAGTGAGTTTGGTTTAACGCCGCTTTTAACAGTATTCCAGTTATATCACGGCGTGTCAGCTTAATGTGGGAGGAAAGCCCGAAGTGATGCAGGTTTCAGACGTTTACCACTTCAGTGAAACCCACAAGCATGGGTATGGTGCTGACAAACCTCGAAACATAATTGGGGCGAACCGGGATTCGAACCCACAATCATAGGTTTCTGGCATGCCCAAGGGACGCAACTCTGCACAGTGAATCGCGGCGCCTTAGAGGACTGGGCCACCCGTGCCCCCCATCATCATCAGGCAACAGTATCAGACATCATCAGACAACAACATTAGACATCATCATCAGACAACAACATCAAACATCATCAGACAACAGCATCAGACATCATCATCAGACAACACCATCAAACATCATCAGACATCCGGCAACACCATCAGACATTATCATCAGACAATATCAGACAACACCATCAACCACCATCATCAGACAACGCCATCAAACATCATCATCAGACAACACCATCAAACATCATCATCAGACAAGAGCATCAAACATCATCATCAGACAACAGCATCAGACATCAGACAACATCAGACATCAGGCAACAGCATCAGACACAACAGAATGTTGGTTGTTTGTTTGTTGTTTAACATCGCCCTCAGCTATATATAACATATTCCAGTTAAATGATGGAGGTCTGTAAATAATCAAGTCTGGACCAGAAAATCCAGGTCTGTCAGTCCAGCCCTTCTACTTACCGTAACAGTTCCGACCATTGTCAGACAGTAATAGTCCAGTTCCTCGACAGCGACACTTATAGGAACCGTAAGTGTTTTTACATAAATCTTGACATGGTGAATCTCGCATACACTCATTGACATCTGAAACATTGCACAGAACTGTCAGTATCTTGATGAGGTGAATCTCGGATACACTCGTTGACATCTGCAAAATTACACAGAACTGTCAGTATCTTGATGAGGTGAATCTTGGATACACGCGCTGACATCTGCAACATTACACAGAACTATCAGTATCTTGAAAAGGTGAATCTCGTTTACGCTGGTTGACATCTGAAACATTACACAGAACTGTCAGTATCTTGACAAGGTGTATCTTGGATACACTCGTTGACATCTGAAACATTACACAGAACTGTCAGTATCTTGACAAGGTGAATCTTTGCTACACTCGTTGACATCTGAAACATTACACACAACTGTCAGTATCTTGACAAGGTGAATCTTTGCTACACTCGTTGACATCTGAAACATTACACAGAACTGTCAGTATCTTGACAAGGTGTATCTTGGATACACTCGTTGACATCTGAAACATTACACAGAACTATCAGTATCTTGACAAGGTGAATCTTTGCTGCACTCGTTTACATCTGAAACATTACACAGAACTGTCAGTATCTTGACAAGGTGTATCTTGGATACACTCGTTGACATCTGAAACATTACACAGAACTGTCAGTATCTTGACAAGGTGAATCTTTGCTACACTCGTTTACATCTGAAACATTACACACAACTGTCAGTATCTTGATGAGGTGAATCTCGGATACACTCGTTGACATCTGAAACATTACACAGAACTGTCAGTATCTTGACAAGGTGAATCTTTGCTACACTCGTTTACATCTGAAACATTACACACAACTGTCAGTATCTTGACAAGGTGTATCTTGGATACACTCGTTGACATCTGAAACATTACACAGAACTGTCAGTATCTTGACAAGGTGAATCTTTGCTACACTCGTTTACATCTGAAACATTACACACAACTGTCAGTATCTTGACAAGGTGAATCTTGGATACACGCGCTGACATCTGAAACTTTACACACAACTATCAGTATCTTGACAAGGTGAATCTTTGCTACACTCGTTTACATCTGAAACATTACACAGAACTATCAGTATCTTGACAAGGTGAATCTCGTTTACGCTCGTTTACATCTGAAACATAGCACAGAACTATGAGTATCTTGACATACACATTCACACAAGGAACAATGTAACACACTTCACGGAAGTGAATGTATAGCCCTCAAAATTACCTTTTCATTAACAAAAAACCCAGAGCTAGGAATGTATTACATTTCAAAAGTGCCACAGGGTACTTATGGAGAAGTTTAGGTGCTCCTTGGAATTTGACTGTGCCAACATGAATAAAAGTATGAACCTGAGCTTGTTTGCCACTGCAGAATTGTCTTTTGGGGGTTGAAAAGGGGTGGTGGGGTAACATAGTGGTTAAAGCGTTAACTCTTCACACTGAGGGACTGTGTTTGATTCCCTATGTGTAGACCAAGAGCATTAGACAAAAAAAACCTGTAAAAATATAGTAGAAAGTTCAAATTTTCTGGAACCTTCAGAAAGTCGTATTGATGTCCGTGGCACAAAGTTTCCCAAGGTCCCCCTGGTGGCATTTTCAAAATGGCAGCCATTTCCAAGATGGCCATTACTCTTGAAAATGAAGTAATGTGTAGTTTATATTCATGATATCACGCAATATATCAAAAGAAATCTCTTTTATGATCTTTCAAAAAATAATTGGTCACCAATCTGCAATGATTACGATATATATTTAATGTTTGGGCGAAGGTTATATCTAATTCTCTTGGCCTATGTGCATATAATAATAATAGAATATTGATAAAAGTGGTGTAGAACTGGAGGAGGATGTGACCTGCTTTAGTCGATACTTACCAACACATTTCTTTGTGTTGTAGTGATATTGTTCAAATCCAGCTTTTCGACATTCACAGCTGAAGGAGCCGATGGTGTTGATGCACACATCATCACAGCCGCCATTGTCCGTGGCACACTCATCCAAATCTGCAGAAAACACATCAGCTCATAAATCTTCCATTGAGCTTCATTCTGCCTTTTTTTTATTCCACCAACAAGAAACAAGCATGAATATTCCCCGCCAGTATGACATGTCCGGTTGTATGCAAGGCAAGGAATATCATAAAGCTTTCAAGATCTGCTCCGGGAAGGAGCACTACTGAATAGTCGAAGTCGTTGCCATAGAAACTAGAAAAATGCAAAAGGCAACAGTTTCCCACTAGACCTATCTATGTGCCAAGTTTGGTTAAGATATCTCTCATGTTTTTTTTAGTTCTGCTCCGGAAACGAACTGTGACAGACTGACATCACCCATTCCTATATCCCACTTCCAATTCCTTTGCGAGGCAAAAGTAAATTGTAAAAAAATATGCATGCAAACAGTTTGGAAGGAGAGAAATCAGTAGATTTTGGAAGGTGTTGATTCAAGAATATATTACTGCATTAAACAGCCAGTCCAACAAAGAGATATTTTGTTGTTTCTTTCCATATTCCTCCTGCCGCAACTTTTTCACCCTCCCTACTTAACATTTTGAGGAAATATAAAATGAGCATTTTGGAATAAATGGAATGTTTTTATATTTACCTACACAGTGCATTAGCTTCCCTACCTTAACACACAGACAGTAGTGGAACAGACAGACAGTTGAAACAGATTATAGCCCGTGCCTGATACCCTGGAGTTATCCACCTTGGCCCGTACCACCTCATTTTCTTCACTGTATGGCAGCAGGCACAGCGTAGACAGTGGTGCAATGGTAAGGCGGAGGAGGCGGACAAAGTCCGGGTGGGGTTAAAGGTGAACATAAAAGCATTGCATTAATCCTGAAAGGCTTACCTTACCTGATGCCACAAAGTGCTTTATTTGACTGACATGTAAGGAGGGCTCACTGTGATAAGCGCCAGTCACACTGAGGAGACACCGTAACAGTGTCAGGCAAGGTTCCATCCAGTTGTCAGACTGGATAGATACTCTGGTAACTCAAGTGGTTCATAGGGTGAGATCCCGTAGACCAACGTTAAGGTCGCAAACTGGTGGGTTGAAATTCCTCGTTTGGTCTTCCAGCATGAAACCCCAGATGATGGCGAAGAGTTCTGGCACAGAGGCAAGCCAGGTTCCTTGGGCTTACATCAAGATGGAGTTGAGGGCCGCAAGGTAAGTTGCAATGGTGGAACCAGCAAGGGGACATTGCTGGGAGAGTGCCGATGAAAGAAGTTTCTCCATATACTTGAGGAGACGAAACTGCCACTGATTTGCCTCCCAACTCTTGGTGTCCTTGGTGATGTGAAGGACCTGGGGCATCAGTTGTGTCTGAAATGATGGGTCCCATTAAGATTGGTCAAGCAAGGCTATCATGATGGAGTCAAGGCAGTACTAGAAGTAGGTGGACAGGTGTATCAAATGGCGCTGCTGCCAATCCTGGACAGAGGAGCTGCAGTTTGGCGTTTGAAGGATTCTTGTCCAGGCAGTCCTGGATAGCCGGGTTGGCAGAGGCCTCCGTTGACAACAGGTAGAGGGAGTGGCGGAGAGCAGAGTCCAAGCGGGGTAGTTGAGGGTCCGACACTCAGCTTTGAAGTCTCCACTAGCAAGTGCACGTCCTCATCCACAGATGGAGAGGTGTCAGCGAAGTCCCTAAAATGGAATGGGTGATGCTCCTTCTGAAAGAGGAGCAGTTGGATGGATGACCTAACAGGAGGTTCAGCAAAAGAGTGCGATATGTCGGCGACCAACTGGTCGCGGGGCAGGAGAATGTCTGTGGAGTCAGTGACCTTATGCTCCATCTGCGGGGAGGTGCCTTGTCCTGGCGAAGTGCAGGATAGATGGTCAACAAGCCAGGTTGGCATGCCCACTGGGGTCAGATGCCGATCTGGTGACAGTTCAACATAGCCAGGGATGAAGACCCATTCATCATCTGAGTGGCAGCGATCTCAGTGGCATTATTGAGGGGTCGCTTGACTGGTGTCAAGGTCTTATTCTGTCGCTGGTTTCAGGAAAAGCATGGCACATCTCAGGTCCCAATGCTCCTGGTACCAGGCGCCAGGTGACTTATCTTGGCAATGGCAACCAAGATCAGTTGTCAAGAGGGTGTTCTGGAGACTGTCAGGCGACTCTTGCGGGTGTAGTCAGAGTGGTCTTCAGGCGATCTCGTTCATTGACGAGATTCAGCAGACTGGCGGTATGATGTCTCAGAAGAGGCATGGGAGTGGTGATCAGATGACTGATGGACGCTGGCGAGACTCGTGCCGAGTGGCAGCAGAGACAGGTCTTCTGGTCGGTGTTGTAGCACATGCACCCAGAAGGCCCGGGTGGACGTAGGGTCAAAGAAGTCAACCTGAGTGGAGGGTGTCACCGGATTAGTAAGTTTTGGAGGCACTGGCACCGATGTAGAGGAGCTTGCCCAGGTCCTAGGGGTAGGGAAGATAACATCTCTGACGGAGGGGGAAAGGTCGACAACCTAGGAGGTGGAGGGCTCAACATCTACTTCTGCTTGTTGATTTGTTTCTGAATAGCCTTTTTGTAAGATATTAACCCGCTAAGATAAGGCAGAGCGTACAGGACATCCACTGTCAAAGTTCAAGGTGGGCTGCAGTTTGGACAACGTTGATGGCGGTCTTTCCCTGACTTCCTCGGTCGGTTATACATTTCACAATATTCGGCAAAATAGGTGAACAAATGTCTACGTTTATCTGCATGGATGACCAAAACATAAACATGTACATCAGAGACAGAGAAGAATATGACGGATATGAGCCAAGGTGGATCAGGGCACAGGCTTTTGTCTGTTTCAACTGTCTCACCGTTCCAGTACTGTCTGTTTGAAAAGGTAGGGAAGCTGCAGCAGTCTGTAGCATCAGGTAAAACATATACCGTATTCGACGTAATAAGCGCCCAGGGCGCTCTCAAAATTAGAAATAGGGGGCTCTTATTAGAATATTATTTTGGTGGGAAAGAGAGTTGAAAGATAAATTTCGTGGTTTCTGCTGACACACTGGAATGTGACAGATACATTTTTCCAGAATTTAATTGCCCATAATTAAGAATGCATATAACACACGAGTGCGTATTATACGCGAATAAATAAGTCTTGTGTACATTGATCAATCAGATGGAGTGCTAATTGGGATTGTTCACCAGCCAATATATTAGCAAATATCGCTGTGGGTGTTTATTAGAGCGGGGTGCTTATTATGTCGAATGCAGTATTTCAAATTGAAATTTTATCTTTTATTTTTTTTATTTTTTCGACCTACTGCACTGAATTTTAGGGCTAAAATTATCTTTCCCACAAAAAAAGTGTGGACTTGTGTGTGAGTCCTACCAGTGCATTCCTTGCCTCCCTCGATGATGACATAACCAGCAGGGCATGTGCAGTGAGCCCCGCCGTTGGTGTTGATGCACTGGTGCGCACAGCCGTAGTTGTTGTCATCACATTCGTTGATGTCTGCAACATTGATCATTGGTTCAGATAAACCTATGTGATGGATAATATATGTGGCATCAACATCAACATCTTTCGTAACTAGGATTGGCACTTTTTGCAAGAAAACGGATTATAAAAGAAATCTTCAAAATTATGCTAGTCTCATGTGACAAGGAAAGGCTGCTGGGGACATATTCTTATACCACATTCCCATGGAATCATAACTAAGCACTAGTCATTTCTGTGTCATACAAACCATATCAGTGGAGAGGTGGTTAAAGTGAGTGAGTGTGTTGGGTTTAATGTCGCTTTTAACAATATTCCAGTTATATCGCAGCATGTCAGCTTAATGTGGGAGTAAAGCCCAAAGTGATGCAGGTCTCAGACGTTCGGTGAAACCCACGATCACAGGTATGATGCTGACAAACCTGGAAACATAATCGGGGCGAACCGGTATTCGAACCCACAATCATAGGTTTCTGGCGTGCCCAAGGGACGCAACTCTGCACAGCGAATCGTGGCGCCTTAGACAACTGGGCCACCCATGGCCCCGGAGAGGTGGTTAAAGCGTTTGCTCATTACGCCAAAGGTACGGGTTCGATTCCCTACATGAGGACACTGTGTGAGGCCTTTTTCTGGTGTGCCCTGCCGTGATACTGCTGGAATATTGCTAAAAGTGGTGTAAAACCCAGCTAACTTACTCTTAACGGTGAAGAATATAAATACATAAACGGGAATCCCACCAACATGATGCAATACTGGTGAGTGTCAGATAAGTACATAAACGTGAATCTCACCGATACATGTCCTGTCATTGGAGGTGGTGAAGTATCGGAGGTCGCACCCGCACTGGTAGCTGCCGATAGTGTTGACACAGTTCTGGTCACAGCCATGGCTTGAGGTGGCACACTCATCAACATCTGCAGGCAGAATACAGCACTGTACACACTCATCAACATCTGCAGTCAGAATACAGCACTGTACACACTCATCAACATCTGCAGTCAGAATACAGGACTGTACATACTCATCAACATCTGAAGTCAGAATACAGCACTGTACATGCTCATCAACATCTGCAGTCAGAATACAACACTGTACACACTCATCAACATCTGCAGTCAGAATACAGGACTGTACACACTCATCAACATCTGCAGTCAGAATACAGCACTGTACGCACTCATCAACATCTGCAGTCAGAATACAGCACCGTACACACTCATCAACATCTGCAGGCAGAATACAGCACCGTAAACTCATCAACACTCAGGCTTCTCACTCACTACAATAAGAAAGAGACAGTTATTATACTCAATTGTGTGTTAATTTCTTATACTAGCAAATTCATCATGGCTCAGTTTAGAATAATACCTGTATGATCAAAATAATATTTATTTTTAAAATCGACCTCTTGTCAACTGCATTACTCTTTAGTCCCATTAAGACCTCTTTCTTTTTGCCATACTTGTCTAGAAAATCATCAACATAAGAATATACATTCAATGAAATGAAATATTTCACAAGATGTCACAACTGGCTATACAGAGTTACCTCCCTTGGTCATGCCAGGAGTTTGAATTCTAGACGTGTCCTGATTATAATAATTGATCTGTCAGCAACTCATCCATGCTTGTAGGTTTTATAGAAGTGGTAAACATCAACAATCAGATTCATTCTTGGTTTAAAATACTCGCTTATTCACTCACTCACTCACTCAATCTCTACTGACATACCCTGGCAAGTCTTCACTCACTCACTCACTCACTCTCTACTGACATACCTTGACAGGTCTTCACTCACTCACTCTCTACTGACATACCCTGACAAGTCTTCACTCACTCACTCTCTACTGACATACTTTGACAGCTCTTCACTCACTCACTCTCTACTGATATACCTTGACAAGTCTTCATTCACTCACTCACTTACTCTCTACTGACATACCTTGACAAGTCTTCACTCACTCTCTCTACTGACATACCCTGACAAGTCTTCACTCACTCACTCACTCTCTACTGACATACCTTGACAGGTCTTCACTCACTCACTCACTCTTTACTGACATACCCTGACAAGTCTTCACTCACTCACTCACTCTCTACTGACATACCTTGACAGGTCTTCACTCACTCACTCACTCTCTACTGACATACCTTATCAGGTCTTCACTCACTCACTCTCTACTGACATACCTTGACAGGTCTTCACTCACTCACTCTCTACTGACATACCTTGACAAGTCTTCACTCACTCACTCACTCTCTACTGACATGCCCTGACAAGTCTTCCCTCACTCACTCACTCACTCTCTACTGACATGCCCTGACAAGTCTTCCCTCACTCCTTCACTCACTCTCTACTGACATGCCCTGACAAGTCTTCCCTCACTCCTTCACTCACCCTGACAAGTCTTCCCTCACTCCTTCACTCACCCTGACAAGTCTTCCCTCACTCCTTCACTCACCCTGACAGGTCTTCCCTCACTCCTTCACTCACCCTGACAGGTCTTCCCTCACTCCTTCACTCACCCTGACAGGTCTTCCCTCACTCCTTCACTCACCCTGACAGGTCTTCCCTCACTCCTTCACTCACCCTGACAAGTCTTCACTCACTCCTTCACTCACCCTGATCAAGTCTTCACTCACCCCCTCACTCACCCTGACAGGTCTTCCTGTCTGGAGTCAGCCTGTAGCCCCCTGGACAGGTACAGTAGGCACTTCCGTCAGTGTTCATACAAATGTGACTACATCCAAGGATGTTGCTGCTACACTCGTCAAAGTCTGAAAAACATCATTCCAGCTGGGCACTGCATTGTAGCTCTCCATGAAGATGAACATCATAGCAACACTTGTTCACTAAAACCTGGGGAGGTCAGGTAGCCTAGTGGTTAAAGCGTTCAGTCGTCACGCTGAAGACCCGAATCTTCGCCGAATTCCCGACATGGTACACAATGTGTGAAGCCCATTTCTCGTGTCCCCCACCGTGATATTGCTGGAATATTGCTAAAAGCGGCGTAACACTATACTCACTCACTCACTAAAAACAACTTCAGCTGTTGTAAATTTTCCACCACAAAGGATTCAAACATGAAAGATTGCATAGTAACAATGACAACAGTCAGTCCGATGCTAGCAACCTAAACATACAACCTTGTGTTTGTTTGTTTGCTGTTAAACGCCGCACACAGCAATATTCCAGCTATATGACGGCGGTCTGTAAATAATCGAGTGTGGACCAGACAATCCAGTGATTGACATCATGAGCATCAATCTAAGCAATCAGGTTACGATGACATGCATCAACCAAGTCAGCTAGCATGACCATCTGATACAGTTATTCACCTCTTACTGCAAGCATAGTCACCACTTATGCCAAGAGTTGGCTGCTGAAGACCTATTCACTACTCAGATCTTCACGGGTCCTTTTGGTATGACCAGAGAGCCGGGGGTGCTGGGGACACATCTACTCCGCGTCCCCACGGGGTGAACCAATTCAGCGAGGCAAATCACCCGATATGTTAGTTGCCTTTTACAACAAGCATAGTCGCCTTTTACAGCAAGCATGGGTAGCTGAAGACCTATTCTATCCAGGATCTTCACGGGTCTACAACCTTGTAGATATACCTCTATTACATCATGTAATGTCCCCAACTGAAGATTTGCAATTCCTTCCATGTGAGACTCAAACTCTCTAATCAGCCCTTGTACTTCCCTGGTTAAGTGTACGGTGGTTACAAACACCAGTCCAGCCTCTCCACCACCATTGTTTATTTAAAAAGGGGAAAACGTGTGGTACTGATCTTTTGAAAAAAAGGACAGTTGTTCGAAACTGGAAGAAACCACAACAGTATGTTGCTGCTGTAATGTTAAGACGAACAACGCAGTGCGCCTGCTCCACCCAAAAATACTTCCACCAATACAGTTATTGTCGCCAGGAACAGCAGCCCAAAGTCTTGTTAATGATTGCACATCACCACTGCCAACAATAGCTCATACTTGTCTTCAAGTTACATAAGTAATAAATATGTAAATGACAATACCAAAAGTAAACAAGCCCATTTTAACAATGGTCCCAAACTGTTATGGCACACATGCACACACGGACGTACGGACGGAACCCATTTCAAAAATAGATTCGCCGTACTTCGACATCATCAAATTGTTTGCGTATGTTCGAATCTCCATTCTAAATCAAGTCATGACAGAAAAAATAATTTACCATGAATAAACAGCTCATTCTTTGTTGTTCGTTGTGACTTATCGTGTAGTTATCTCATATGTTGCAATACGTATCACAATGTAGTCCTACATGTTGCAAACTTCCAGGCAATCAACAAGGAGCATTGTGGGTAAGTGTACCTGTGCAGGGGATGTTGTTGCTGGGGTCTCCCACGTAGCCGGTGCGACACAGACAACTGGCGATGGAGGTGCTAGCACCGCTCTTGGTGGAAGAGCGAGGGGGGCAACGCTGACACCCCTTGTCTGTCCTGTCTCGGTAGTATCCCCTGAGGCATGCTGCATCAAACACCATGGTTACAGCATCAACACTATGGTTACAGCAACAAACATCATGGTTACAGCATCAACACCATAGTTACAGCAACAAACATCATGGTTACATTAAACACCATGGTTACAACAAACACCATGGTTACATCAAACATCATGGTTACATCAAACACCATGGTTACATCAAACATCATGGTTACATCAAACACCATGGTTACAGCAACAAACACCATGGTTACATCAAACATCATGGTTACAGCAACAAACACCATGGTTACATTAAACACCATGGTTACATCAAACACCATGGTTACATTAAACACCATGGTTACATCAAACACTATGGTTACAGCAACAAACACCATGGTTACATCAAACACTATGGTTACATCAAACACCATGGTTACAACAAACACCATGGTTACATCAAACACCATGGTTACAACAAACACCATGGTTACATCAAACACTATGGTTACATCAAACACCATGGTTACATCAAACACTATGGTTACAGCAACAAACACCATGGTTACAGCAACATGGTCAGCACCCTACCCAATCTTGAAGTGATAGGTGATGGGGTTCAATGTCATGTTCAAGATCATTGTACTTATATAGCGACGTGCATGCAGGTGTATTGTATTTGTCCACACTGGTTTCATAGCCTGGGGTGCTTGGGACACATTCTACTCCAGGTCCCCGTGGGGTGAGGCAAGGTGGCCAACAGGACGAAGTACTCACCAGCGCACTTGGTCGCCCCAGCCTTCCGGTAACCAACATGACAGCCACATCGATAGGTGCCGGGCAGATTTATACATTCTTGCTGACACAGGCTTTTGGTTGTGTTTAGGCTGCATTCGTTAACATCTGGAACAAGCCGATATAATGTGGTGAGTGAGTCAGTTGGGTTTAACGCCGCTTTTAACAATATTCCAGTTATATTGCGGCGTGTCAGCTTAATGTGACAGGATAGCCCGAAGTGATGCAGGTCTCAGATGTTTACCACTTCGGTGAAACCCACACGCACGGGTATGGTGCTGACAAACCTAGAAACATAACTGGGGCGAACCGGGATTCGAACCCACAATCATAGGTTTCTGGCGTGCCCAAGGGACGTAACTCTGCACAACGAATCGCGGCGCCTTGGACGACTGGGCCACCCGTGCAACCCGAGATAATGTGGACCAGCATAGCAGTATTCTCATACTAGGGCTGGGACTGGTAACTTGGGTACCCGGGTCGGTTGGGTACTGAGTAGGACCCGGGTACCCACAGGACTACCCGGACCCGTAGTTAGTCACGTGATATATTGTATAATGGCAAAAATTATCTAGGACTGTATGGTTCCATTACAAGTCACTAATGTTCTCATTTCTTCCTGACTATGCACGACTTCTGATTTTTCATATGGTTGAATAAAGATATATTTAAGTCAACTTCAGTGTATGAATGACCAGATTGTTTAATACAAGTATCTACATACGTTATGCCAGGGCTATGCTAAAAATGTTCCCAATCGGACGATTGAGACATCTCCTAAGACGTACAGTGGGTACCCGGATAGGGTCGGGTAATAGGGGGTGGGTACCCGGGTAGTATATTTGGACTCGTCCCAGCCCTATCTCATACTGCAGTAAACATATATTTTATGGCACAATAATATCCTCAACTTTGGTTTGAAGGTCCACTTCAGACACACAAAAATATATGACTTATTTAATGAAAATGGATTCTGAATTGGAAACATCGGAGAAAGTTTCTTTGCAACAAAAACAAATTTATCTTTTTCTTAATGGAAACACAAGCTACTAAAATCTACCATGGAATTTGAAGAATTTCACAGAGGACATGCAACAGCTGATCCTTTTTATTTCCATAACTGTAGTACTAAAATAACAAATGTTCAGAAATGTAGAAGTGCCCATTTGAATAAACAGTAGAAGAGTTACTTCCCTTCCAATGCGGACCTGAATTGAAACATATTTCATTACTTACATTCGTTGATCGTTTGTTTGTTTGGCAATATTCAGCTAAACGACTGTGGCCAGTGAACAACCAAATCTCGACCAGACAAACCAGTGATTGATATAATGAGCAAAGCCCCATGCCACAGGGATGCGATGACATGCAATCCACAATAAAATCACCAAGCATGACCTTTGGATCCATGAAGTCACCTCTAACAACCAGCACAGGTTACTGGGGACCAACTCTAACCTGGAAATCCACAGGGTAAATTACATATTTGTTTTTGACCTAAAATTAAAGAATGTAAGAAAAAGATCTATAGGCACAAAATTATAATTTTATTTGACATCTGTGAATATATTTGGAACAGTGGAGTCTTAAAGTCTAGTGACGTGCAAGTACATACCGACGCAAGCAGCTCCATCATCCGCGGAGACGTACCCCTGGGTGTTACACACGCACTTGAAGGATCCGATAGTGTTGATGCAGCCCTCCTGACAGACACTCTCCCCCTCCATACACTCATTCACATCTGCAACAGAAGCCAGGGTTGGTTGGTTGGTTTGTTGTTTAACGCCGCACTCAGCAATATTCCAGCTATATGAGGGCGGTCTGTAAATAATCGAGTCTGGGCCAGACAATCCAGTGATTGATGTCTTGATCATCGATCAACGCAATTGGGATCGATGACATGCATCAACCAAGTCAGCGAGCCTGACCTCCCGATCCCATTAGTCGCCTTTTACGACAAGCATAGTCACCTTTTACGGCAAGCATGGGTTGCTAGAAGCCAGGGAGGCATTGACGGAGTTTTACTCTGTAATGTCGGATGAAGCGAAACCATGTTAGTCCGGACCCTGCCTCCCTAACACTGAGGCCACACTTTGTCTGGGGGACACCAGAAATTGGCTTCACACATTGTACCCATGTCGGGAATCGAACCTGGGTCTTCGGCGTGACGAGCGAATGCTTTAACCACTAGGCTACCCGACCGCCCACTTCCAAAAGAAACACAATTACCATACATGTTGGTTAATATGTGAAGACTTACTCATATTCAAGAGATATTAGATTTGCTCTTATCGCAAACAAACATAATGGTATGATGTGTGAACCGACACTCATGAACGCATCACATGTGATGTCATAGATCCACGACTCGAGATTCACTATTTGTCTTGTGCAAGATAAGCATGTATAGTTTGGAAATCAGGTGCAGCACATCATGATAAGAATAAAGACACTGTGGTAACACTTGACTGATTGTTAGTTTTGTCATTAAGTGGTACACATTGGAAACATCTCTTCTTAACGTTCATACTTCTCTATATGTTTCCGTGGTTCGCGTTCCTCTTAGCAGTGAAAACATATTGGAGTTTGTTACGCATGTCATTGTTTCTGCCATGCACAGTGAACCTGACATGACAATATACTCCAATCTGTCAAAAAAATGAATCACTTTATTTGTGAGAGACCCTCATTTTTCTTATTTATTTCATTCTTACCCGAATTTCATGATCTACGGTAGCTGCTACTGAACAAGCATGACATTTTTCAACTCACCTATGCAGGAGGTCTTGTTCCAGGACAGTTTATATCCATTCCGGCATCCACACTCAAAGGATGCGAGCGAGTTGATGCAGATCTGGTCACACGGCGTATCAAAGGCTGAGCATTCATCAAAATCTGACACACAAAAAGATGATAAAGTCATGAAAAAGCTATAGACACATTAACACATTTCTTACGGAATATAAGATAGCTACGCGATAAATAGCAAAGAACAATGAAGAACGAAGCTTGGTTTATTTTACAATAAAACATTGTTCTATTTTGATGTCGTTTCTGGTGATTCGAACATGCGCTCTCAACCTGATGACGTCATATATTGAATGACGTTACTTTACAGACGGAAGTGTCCAGTGAGTTGTTCCCCATAGATGTAGCTGGGCTGGACAGATAAACACAATTGTCAAACGATCGCATCCAAAAGTGGGAGAGATATGACAATTGGTATTAGGAGAAAGGGTATAGATGATCGACATGAGGATTGTGAGAATATTACAAACTTAACCCACCTGTTCGTAAAATGAACTTTTCCGGCATTTTCGAGGTTGGGTTCTATTCAATGAGTCATCATTAATTAAATTTGTGTAAATATTTTTAAAGCTTGTACATTCTATCAACATCCTTCAAGAGGCTGTACGTAATGTTGATATCTCATATAAAAAAAACCGACTTGTTTATTTCTTAATTAGTTTTGTCATGTTCAGCTGTGGTGGCCTGTGGCCCGTGGACAGTGCACACACCACAGGCAAAGTTACGCTGTGACATCAGTTGGATGGGTGACTATATTTGGCAGCTCGACTCCCTGAGAGTTTCTTGGGCTGTGACCCTGCCCAACACGGAGACACATGTAACACATGTTGTGTCTCATTTGGAAAGAGCTTGAAGTATGCCCCTGTTCACCCAGCAATGAATGGGTACCTGGTAGGATTGGATGGGAGATGGTGTTTATGGTGTGGTGTGTATGTCACTGTTAACCTAGCACCTCCTGAAGCAGTTTGGGTTGCATACTCCCCAGGGAGCTGATAATGAAATTCGAGTAGTAGTAGTTGTAGTAGCAGTAGTGGTAGGGGTAGTGGTAGTTAGTAGTTTTGTTTGTTTGTTTGTTTATTGTTTAACGCCACAATATTCCAGCTATATGATGGCGGTCTGTAAATAATCGGGTCTGGACAAGACAATCCAGTGACTGACATCATGAGCATCGATCCACGCAGTTGGGATACAATGACATGTCGCCTCTTACAACAAGCATAGTCGCCTTTTACGATAAGCATGGGTTACAGAAGACCAATTCTAACCCGGATCCTCAAGGGTCGGTAGTTAGTGGTAGTAGAAGTAGTGGTAGTGGTAGTGATAGTGGAAGTAGTAGAGGTGGTAGTGGTAATGGTAGTGGTAGTAGTAAACTGCAAATATTTGGCATGATATTGTGATTATCAGATTGTTTACTACGGGGAAATAGCTATCAACTAATAGGGACTATTGTACCTTCTTGTTGTAGGGGTACCCCGCCAATAAGTCAGTAAAGGCTAAATGCTGTGTTTGATTAAAAGTATTCTTATTTTTAACATCTTTTTGCATGTAATATTGTTTGACCTTTTATTCATATAGAAATTGAACCTAAAATCACAATTTTTTCTATTTCTTTATAATTTTGACCCTTGCCTTTCATTGAATGAATAAAACGAGACATAAAACTAGTCTGGCCATATGGGGTTTTATCATTATAATATTTGTATTATGCAGAGGTACCTTTACCGTATCTGTCACCGCTTACCTACACACGTCCTGAGGTCAAGGTCAAGCCGGTAGCCTTCAGGACACAGACACACCACACTTCCCTCAACGTTCTCGCACCCATGGGAGCAGTACCGGGGGTCCTCACACTCGTTGATGTCTGGAACACGCCAGGCAAGCTGTAGGCGCCAATAGTTCGGATCAACTAATGGTAAAAAGTTGTCTCAATACACTTCACTTTCATGTATGTAAGATGTACCTTGACAAACTGATACAGCCTCTTTCGTCCCACCTGTAGCTAGTCTTACCTTGACAAGTGTGCTTGTCCTCCATCATGATGTAGCCATCTCCATCACATTCGCAGTTGTAGGAGCTGTCGGTGTTGATGCAGATGTGGTTGCAGCCACCTTGGTTCACCTCACATTCATCAATATCTACAGGCACAATATATATATACTGTAAATCGTGAAATTAATGCGTCTCGAAAAGAATGCGCCCGCTATCCAAACTATCTTATTGTTGAAATAAATGCGATGTTTAATAATGCGAGCAAAGACCACTCGCTTCACGCTCGCATTAATTTCAAGATTTACAGTATACTACTCAGAAGAAGTTAAAGAACATCCTATGTTTTCATATGACTATAGTTAATCTCTTGGCCATGGCCATGACAGATTAACAACAGCCATAGGAAAAAGTTGGTCTTCTTTAAGTTATTGTGAGTAGTACCCAGTCAAACACTGATGTGTCGAAGTTGAAGGGACCTACGTAAATACTTCGAGTTTCCCGAGGTTTGACACAACCCGAAAATGATGAATAAAGAAGAAACACACAAGTTAAAAGCTTTTACTTTCAGACAAAGTTTGACACATTAAAGTTTGGCACAATGGTGTTTGACTGTACCGGTATATGATATCCTACGAGACTTTGGACAATACTGATTGGTCAGCTGGAGCTTTCAAATCCCATTAACACGTGCTGAAACGTGTACTCAGAGATGGGCAGTACTCGAAGATGGGTAGTTCTCGGAGATGGGCTGTACTCAGAGATAGGCAGTACTTAGAGATGGGTAGTACTCGGAGATGGGCTGTACTCAGAGTTGGAAAGTTCTCAGAGATGGGTAGTACTCAGAGATAGGCAGTACTTAGAGATGGGTAGTACTCGGAGATGGGCTCTACACGGAGATGGGTATTTCTCAGAGATGGGTATTTCTCGGAGATGGGCTGTACTCAGAGATGGATTTAGGCCTGAGAGACAATATTATTTTTTGTTATTTGACTCAACAGGAATAAGAAATAACTTTACAAATCTTAAATCTTCAACTTATTCCACATTTATGAAACTTAGGGCAGATCTGTGAACAACTAAAGCCCTGGTGTACATATCTCCTGAATCGAGCACATACCAACACAGTTGACTTTGTCTGCCTCTGATGTGTATCCCTGCGGGCAGTCGCACTGGGCGCTGCCTGGCTGATTGATACAGCCATGCTCACAGTAGATCTCCCCCAGAGAACACTCGTCACGATCTGCAACACAGCATGGGTCACAGTGAAACAGTTTCTACCAGCTGCCTCTCGGAATCCTACATGAGGGTCATCTCATTTGTTATAGGAAGAGCAGTGAGATTGGACCTAGGAATGTATCATATGTATCTGTTCCCAACCCTATCCATTTGATGTATCATATTTTCATAACTCTCCTGATTTTCTTCATGCCGCCCCCCCCCCCTCCAAAGTGCCTACATAATGTTCAAATTTAAACATTAGTTATTTGAAAAAATAGAACTGTGACATTTTTTATGGTCCCTCCCCTCACCATTGGTGATAATTTGAATGACCCCTCTTTCGCCTGTGTCACGTTTTCATGACCATCTCCAATCTCACCGTCCCCCAATTCCCCAATTATGAAATATTAGTGAAGCACTGCGATGTCACATGATGCAGTATAGGCATGTCCTTCTGTAGTGTAATAACAATATTTGTATTGATATTCTCATTGTTCACTGGTACAACATCAGTATCAATATCAAAATTTCAATATTATCCATCAAAGCTCTTATAAGTGAAATGTGTTGTTTGTGACGTACCTATACAGGGTATGTTGTATGGGGGGTCGCCTTCATACCCTGGCCGACACTCGCAGTCAGCGTGAGACTGGGCGAAGCGCGAGCGGAGTTGCGAGGAGACGATGGAGTTGGCTGGGCAAGGGTGACATGCTCCATCAGTCCGGCTGTAGTACTCATCCTGCTCACACTCTGACACAGGCAACGACTCAAGTTACTCACACACACGCAAACATGAAACAAGGAAACATAACATTGTTTCAAACTGGGAATAAATCTCATGCAGGTGCCTCTTCCTTCCAGAACTTCCTTTGAGTAAGCTTTGTTTGTCTGTTGTTTAACCCACACTCACCAATATTCCAGCTGATATAATCAAGTATGGACGAGACAATCCAGTGATGTACTTTATGAGCAATGATCTACGCAATTGAGATACGATGACATGCATCAACCAAGTCGGCAAACCTGACCACCAGATCCTGTTAGTCATCTCTTACGACAAGTATAGTCGCCTCTTACGACAAGCATGTGTTGCTGAAGACCAACTCTAACATGGATCTTCACAGGCGACCAGCATGGGTTGCTGAAGACCAATTCTAACCCGAATCTTCACAGGGGACAAGCATGGGTTGCTGAAGACCAATTCTAACATGGATCTTCACAGGGGACAAGCATGGGTTGCTGAAGACCAATTCTAACCCGAATCTTCACAGGGGACAAGCATGGGTTGCTGAAGACCAATTCTAACCCGAATCTTCACAGGGGACAAGCATGGGTTGCTGAAGACCAATTCTAACATGGATCTTCACAGGGGACAAGCATGGGTTGCTGAAGACCAATTCTAACATGGATCTTCACAGGGGACAAGCATGGGTTGCTGAAGACCAATTCTAACCCGAATCTTCACAGGGGACAAGCATGGGTTGCTGAAGACCAATTCTAACATGGATCTTCACAGGGGACAAGCATGGGTTGCTGAAGACCAATTCTAACATGGATCTTCACAGGGGACAAGCATGGGTTGCTGAAGACCAATTCTAACATGGATCTTCACAGGGGACAAGCATGGGTTGCTGAAGACCAATTCTAACCCGAATCTTCACAGGGGACAAGCATGGGTTGCTGAAGACCAATTCTAACATGGATCTTCACAGGGGACAAGCATGGGTTGCTGAAGACCAATTCTAACCCGGATCTTCACAGGGGACAAGCATGGGTTGCTGAAGACCAATTCTAACCCGGATCTTCACAGGGGACAAGCATGGGTTGCTGGTGACCAATTTCCTCATGGTAGCCTTTGAGTAAGACTCCTACACCGCCATTCAGGAATGCATGCAAGTGAAGAGTTACCTTCCCTTGACAAGAACTCTTGAAGGCATTTTTACTCTTCACAATTGTTCACCGCTCGACCGATCTGTTCAGCATGTTTTCATCTAGAAATATTCAATGGTTTTGGAGTTCTGGTCTTTAAGAGCACTACCCCCATATTCGGTAAAGACCAACTAGTTGTCATGAAAACAAAAACAAAAAAATCCCAAATCATCAAAAGGCACCAACAGGGGAGAACAGACGGACAGGTGCACATGTTGATCGCTATATCAATACTGTTACCCGTACAACAATTCTATAGCAATGCAAAATTAGATGATATAAAACTATGAGAATGAATACAAATGTGGCACTTCAGGTAGAGGTCTTATAAGTATATGATTTCTTTTTCCATTTTATTACAACTATTGATACCACTCATAGTCAGCATCAGAAATTGGCTCTAGTCCTGTAGTCCTTGCCAATCTGCCCAACAGTTAAGGTATCATCAGGGCACAGTAGCTGAAATTTGTCATTTTTAAGAGTTTTGCTTTATGTCATCATTGTAAGGACTATCGGACTAAAAATATTAGTTTCTACCCATGTGAGTATAATTTTTTGAATATGTCTTCAATATATTGCCTTTGGGCCTTTGACAATTGCAATGATTTGCTAGGTTGATCAGTCTTTACAACTCATTGTTACATTGAGGATACATGGCATGGTTCATGAACTTAGTTCTTGTTCTGTGCACTGTCTTAATAGACATGCCAAGATTTAGGAGGTGAAAACAAAAATACAGTGTTTATCTTGGACAAGGGGAAAAAACTCAAACTTTAGTAACAAGAGCTTGAGCCTGGCTGCCCAATCCAGTCAGTTTCCTCCTACGACAAGCATAGGATCCTGAGGAGCAACTCTAAATTGGAATGCCCACTGGGATAAGGGTGTATGAATTTCAAGATTTGATTCAAATGCCTGTCGGTTAGAGAACTTTCATTTGTACTTACTACAAAGAAATCGGATATAGAACACTTATAACAAAAGTATGAAGTGGTATAGAATTATTATGAGTGAGTGAGTGAGTATGGTTTTACGCCGCTTTTAGCAATATTCCAGCAATATCACGGTGGGGGACACCAGAAATGGGCTTCACACATTGTACCCATGTCGGGAATCGAACCCGGGTCTTCGGCATGACGAGCGAACGCTTTAACCACTAGGCTACCCGACCGCCCCAGAATTATTATGAATATGAACGAAAATTTCATTAAGAGTAAATAACAAGTGGGTTTTACCTGTGCAGGTTATGTTGTCCTTGGCAACCACAAAGCCATCCTGCAGGCATTCACAACTGTAGTACCCCGGTACGTTGACACACTGGTCCTCACATTGGTCCGCCTCGATCGCACACTCGTCAATATCTGTCATCATCGTATCTATTAATCACTGGATGCGACACTCGTTAATATCTGTCATCATCGTATCTATTAATCACTGGATGCGACACTCGTCAATATCTGTCATCAACGTATCTATTAATTACTGGATGCGACACTCGTCAATATCTGTCATCACCGTATCTATTAATCACTGGATGCGACACTCGTCAATATCTGTCATCACCGTATCTATTAATCACTGGATGCGATACTCGTCAATATCTGTCATCACCGTATCTATTAATTACTGGATGCGACACTCGTCAATATCTGTCATCATCATATCTATTAATTACTGGATGCGACACTCGTCAATATCTGTCATCACCGTATCTATTAATCACTGGATGCGATACTCGTCAATATCTGTCATCACCGTACCTATTAATTACTGGATGCGACACTCGTCAATATCTGTCATCATCGTATCTATTAATTACTGGATGTGACATTGTCAATATCTGTCATCATCATATCTATTAATTACTGGATGCGACCCTCGCCAATATCTGTCATCATTGTATCTACTACTTATTGCAAGTAAGGGTGTACCAGTCAATCGGTTTGTCAATATTTGTCATCTCCATAATCAACTAATATAATTCCATGAGGAAGTGCATTATTGAAAAGAACTATTGTCAAGAACTTCCTTGTTTTTAAGTAAAGGAACAGTTCCGCAACAAGATTAAATATGTTGATAGATATGCATCAACAATGTAACTATCTGATCACATTATCCTCTGAGCAAGCTGAGTGAGTGAAGATTAAATAAACGCCACTCCTAAGAAACATGTTTGTTAGTTTGTTGTTTAACGCCGCATTCAGCAATATTCCAGCCATATCACGGTGGTCCCGTTAGTCGCCTTTTACGGCAAGCATGGGTTGCTGAAGATCTAGTCTATCCCAGATCTTCACGGGTCCGGGTATTATGTATATAAGGACATGTACATAATATGAATTTCATTTGAATTCAGAAGTGTAAGAACTAGTATTGATGATGTAATGATTAAAGAAACAAAAATAACAAATACATTTTCTGCCTCCCCACCAAGACTACTGTTAGCTAATATGTTAAAAGTCATTTGGTTGGTTTAGTGGGGAAAAATAAATCCAATGAAGACTACTTTTACAGAAACACATACGTACATTTACTTCTGTCAAAAATGGCTTTGTTTTCTTTATTCAGCTTTTAACTATATTAATCCATCAAAGATAGAGCATGCAGTCAGACCACAGGAATCTGGAGATTCAATAAATTTGCATGACTTTCTTATACTATCAAACACCTTCTCTATAACCACGAACACCTGGTGCTTGATTGTAAAAGCAGGCATTTATCTAAGATTCCAAAGTAAGTGCTCTTTGCAGACAAATTTGGAAAAAAAGATTTTAGAAAATAGCGTTGGTGATAGTAACTCCCATATCTAACACAGACTTACAACAATCGTAACGCTAAGGTTGTTTTGTACAATGTCACCCAGGTTCCTGTGAACGGACGAATAAAAAACACATTTAAACTATTTTAATTCAGTTTCTCATTGTGTTTTTTGAATCTGGTTCTGTCAAATCCATAAACAGAAAAACAAATTGTCACCCGAAAAAAAAATGGAAGCAGCTAGGCTGTGGAGGGGGGTCTGTATGTTACAATGACAACGCACTCACCGGCACAGGTGAAGCCGTCCTCCCCCAGGAGGAACCCATCCATGTCACAGTAGCAGTTGAAGTAGCCGAACTGATTCTCACAGCGATCATTGCAACCGCCATTGTTATTAAGACACTCGTCTGTATCTGAAGAAATAGAAATAATGCACACAAGTAACGACTTGGATTAGTGAATGACTGTTGCTGAACTGTGCACTTAGCAATGTTACCGCTTTATCACAACTACAGTCAAGTCCCGTTAATCCGACATGGTTGGTTGCATATGATTATGTCAGATTAACGAGTATGTCGGATAAACAAAATTAAGTAGTATCAACGTTTGTGATCGGACAACTACACGATAGATAACGATACAAACACGTAATAAATTAAATATACCGGTAAATGAAATATTCATATTGTTATGTTACATTGTTGGCGGAATATGTTTTCTAATCTTGCAACCTCTAAAGCTCAACACAAAACAACTATTATGGACTGTATGACTTATTCAAAATACTTTAAAAAGCATAGTCTGGAATGGAAGTCGCAAGTTTGAAACTGGTACCGCAAAGCTAAGAGACTCGTCTCGCATCAAAACACAGGCTGTGTACTCGCAGGCAGATGACGTACGCTGATCACTGTGTCGGATTAACGAGACTGATTAATGAGTGATTTTGGTAATTCGTAGAAAATTAGGTGTGTCCGAGTCGGAGTGCGAGACTGTCGGATTAACGGGTCAAAATAGCACTGATTTTATAGGTCCCAATCATTATAGTGTCGGATAAAGCCGATTGTCGGATTAACGAGAGTCGGATTAACAAGACTGTATCTGTAATCAAATCTGGACCAGACAAACAAGTGACTGCATGGAAGCATGATCCATGAAGATACCACATAATTAGCCAAGTCACAGATTGACAGCAAGTCTCATAGTGCCATAAGTGGATAAACAATAAACTCTTAGTACAACACCGGTTTCATTTATCAGTTTATCAGTATTTTGACTTTGATAATATATTCTGGCAAAATACTTAAAGTACAAAAATAAAATATTTTCATAAACATCCTTTCTGGATATATGATTCACTGACATTCTGCCTTCTTCTACTGCCAGTGTCAGTACTAGGCCTAGATCATGATATGTAGATATGGCATTTTGGCAACACTGGTAAATAGACAAGGATTCAACAGAATACAGTAACTAATAAAAAGAAATATTACAATCATTTTTACCTGGAACTGAACGCGCAAAACACAAAACCACTCATTCATGAACTTGGCAATGAAATTGAATCGAAACATTTTATCTATGTGTAACAAGGGAGAGCACTCTATCAGATTTGTGGTGACCCTCATTGGATTGTCGGTAGCGCACATATACTTCGTTGTCATATTACATCTATTGACATTCCTTGCCCCTTTTCAACCTCAGGAATTCGTTGCTGTACACAAATAAAACATAAAAACCCATCTATCCTACCTATATATTTTATATATTTTAATCCTTCGAGATAAGTTGCAAATACAAACACGGACCTAAATATTTAGGTCCAAATATTTATAATTTTTGTACAGCTACGAATTCATGTATGTGTTTCAGCTCTTCAGAGTGCAGTTTCCAAATTAACAGTGTAACACCAAGTTTTCCTAACCGTCCCCTCTCGTCACAGATGTAATGAGGTCCGAATCTATAAGCAAACTGAACGTGATAATTGAGGAAATAGCGGCATAGCAGGAGCAGTGTTGATGACAGATTATTTTCTGTACTTTCTTACCTTCACAGTAGGTTCCGTCTTGGCCGGGTTCAAAGCCGCTCTCGCATTCACAGCGGTAGGAACCGTCGAGGTTGACGCAGTACCCGTGCCGACAGAGCTTCTCGCCATAACGCTCACACTCGTTGAAATCTAACTTGACGAACGGAAAAAAACAACAGTTCCGTTTAGTTGTTGCAATGTGTGTGGAACTACATAAGCTACGATTGAATATACTCACTCACTCACTCACTCACACACATTCACATAGCAACTCGCTTACTCAACCATCCACTCACTCACATGTCCACTTACCCGTGAAGATACGGGGTAAAATAGGTCTTCAGCAACCCATGCTTATTGTAAAAGGCGACTATGCTTGTCGTAAGTGGCGACTAACGGGATTGGGTGGTCAGGCTTGCTGACTTGGTTGATGCATGTCATCGTATCCCAACTGCGTGGATCGCTGCTCATGATGTCAATCACTGGATTGTCTTGTCCAGACTCGATTATTTACAGACCGCCGTCATATAACTGGAATATTGCGACGTTAAACAACAAACAAACAAACAAAACTACTAACTACCACTACCACAACCACAACCACTACCCCTACCACTACTACTACTACTTCTACTACTACTAACTACCACTACCCCTACCGCTACTACTAGTACAACTACTACTACTACTCGAATTTCATTCTCAGCTCCCTGGGGAGTATGCAACCCAAGCTTCTTCAGGAGGTGCTAGGTTAACAGTGACATACACACCGCACCATAACCACCATCTCAGATCTAATCCTAATCTAATCGAACCAGGTATCCATTCATTACCCATTCATTGCTGGGTGAACAGGGGCATACTTCAAGCTCTTTAAAAGGCGAATGTGCTTGTCGTAAGAGCCGACTAAGGGAGTCTGGTGGTCAGGCTCGTTGACAAATTGCGTGCATCGAAGCTCATGATATTAATCGATGGATTATTTATAGACCGCTGTCATATAGCTGCAATATTGCTGAGTGCGGCGACAACAAACAAATAAAACATACCCTCTCACTAACCTTTTTCTTAGCTCACTCACTCACTAAACACCTACCGACTCACTCAACCGACCACAACTCACTCACTCAAACACCAACCGATCTACCAACCCACCCATCACCAACCTGCCCACGTATTCGCCCACCCATCACGCAAACAGATTCACTCACTCAGTGGCACAGAGCGTTAAAATAGGTCTTCAGCAACCCATGCATGCCGTAAAAGGCGACTACGCTTGTCGTAAGAGGCGACTAACGGGATCGGGTGGTCAGGCTTGCTGATTTGGTTGATGCATATCATCGTACACCAGTTGCGTGGATCGATGCTCATGTCAATCACTGGATTGTCCGGTCCAGACTCGATTATTTACAGACCGCCGTCATATAGCTGGAATATTGTGCGGTGTTTAACAAAAAACAAACAAACTCTGGCACAGCACTAGGCTATTCAGCCATATTGTTAACTCAGGGCGACATATGAGGCTAAATCATGATACATCCTGTATCGTCTGCTCGACATGGTAAAACATCTCATATCACTCCCGGTGAGATCAAAGGCTATTCATCAATACAGGATAAAGAACACAAGTACGTTGTGTATAGCGACACGACATGCCACTCAAGTGTCGTCGCATCTCTGGCCCGCATCGAGGATAGAAAATGATGACGGGATCTGGTGTAGTGTTTTGTTGTTGTTTAACGCCGCTCTCGGCAATATTCCAGCTCTATGACAGCGGTCTGTAAATAATCGAGTCTGGACGAGACTATCCAGTGATTGACATCATGAGCATCGATCAAAGCAATTGGGATCGATGACATGCATCAACCAAGTCAGCGAGCCTGACCACCCGATCCGGTTAGTCGCATCTTACGACAAGTATAGTCGCCTTTTACGGCAAGCATGGGTTGCTGAAGACCAATTCTAACATGGATCTTCACAGGGGACAAACATGGGTTGCTGGAGATCAATTCTAACATGCATCTTCACAGGGGACAAGCATGGGTTGCTGGAGACCAATTCTAACATGGATCTTCACAGGAGACAAGCATGGGTTGCTGGAGACCAATTTCCTCTAACCCTTATTTGAAATGCCTACCTACAATGATTGAGAAAGAAGTATATTTCTAAAAACATAAGCTTCAGCGGTGATGCGGTCGTCAAATCAGCTTGTTTAATCACAGGTGGTTACCGGGATTGTTATTGTGATTTGAACCTTCTGACTGACCATTACATTGAAACTCACTCAGTACATTCTAGCAACACTTGTTCATTAAAACCAGGGGCAGTCGGGTAGCCTAGTGGTAAGAGCGTTCGCTCGTCACGCCGAAGACTCGGGTTCGATTCCCGACATGGGTACAATGTGTGAAGCCTATTCCCGGTGTCCTCGGCGCGACATTGCTGGAATATTGGTAAAAGCGGCGTAAAACCTTACTCACTCTTGCTCAACTATTCTATCGCAACTTGTATTACAAAACAACCAGAAGCTTCTGTTATAAACGGTCTATCCACAGATATGATCACGGAACTTCGAGAGATGTATTCAAACTATAAGGTGGAAGGCCCAGTGGTCTCAGGCGCTGCAATTTGCTGTACAGAGTTGCGTCCCTTCGGCGTATCAGAGTGAGTGTGATGTGTGAGTATGGTTTTACGCCGCTTTTAGCAATATTCCAGTAATATCATGGCGGGGGACACCAGAAATGGGCTTCAAATATTGTACCCATGTCGGGAATCGAACCCGGGTCTTCGGCGTGACGAGCGAACGCTTTAACCAGTAGGCTACCCGACCGCCCTATGTGTATCAGAAAAATATGATATGATCAGGGGGGTTCGAATGGGTATAACACGGCCTGCATCGCACTCACTTCACAAGATAAAATCCCATCTAATCTCGTGATGCGTCTACTTTGTCCTTGTTGACACAGTCACGATCAGTGTTAATTTTCCTAGTGCTAATCACGATCACTACACCACGTGGTTGCGTCTGTTCTCTCCACTAATACTACGAACAATCACTACTTCCTTATTAATTTCAGTATCTGAGTCCTGTCTCCTGATGGGATGGTTATACTTCCGCGACGTCGGACATATTACACCATTGTCAGTTGGGTTAAAGAGTCATTCGAAATTCGTCATTGTTATAGTGGATACTTCTGGGAAATTAAATGTCAAGTGTGCGACGTATTTATCTCGACATTTCCTTCATTTGTTTTCGGCCAATAACTCAATAGCACTGCTGGCAGAGCAAAAAACTATTTTTGTACACTGGCGTAACAGGACCGTGTTGATATGACTAATACTGAAACATGGTGACAGTGAGTAAGTGAGTTGTGTTTACGCCGCCTTTAATGAGTGAGTGAGTGAGTGAGTGAGTATTGTTTTACGCCGCTTTTAGCAATATTCCAGTAATATCACGGCGGGGGACACCAAAAATGGACTTCAGACATTGTACCCATGTGGGGATCGGACCCGGTCTTAAGCGTGACGAGCGAACGCTTTAACCACTAGGCTACCCGACCGCTCCTCGCCGCCTTTAACAATATTCCAGTAATATCTCGGCGGGGGACACCAAAAATGGACTTCAGACATTGTACCCATGTGGGGATCGGACCCGGTCTTAAGCGTAACGATCTAACGCTGTGGTCGCTAGCCTACCCCACCCTCGTAAATAAGAAATGGCAGTGTCCAAATTAGATATTTGGTTTTACTGAGGGGCATGTCTATGTTGGGGGACCTGTCAGTCTAGAGTTAAAATTGACTTTACTGTTAAACAATATTTTGTGTCAGCATCAGGTAACGTTCACCTTATTGTGTTTGACTGATTGGACTGATAATCAACTGTGACCTGTTTACATACGAGCTTACGTGTATTTAATTTTAGTTAAATCGATAAATCAATTTAATTTTCACTGGGAGCCAAGTAATATAAGGTTTTCATTATCACTGGCCGTTTGGGCTGGTTATGGACAACTGGATCGTGACTTTTAGTGAGGGACAACTCATTCACCAAATGTACAACTCCATCGATATCTGCCCAATATGTACCCTGGAAACATCAGGTCTTTATATTATTGTCAGGTCACCACCAACCTTGAAAAATTGTTGCACTTATCTAGTTTGTTATCTACCTTGACTTCTTTTGTTTACGAACTATCTAATTATGAAATAGCGGGCGAAACTGGCCCAGTCGTTTAAGGCACGGCAATTCGCTGTACAAAGTTGCGCCCTTTGGGCACGCCAGAAACCTATGGTCGTGGGTTCGAATCCCAATTCGCCCCGATTATGTTTCTAGGTTTGTCAGCACCATACCCGTGCTCGTGGGTTTCATTAAGTGATAAACGTCTGAGGCCTGCACAAATTAGGGCTTTCCTCCCTCATCAAGCTCACAGGCCGGGATATAACTTGAATACTGTTCAAAGCGGCGTTTAACCAAACTCATTCACTCAAAAATTGTCGGGCTTGCATAATCAGAAAGCATAAAGTACACTGTTTGCAACAGATTTTAGTTCGGCATTTGAAAGCAATATTTTCTGCTTTGGAAACATTGGACAGATTGTCTTTTCAACATACACCACTGACTCTGACGCCGTGTCGTGCATCAACAGTTTCTCTATGAACCATTAGTGACTTTCATTAAATCAAAATGGTCAGGAGCAACCATTTGATTGTCGGGGGTCGCTTTGTAGGAAGCAAATTGCCCAATTCCGGCAGACAAGTATCAAAAGAATACATTTCTTTATTTTTTGTTTATTTAGAAAAATAAAACTGAGCCCCTGTTTATGTTGGAACAAATATTTGGGCTCCTTAAGATAAAAAAAAGTATGCTGATCTCAAACCAAAATCGTCCCATCCCCTGTGAATATAATGGTTGCTCCCTCACAATTCACGGACGACACACATAACTTTAATGGTCTTCGACCAGTGGAGCTAAAACGAACCGGAAAAGAAACATGGTATGTTTGGTACGCACCCACACACGAATGTAGGTCATCGGCCAATTTCAGACCCTTCTGATCACAGCGGCACTCGTACGATCCGCGACGGTTGATGCAGATGTCGTCACACTCGCCATTATTGAATGAACATTCGTCAAAATCTGAAACACAAAGAGGTAAAACAATCGCCTGGTCGGTTGTTCTCTCCAAGGTATAAATGTTGCCGACATAATGCCTTGGATCTCAGAGCAGCCACGCGTTGGACAGCGAACGTTTTTGAAACTTTGTGTTTATATTGTTAATTGTTAATAAGCAATGTTTATATCATTGATTTGTGAATTACTACTCCGATAGACATTTTCATTTATTGTTTTCTTCTACCTGTTCATGATAATTTGATGATAATGTCCACTCCCTACCCATTTAAGAATTGCTTTTACTAAATTCAGATGTTCAAATATTAAAATAGCTTTAGAAACTGGCAGATATAGTAAAAAAGACCGTTTACTCAGATTCTGTAACTATTGTAGTAGTAAGGGAGTTAATGTCATTGAGGATGAATTTCATGTACACTTTAATTGTAATTTATATTCTGCCCTAAGACAAAAATTCCTTGTAAATCTTCCTATGCCTACTCATTACAGTAATTCTCATGTAATAAATATTCTTAGTAATTATAATGAGCAAACATTATTTCTAGTTTGTAAATTTTATATTATGCTCACAAAATAAATTCTGTGCCCTGTAAATGTCATGCTCACATGTCTGTATTTTGGGCCATTGGCCTTTTACTGAATAAACATGTCTGTCTGTCTGTCTGTCTGTCTGATAATTTGAGGTCAAATTACAGAACATTATCGCGATAATAAGGCACTGATAATTTGAGGTCAAATTACAGAACATTATCGCGATAATAAGTGCAGGCCTTAAACAAATTTAAGAGAATTCGGTGCGAATCCCGTTTTCTCGGACAACAGGCGTTCCACGTGGAACGGAAGAATCTATTTCCTTTGAAAAGGGGTCTGCAGCGTAGTATGGCGCTGTGCACGTGGAGTATATGCGCTATGTCAGTGTCAAATGCGCCAAGTTGACCCCTAATATGTAAAACTTCCACAGGTTCAATTGTCAGGTGGTGATTCTTTGTAAGATTGTTCAGCAGGACCGATTATGTCTCTACGTTTGTCAGCACCATACCCTTTCTCATAGGTTTCACCAAAGTTGTAATCCCCCCGAGACCTGCATCACTTCGGGCTTTCATCCCACATTAAGCTGACATGCCGTGATAAAACTGGAATACTGTTAAAATCAGCATTAAACCCAACTCACTCAAATTTGAAGCAAAAATGTCTATCAATTAAGATATTGTATCTTTTCAAATGCAACTTGGTTCTATTTCGATTTTATCGAGATGGAAATTAAATCCGCTCTGAAGTGTATTTTAATAAAATGTTAAAGTGATTTATTTATAACGCGATGGAATACCCTGACATGTGGTTTGGGATCCTGGACCTCGTCAAACAAACAAAACCCTCAATAAGCATGGTCCATGTAGGCATTTCTTGATACAGACAGCCAATGAAAACAACCCCGCCCAAACAAACACGATACGTCTTTGTACACAGCAACGCGCTTATGCTACCCCATATGGGCGTCCGGGTGTTGAAGGAGAACTTATGAAACGGAACCTTTTCCTGACTTTTTTTCCCTATCCTCTTACATCCGACTGGATGGTTTGTAAACACCATCTTATAAAAAAAATAATACTAAAGCTATTTATGGATGGATCTTTGGCCTTCCAAGATGAAACGTCACTATAGTGAATGAGAATCACATACCCTCACAAAAGTGGTCAGCCGAGCTTGGCTGGTATCCGGGTATGGAACAATCACACTTGTAGGATCCGGGTAGGTTGGCACACGGGCCAGGACAGGTGTGCATGGCCCCTGCACATTCGTCTATATCTGAAATAAAACATTTTGAGTACAGATGGTATCACATTATTTTATTAATGTTGCACAAGTACGATGTACATGCCTAATCTCACGTCTAAACGGATGTAAACCTGTATAAGAGCGGTTTTGGATGTGTGCGTGCGTGCATGTATTATGCATAGTTTATATATGTAAGCGTGTATAGGAAATAGGTATCTACCAAATTCGGATGTTTCATCAAATATTTTTAAATTAAATAAACTACTGACTTTTAATGATGTGTCATAGGCTAATTTTACTAAAGAATCTCTGACATGTAAATCTACCTCAGACAGTTAGTATCTTAATTATCATCTACCGGCAAGTTGCAATATAACGTTATATAACAACCGTGTACATGGGACAATGGCCTACCAGCAAAAGACTTCTACCACGACTATAGCGTGTACATTATTAGTTTGAACTAATTGTAATTGTAAATACATAAATGTAGACTTATGGTGCAGAAAGACCAAGAATCATTATCGAGCGAATATGGGATTCGAACTATCATGTGGCGGTTCGTAAACGAGGGGACCAATTCAGATTACAAAAAAATCCAACTTAGCATTTCAGCACCACATATTGGTAGGATGAGATGGCAATTTGGTTGTTAACCTTCTAGCGACTAACAGGCAGCTTGGGTTGTATACACCCCAGGGAGCTGAGAATGATTCTTGAGTGCACAGTGATCCAGTGACGGGGGTAATAATATCGCTTTGAGCATGCCCCTAGTTGTGTGGAAATATGCGCAATATTTATAGCCTATTATTGTTATTATTATTATTATTATTATTATTATCTTAATATATCTCAATATATCTTAAGATATACATAGAGCTAGCTATATGTGTATATTTTCCACCCGTAGGCCAGACACTACACGTCACCGCGAATATCCGGGTTAGAAGAGGTCTTCAGCACCCTTCTGTACTGGTCGACCTATTCTGACCAGGGTCTTTGCGGGTCAGTCCCGGGTAAAAATTGGTCTTCAGCAACGTATGCTTGTCCTAAGAGGCGACTGACGGGATCGGGTGGTCAGACTAGCTGATTTGGTTCATGCATGCATATCCCATTTGGGTAGATCAATACTCATGATGTCAATCACTGGATTGTCTGGTCCAGACTCGATTATTTACAGGACGCCGTCGTACACCTGGAATATTGCTGAGTGTCGGGTTAAACAACAAACAGTTAGAGCAGACTACTTTCTTTTTCCTGGCGAAATTAACCAGATGCAGGTTCTAAAACATTTGTTATACTACTCAACATATTTTAATCCGAACCACGCCTTTGATGAAAGATGACTACTTCGGTCCATCAAATGTTGTGTACTATATAATCTCAGGCATGATTTAATCTTCAATTGCTTAAAAAATTTATAACAAAGTCCATATTATAAATCAAATACAGCATTTTAATCTGCTTTTTGAAAGTTTTGCAATATGCAAAGGACATTTTCATTCTTTAGCATGCGGGGTCGGTCGGGTAGCCTAGTGGTTAAAGCGTTCGCTTGCACGCCGAAGACCCAGGTTCTATTCCCGACTTCGGTAGAATGTGTGAAGCCCATTTCTGGTGTCCCCCGCAGTGATATTGCTGGAATATTGATAAAAGCGGCGCAACACCTCACTCACTCACTCTTTAGCGAGCGCTAAACAATGTTTAGCCCCATTCATCATCGATAACATTAAAAGACATCCCATTCCGCAAATTTGAAATTTCAAAATACATGCATGCATCGAAAAACATGTCTGCTGTATGCAACGCGTGGGCGAACAGAAGACATCATCTGGTGACTCTGTGCACAAACAATTCAAACAAAGCGTCACCACTCATACATTGCGTCGACAATGCAGACAAAGACCCCTTCCTTTTGAAACAGGCAGGCGAACTGAAGTGAGACGTTGAATATGATGAAAATTTATATTTTTAAGTATCGCGCATTGTATATTAATCCTTAACCGTCTTTTTCAGAAGATAGAATAATAAAAGGAAAATCTCCCCCCGAAACAGGATGAAGGTGAACTACTTTGATCTAGCCGGGGCTGTGTGCTGGTCCCTATGAACGATTTTATATTGACTAGCCGCGGACGTACATCACAGAGACACGGTCACCGCAGCTTGTCAAGTCGTTGAGATCTTGCAGTCATACTGAACAGAGGTGTAAACCAAACTGTCAAACTCTGTACTCGGCTCATTAATCGCAAAATAAACGTAATAAATCTTCCATGAAGAGCGAGGCTACCTGTTAACACGTTAATTGACTTTGGAACCGAGCGCGCAGCTGTCTCTTTCAATCAGAAGTTGTTGTTGCGATTTGAAACCTCTGATTTGAGTTATTGCTATGGTACTATTAAGTTACTGTATCAATTGCATACCGAAGCCCATAATACCTCTGCGGCTACATATGTTGAGCTTTTATTATCAGTCATGGCATGTTTGGTTTAAGCCAGTCAAATCTTTGTCTGTCGCCGACCTGTTCTTATTTTATCCCCTTTATGCCGATCGCCAGGAAACTGGGTAACAAGTATCAACTTTTTTTCTTCCTTTTTTTTTTGACGCAAATTGGCATCGAACCACCGACCTTCCGATCCCCGGGCAGACGCTCTATCAACTAGACCAGGAAGGCGGTCGCGACTGAAGATTGGTAGGGTTGTAGCATTGAGCAACCTATCGATGTATTGCAATCGTTCATTTTCCGATATCAATTAATCGAATTCAAGTAAAAATACCAATATTTGATATCGACTCCTCACGAAACGTTCGATACTTTCCATTGACAACTTTTATATATATTTTTTATTGTTTAAATAGTTAACTTCTTTGCAGTTACGTGCTATCTTGACATGTGTAACATGTCACATCAGATTATATCTGTTTTAAAGCACGAGGAGGCTTGCGTTATTTCTTGCCAGGTAATACCATTCAATTATTCGACAAGTTTAAAGAAACTATTTCACCAATCAACAATTGCTGTGCATGCGCCGGCTTCCTTGACAAAAATGAAAGAACGATGCTACGAAGGATACGCTAGATCACGGGAGAGGTAATTTGAACAGCGTCGTGACGTTAGACCATTATGACGTAATTATAAAGTGTACTTTATAATAACGGACACCAAATTTCATGCTCATCACAGCAAATGTGCACAGAAAATCTCGGCAGGTCCAGTTAAAGTGGCTTCCTAAACCCGGTCCTCAGAAGAGCAACAAACAACAACTTTGAAAAGTCTTTGTGTTTTTCCCCTACCCATCGACCATGATTTTGAACCATTTACAATATATCCGTAAACCAAAAATTATATAACACCCAGGCCATTCTACTCTCCTAATGTCATTGAGCGTTTGTTGTCCTCAAGATTCATCCTCAATGCAGGTTCCACCTCATTCGTCATGCTCCCCACGTGTAGTCTTCTGAGATCCCGTGAAGATTCAGGTTACTGTGTTTGTTTGTTGTTTAACGCCGCATTCAGCAATATTCCACCTATATGTCGGCGGTCTGTAAATACTCGAATCTGGAACAGACAATCCAGTGATTGTCATCATGAGCATCAATCTTCGAAATTGGGATACGATGACATTTATCAACCATGTCAGCGAGGCAAACCACCCGATCCCGTTAGTCGCCTCTTACGACAAGCACAGTCGCCTTTTACGGCAAGCATGGGTTCCTGGAGACATATTCTACCCCGGATCTTTGCGGGTCAGGCCCGGGTTAGAATGGGTCTTCAGCAAGGTATGCTTGTCCTCCGAGGTGACTAACGAGATCGGGTGGGCAGGCTCTCTGACTTGGTTGATGTATGTTATCGTATCCCAATTGCGTGGATCGATGCTCATGACGCCAATAACTGGATTGTCTTGCCCTGACTCGATTATTTACAGACCGCCGTCATATAGCTTTGCTGTTGCTGAGTGCGGGGTTAAACAATAAACAAACAAACAAACAAAATCTTGCTGAGTTTCGCTTAGCGAACGAGAACCGACCTATAGCTGTTAGAAATATTGAACTTCCCATGTCTCTCAGGAAATGATAAATTATTAGTTCCTCGTTCCTAGATTAAAGGGGCGGTCGGGTAGCCTACTGGTTAAAGCGTTCGCTCGTCACGCCGAAGACCCGGGTTCGATGCCCGACATGGGTACAATGTGTGAAGTCTATTTCTCGTGTCCCCCGCCGTGATATTGCTGGAATATTGCTAAAAAACGGCTTAAAACCATACTCACTCACTCACTCCTAGATTAAATACATAACTTGAACACATTGTACTGTTAGCTTATCAGTGAGTGAGTGAGTGAGTGAGGTTTTACGCCGCTTTTAGCAATATTCCAGCAATATCACGAAACTAACGGAATCGGGTGGTCAGGCTCGCTGACATGGTTGATGCATGTCATCGTATCCCAATTTCGAAGATTGATGCTCCTGATGACAATCACTGGATTGTCTGGTCCAGACTCGATTATTTACAGACCGCCGTCATATAGCTGGAACATTGCTGAGTGCGGCGTTGAACAACAAACAAACAAACAAACAAACATGTATGTCATTGGCGTTCAAATGAACTGTGTCACCTTTATTGATATCTACTTGAGTAATGCTCAGAATTTTCTAATTGAGATTGCCATGTAACTGGGATTATATTAAAAAAATACCTTGTCCCCGAAAATTCTTGAAACAAATAATTATGCTTCAGACTGTTGAAAAACGAAAGAAATTACCTGCCACAAATCACATTGTTGCAAGGTGTTTTTCTTAAAAGAAAATCAGGCTCGTAGGTTTAGATAAAAAAGTATTTGTTTTTCCAGCTGTAGCTGAAAAAATATTCAATCTTGATACAAAAAAATCTCCAGTAGAGAAACCGCTGTATTCATCTGAGGGCAGAATCTAAGTACATAAAACAGTGAATGTACTCCCAAGGGATGTAAGATAAATGTAATAAATTAACAATACTGCACAGGTACATTGTCTCTGTCTAAATTATATATTTAAGCGTTTGCTCGCAATAATCTTCGCGTTCTTGGCAATCAAATTAACAGATTTTGCGGTTGTACAATAAATATTTTGCGCAAATGAATTGCTTCTCTTCTATTATCCATGGAAAACACACGCAAATGTGATGAAGGTCCAGATAGTTCATAGATCGCAGACATTAAGATAGTTCAGAAGAGAAGTGGTGGTGATGCAGTGATCACGAGCGCCTCAAAATGCCGTGCAGAGTTGCGTCCCTTTGCGACAAAGATCCGCTAATTGTGGGTTCAAATCTCCGAATATGATCCTTAGCGTGACTACGATCTGCCCCACTCGCGGCTCTTCCCTCCGCTGATACGCAATATGCCCGATGCAATGTTAAAAAAGCGATATCATGCGTGTTGTAATGTATACTTATGGTAAAAATAAAAGCAACGGTAACCAAACACCATGATTAAATGAATATTTCCCTATCCTTAAGGACGATGCATTCTACAGGACAGGTGAAACACAATATTGTCAAATGTGTCTTCCATGATAAAAAACAACAACTTTGGAAAAGAATCGAAATGAACATGAAAACCCCGACAGTTCACCTATTGGTCCTGTTTGAATCAGCGCATCCTCGTTTTAATCCTAATGCTAGATAGTTGCGGGTTTTGTAGTTAATACAAACTTCCTTGTGCTTGCGGGCATGTACTGGTCGCTATTCTCGACTGTGGGAAGTTCATCGCATCAAAGATTGTGAAACTGAGCTGAACACACCGAGAAAGAACAATTATCACATTTACTTTATATTGTGTTTTCAGTTTCTAATTACTTTGTCATTTATCTCAAAACGGAAATGAATATTTGTACCTAACATCGGCCATAAATGTCTCCAATCAGTCCAATTTATCAGAGTAGTACATGTTTTCATCAGGGTCAACGCGAGTTCATTCGGGACCAACTCGTGTCGTTCCGGGACAAGATTACGGGACGAATGAACTGTCAATTAAACGTGATGAAAGACACCTAAGGAACTTACCCTTTCAGTATGGACATCAAGAAAGACAGTGTTTCCAGTGTGGTTATTTGGTGGAAGAAAAAAATAGATAAGATTTTATGGGTAACAAGCAGGAAGTGAGTGAGTTGAGTTTAACCTAGACTAAAAAAACCAGTTGTTTTAAATTATAGTTGTAAAATATACTGAACCGCAAAAGAAACGTCACCCCAAGTAATATTGCATGAAAAGTTGTCATTTAAATATCCGGGTAATTTTTGTCAAAGTTTCTTAAGTTTAACATTAGCTGGTCCGGAAAAATGAAATTTGATGATAAAAAAACAAAGCAGATGACAATAAAACCGATCGCCCAAACGCATCACGGCAACGGCCATGGTAACCCGATGCATGTGAGTTCCATGCAAATTGAAATGCACATGCGTTCCCCCATTTCTTGCCCTACAAACATCCACCCAGATCGGATAACAATCATTCGTTTTTGAATTGCTACCCGTGTCAAGATCAGCAACACCAAGCCCTTGGACGATTGCAAGCTGGACAAACCGCCCGGCAAGTAGCCAATGCATTTCAAGTCCACGTAAGGACCATATACAGGCTCCAACAACGGTACCATACCACCGACACTACAGATGACCGACCACGTAGTGGAAGACCAAGGGTCACCACCCGACGTGAGGATATTGTCATATGTGCGACAGCATCTTCAAGATCACTTTGTTACTGCTGCGGAAACTTCTCGACAGACCATGGGGACACACCAGCGACACATTAGTGCGGACACTGTGCGTCGACGAGTGACGAGCAGACACCTCCACTGTCACAGGCCACACCGAGGACCCATTCTGAACACAACGTCATCGCCGGGACCGTCTTCAGTGGGCAACACAGCACCAGCATTGGCGCCATCAGCAGTGGAGAAGAGTCCTCTTCTCAGACGAGAGCCGTTACTGTATCTCAACATGCAGCAGATGGCAGAGAGAGAGTCTGGCGACGCAATGAGGAACCTTATTCGGATGCTTGTGTTGTTGAGAGACTCGTGGGGTGGTCCGAGCATCATGGTGTGAGGTGGAATTGGTCTTGCACGAGGGTCGGCCCTGTGGTCTTCCAGAACATCGGTCCAGGGATAGGCAATAGTGTCACAGCAGCTCGGTACATTGATCAAGTCTTGATAACACACGCCATACCTCATTTGGCACGTCGCCGCAACCACAAGTTCCAGCATGATAACGCCCGTGCCCACACTGTGAGAGCAACAAAAGGCTTCCTCCAGCAGAATGGCATCAGAACCATGCAGTGGCCTGCCCTCAGTCCCGATTAAAATCCCATTGAGCACCTGTGGGACGAGATTCAAAGACGGCTGAATGACGTCCGACAACTGCATCTGACACTTTAATTTCAACCTTGATGATCAGTTTTGACAAGTTTCATCTTTTTAATATGTCTCAAAGTATGTTTACAGTGTTTGGATAAATAAGGTTTCTCACATATCTATCCATGTTGACGTTTCTTTTGCGGTTCAGTATATAAGAAAAAGGAGCCCAGAGACTTTCTTCATTTTCAGACTAATCCTCTGTATCCATAGTTTCATCAGTGATGAAGACATTAGTTCATCATTGTTCCTATTCATTCTAACCCGGAAATGCAAAACTTTTAGGAATCGTCCCCTCTCATCAGCAGATTTGTACTCACCCTGATACTGCAGTAATCTAGACTTGCCAAAGAGTGTAGACGTGCAAGAGCTGTATTAATATATTTGTTTAGGGTTTGTATGACAGACTAAGTTTAACCCTGCTCTGATTCATAACTCATTTCAGTTATGTCACGGCGTGTCAGCTTGATGTAGGAGGAACGCCCGATGTGACGCAGGCTTAAGACGGTTTACTACTTGTGCGAAACCCACGAGCACGGTATGGCGCTGTTAAACTAAAAGACATAATCTGGGCGAACAGGGATGCGAACCAAGGCATGACACGCATGTGTACTGTGGGCCTTTAATTTCCGGAATATCTGGGGACATGTTGTCAGAACAGAAAAACACAGTTCGTTAACTCGAAAGAGTGAGTGAGAGCGATGGGTTTAACACCGCTTTGGACAGCATTGCAGTTATCACACGGCGTATCAGGTTAACTTTGGAGGAAAGAAGGAAGTGATGCAAATCTCAGACGTCTACCACTTTGGTGAAACCCACGAGCACGGTACTGACAAACATTATCGGGGCGAACCGGGATTCGAAACAATCGATCATAGGTTTCCGGCGACCCAAGGGACGCACCTTTGCCCCTTGAACTCGAAAGAAGAACCACTACATGAACAAACGTGTTTTCAGCTTTAATCATGAATATTAAAAACACAAAATAGTGCAGTGGTTTCTTTTTTCCAATCACATTACCTCGTGGATAATGAAACCAACAGGCCAATACAATGCGAACAATAAGTCTTTCTCTAAAATAACCGTATTTACCCATATACACGTCAACATCACATAAATGTACGGCGCGTCCTTTACAAACCCATGTCCTTCCTGAACTTCATATATTAACAAATAACACATGAGCTGGAGATGAGGCCAATTCAGTTGAAATGCTTGTTTCCGAAATATTTTCCCAGCCTTCTAACTCGGCCTTTTTACTCAGATTTCGTTTTCTTCTCCGAATCCGACAGTTAGCTTCTTAAATGTAACCGCCCATCCTTACTCCTTTCATAAGGAAATCAACAGGAAACAAGACATTTAACATGGGCTGACCCCTGAATAAGCACAAAACATTATAACAGGTACAGCAGAATGTCATGGACTACGTCATACTAGAATTCTCATATGTACATTCAATATCGTATAACAGAGAAGAAATGCCAGCTAAAACGAAGCCCTTTTAATCAACTGCAGTGGTATTTACCATACTAACGTTAATAGGGTATCTCGAATACCAGGCTTTGTCAATAAACATTCACTCTTGACGTCACAGTTTTGTCGCATGTAAATATCAATCTGCAATAGGCACTTGTTTCAGTGAACTGTAAAATGTATCAAACGATTTTTTTTCTATAAAAATATTGTAAGAAACTTGGCAATAGATTCTCGGATAACACTGTGTGTTGCATACCTTAAGAGCACAAAACTATAAGTCTGTGTGAAAATTTAAAAGGGGTTATTTAAATACTTATTTGACATTTGAAAACATGCACTACCTGGATAGGTCGGTTCGTGTACGAGCTGGCGCTAAACAAGTGAGTGTGAGTTGGGGGGGGGGGGGGGGGGGGGGGGGGGGGGGGGCACCATAAATGTGCTCCACACGACGTAACCATGAGGGGAATCGGACCCAGGCCTTTGGTGTGACGAGCGAACGCTTTAACCACAGGGCTACAGTGAGTAGGGATTCAGGTGAGTTTAACGCCGCTTTGAACAATGTTTGTTATACTTCGGCATATCGCCTTAATGTGGGTAGAAAGTTAATGAGTATCGTTTTACGCCTTTACTAATATTCCAGCAACAGTACGATTGCGCTTCACATTGTACCCATGCGGGGAAACGACCCCGGACCTACGGCGTGACGAGCGAACGCTTTAACCACTAAGCTACCCACCGCCGCATGGGATGATAGGCCGAAGGATGCTAGTTTTAGACGGGTATGGTGCCGACAAACAATAATCAGGTCGAATTGGGATTCAAACCCACGATGACAAGATTCTAGCACGTCATAGCGACGCAACTCTGCATTGCAACGGTGTGTCCCCCACTGAACATGATAAAGGGTGCAATACTTCCTTGATTGTATGACTATCCCAAAGGATAAGGTATTATAATGTATAGCATCTACTTTTCTCAGTTGTAGGAATGTGAGTGAGTTTGTTTTAACGCAGCTTTGAAAGAACTTGAGCTATATCATGGCGACTTACAAGGGGACTTTGCTTTAGATAACTGGCAGTTTCAGCAAGCCTGGTTTTAGTCATCCAAGCATCGTGTTTGCCTGTGTGCTAACTCAAATGTTATCAATTTGTTGATAAATACACCAAACAACGTTTATCATATTTTATAGAGAAAATGTCTGAACACAAGGTATTCCAACGTCTTATGTCATGGTAAAGTTACATGGCCTGGAATTACTGTTTTGAAAAGTATCTGAAAACATCATTGTGGTTGCTTATTTTAAAAAAATAATAATAATCTATGAAAATAAAGTACAATCAACCACTTTCTACTCATTACACCTCTTTATATTCACAATATCTGAAATACCCGAGTTTAACACATGGGAGAAACATGTAAAAGACATTTGAAAAATAAATAAAGTTCAATTGTTTGTTCCTTCGAAATCGAAAAAGAACGTCTGTATTCAAAATATATTTCAAATTATAAAAAATTACATTTAAATCTATATTTAAACCTATATTTCAAATTCTGAATGAAATTCCACATTTGATGCAACACAATGTTTAAATACAAAATTAAGGATCGTTAATCTGTTCGTTTGAAATAGAAAAGAACGTTCAACAGAAATCAAATTGATTAAATATAAAATTCTAAATCAAATTTAGCATTTGCTGCGATGCCATGTTTAAATTTAACATTATTGATTTGTTTGTTGTTATACGCCGCACTCAGCAATATTCCAGCTATATGACAGCGGTCTGTAAATAATCCAATCTGGACCAGACAATCCAGTAATTGACATCATGAGCATCGATCCACACAAATGGGATACGATGACATGCATCAACCAAGTCAGCGAGCCGTAAGCCGCTTACGACATGCATCGTCGCCTTTTTCGGCAAGCATGGGTTGCCGAAAACTTATTCTATCCCGGACTTTCACGGGTCTATTGATTTGTTAATAGTATCACCCATTGATTGTGAGCCTGCCTTACAATTGCACTGCATTGAATTTTTAAGAGTAAACAGTCAACATATGTCGACACTCCGCTTGCTTTGGCAATTTTCAAAACTTATTTTGACAGTACACAGCTTAAATATATCAATGAACAGTTAACACAATATTTAAGGAATACTGGCATAATCCGCGCACCTTGCAGTATATAAAACTTCAAAATACAGTCATATCTAGTTTGAGCAAGTAGCACCAACACAAATGCACATGAAAGCTTGGACGTCATCACAGGTTCCACGAGAACTTCAACGGTTTATCAGTGGCCATATCCGTAGCGGGTCCACAGCAATAGACGGCAGTATGATGTTCCACAGGGTTCGAACAATCAAATTGTAGTCACGTGTTCTGTATCCATGCATGATACTGTGTCCTTCAGGGGAAAAAGTACCCTTTGTTAAAAAAAACCCACATAACATGATAACGGCTGAGGTTCCCTCCCTCCCCCTCCCCCACAAGGGGGCCTGAGAATAAAAGTAAAATTCCGTTATTCTTTAAAAACATTTTTCCCCACTTTCAGAAGAAAAGTATACATTACTATATGAAATCATTGGATCATTCGATACCTTCGGACAAGAAATACTTCACAACAAAATGTTTCTCGATAGAAACAATCTTTCAAAACGACCAGCAGATAAGACCCTTGTTAAACTGCAGGACCTGCAACCCGTGCAACAGTGAAATATAATTAGCTCAGGTTAGAAGGAAACTAATGTTCACTCACCTAACTTACACAAATAATTACACATCTGTGAATCACACGACCAGTTTTAACCCCGTAACCTTAATTACACAATCATACCCTGTGCTCAATCGTAGCTAATGACCGACACCCGTGAGCCGACTAAGATTCATCCCACGTCAATGACAGTAGTGCTTCATATGTCTCTCAAGGTCCTTTGCCCACGCAAATGACATCCCGCAAGCGTTACATCGAAAAGGCTTGACGCCGGAATGCCGAGTGGTGCGGTGATACTTCAAGTCGTCTCCCCTGAAAAATGTCTGATCGCAAAGGTCGCACTTGTAAGGCCTCTCTCCGGTGTGGTAACGAACGTGGCGTTCTCTGTTAGGCTTCGCCGTGAACACTTTCCCGCAATATTCACACACAAAACGTCTGTGTAGGTTGCTGCTGTGAAATTCAAAGTTGGAGAAGTCCACAAAGTTCTCCTTGCAGACTAGGCATTGGAACGCCGACTGGGAACGGAAGAGCACTTCAGGGGTGACAACTCTTTCAAACCCCGGTGACCGGATGTGAATTCGTTCTAAAACAATTTCCTTTACTCCTGCGCCTGTTGGCTGTTCTCCGTCAAACGATGAATTTGCGATTGAATCATTCCCAGGCGATCCGGGGTAGTCGCTGCTCGAGGGCATGAAGTCGTCTTGGAGAGCTCTTAATTCGTCATCATGGTTTGGCATCTCTCTTTTTATAGATACAGGTTCCCCATTCAGTATCACAGTCTCTGCCGAATTAGCAATGTCTCTCGGATCCATGAACAATCTGGTCCTGGCTTCTGAAGACGGTTCTCTGTCAAAGGCCGACAGATGAGGCAGCTTGGTTTTCGACAGATCGACCATGGGGATGTTGTCTGTGACAGAAGCAGTATGCTTCTCCGAACCGCCAGCCTCAGATCTTGATTCCACAGAATCGGGTGTCATTTTCATAGCAGCAACATCATTAGGAAAATCAATGTTTTCTTTGCGAAGTTCAATCATTGCTGGTGTAGCCGGTGACTCCGGCTGTCGTTCCGATTCCCTGCTGAGTCTCTGTGACTCGTGCGCCTCATATATATGTCCATGGAGGCTTTCCTCGGAAGGGAAGCCTATTTGACACTCCGTACACCAATATTGACTAGACGACGTGCTGTTATCTTCAGGCTCTGGTTCAGGGCTTTTATCTCGAGAAGCTGCAGTAGCAAGGTTCACCGGTTCCGTGTGAGTAGCCACGTGGGCTTTCAGATCAGAGGGATAACGGAACTGTTTGGAACAGAAATGACACGAGTGGGTTCTACTTTGAGCATGGGAGTACTCGTGTCTTACAAATTGTTCGTACGTATTGAGCTCAGTATTACAGAAGCAACAGCAATAACTGGCGAAGGACTCATCCGTTTTGTGTTTCTTCAAATGCGAGCTGTAGTCAAAAGGATCTTGGAACTGTTGCTTGCACGGCTTGCACGTGTACGACTTTGTAGAATGGGTCAGGGTATGTTTCATAAGGTCCAACGAGTTGATCCCAATGAAGGAGCAGCCGTCGCATTGAAAGTTCTGAAACTCCGGATGAGCTTTTTTATGTCTAGAGAACAACACTGTGTCGTTAAAGCCTTCGCCACACTGTGGACAGACATGGAGCAGCCTGGTGTGGTGCTCCTTGGCCATGTGGTTCCGCACACAGGACCTATCCGTGTAGCCTTTTCCGCAGAGTCCACATCGGAATGGCTTGTTGTAGGAATGGCGGAGTACATGGGCCTTCAGGTCGTCCTTCCTCGTAAATCCCTGCGAACACATCGTACACTTGTACGGCCGTACACCGGTGTGCAGCCGGAAGTGACGTTTCAGGTTATTCCTGGCTGTGAATCCTTTGAAGCAGATCCGACAGGTGAAGAGGGAGTGTTCTCGGAGGTTGTGGCTGTCGAATGATGTTGCATCAGGGACTATGGTGAAACAACGCTTACACAAAAGCCCCTGAGGGTGGGACATAGCCGAACTGTGAGCGTGGATATTTGCTGGGATGAGACTGGTGTTCGGGGCAGACGATAAACTCATTTTAGAGTCTGTTTCCGCACTATCGCTTCTTTGGTCGTCGTCGTGCTTCTCGCTTTCTTCTCGTCCATCTTCTTTCCCTCTACCAAAGCTGTTTGATAGACGAGGAGTATTTTGACCTTCATTCGATTTATGGTTCTCCTCGGGGGACGGGGCTGAGGAAGGTCGTGATCCAGACTGAACACCCGCAGCGGCGTCTGGGGTCGCTGACGTCTCTCCAGACTCGTCCACAGACACATCCGACATATTCAGACCCTCGGACGAGTCGGCGGGACTATTCACAACAAGGGCATCATGAAACAAATCTCGTCTGCTTTTCTTCGACGGCGGGAATTCCATTCCCAGAGTGGTGTCGCTATAAGAGAAGGAACGTAGGTTTTTCTGTACATATTCATGAATTTTGACGACCATTGGCTGTGCATTATCCTCTACCGTGATGCATATTAATCCGTCTATTTCCAGCTTGGCATGGAAGGAGATTGTCTCGCGGCACAGCGTGAGGACTGACTGTTTCAAGAGCCTCACGAGGAGCTCCCTCTCTTGGGCTGACATCGTCAAGGCACTGAGGTAAGGGGGGTAGCTCTTGTTACTACATAATTTAAGCTGAAACAGGAAATAAAGAAATATTAGGTGATGAATCACTGCATCAGTAAAAAATATATAAGAAGTTGTTTAAATAGGTAACACTGACTAAACATTTATTCACATCTCGTTCGTTATCGAAACGCAGGGTCATGCGAAGCGTATGATTTAGTTCCTCTGTGGTATCATGCAGGAAATATAAAGGGACACAATTCGTGAAATAGTATCGTTCCACGTTTCCCTGGCTAGGTAGGTGAAACACTCTGACATTAGCACGTCTCAATACTGTGGGAGTATCTGGCTATAACCTCGCCTGGGACACAGCTGGCCCGGTGGTCACACCACAATTTGTTGAGCAGAGTTGTGTCCATTAGGCGGGGCAGAAACTGGGATCCTGGGTTCGAATTCCAGTTCGCCATGACATGTTTCTAAGTTTGTCAGCGTCATACCCCTGCTCGTCGGTTTCACCACAGTGGAAAACGTTTAAGACCTGCAACACTTTCCTCCACCAACAAGGCGCCGTCATATTACAATACGTTACTGGGGACATATTCTAACCCTGAATCTCAACGGTGTCAAATGCTTCTAACACATGAAAATACGTATTTTTCTCCTGTGTTTAGAAGACAATAAACAGTGCGTGAGTGAGTGAGAAGAGGTGAGGTGAGGTGAGGTGAGGTGAGGTGAGTGAGTGAGTGAGTGAGTGAGTGAGTGAGTGAGTGAGTGAGTGAGTGAGTGACCGTGTGTTCTTTTACGAAACAGTGACCAAAATTTACATGACATCGCAGCGGCCCTATATGATCCAATCTTTGACTGGCATTGAAACAAGTGGTCGACAGTATGAACAAAGATCAACGTAGGACACGATGCCACACAATAAGCACAAATGATTCCGAAGACTAGTGTGGTGTGCGACCTAACCTGTCCCGGAATGCCACTACGTACAAACCATAGGCGCCATCACAGCTAACAGCATGCACAAGCACTAGTGCAATATGTAATACGCTGCGTATCCTGTCTTCGTGCTGCTGGGCGGGAATCAGTAGAAACATGTCGGATGTCCGTTATTTAACACTGTGTGACTTTGCGACTGGACAGCTTAATGACTTTCCGAAGTGGTAATTTCCTATGACTCACCACAAAGACGAACAGACCAAGCGGACACGTAGAATTCTTAAATAATTAGTTTGATACATTCATATTTAGCTGTCGACAAATTTTCAAGAAATCAATTCGTGTTTTGGTCAAGTAGACAAACCGACACAACGGATCTAAACTTAGTATTGTGATACTACCGTTAACTGACTAGCTCCAGATGACTGACTAGATGACTAACCAGATGACTGACAAGCTGACTGACCAGTTGACAGACCAGTATACTAAGCAAATGACTGTCCTATTCATTACCAAGCCAGGGCCCATGCAGGTGACATAAACATACCTCGTGTACAAGATGTCGGTTGTCAATCATTGTACCCCGTACATAGACATGCTTTAAACCACCCGCAGCATCGTTTTCATCGCATCCCGTGCATGTCACTGCGTGTGATGAGGAGCACTGACTATGAGCACAAGGCCGACAAACAGTTAATAGACGCGCACTTGCCCTGCCGCTTTCTTTACGCTCATCCGGGTTTGAAGCCGTACGCGGAAACAACTCCCCTCACTCGGACTATGTATAGGACATGAATCATTGAACTTTCCCGTACGTTATAAAAAAAATATTCCACACACTATCGCTGCGTGACATGACAAATGCGGACGTTGTAAAACAATTTGAGGATATATATTTAAGTTTTAAGAATATTATACATAAAATCCCCAAACAAGGCAACTGAAGCCATACGATGACGTTATATCGAAATCCGGCAATCGTCATATTACACTCATCCTGAAACACCCCACCTACTCGCCTTATGGCTGTCACTGGAAATCACTTATTGACTTGTCTACTACTCTTCAGGCAACCTACTCACTGGGCAACTCTTCAGGCAACCTACTCACTGGGCAACTCTCTCACTCACTAGTCAAGTCACACACTCATTAGTCAGGTTACACACTCATTAGTCAAGTTACACACTCACTAGTCAAGTTACACACTCACTAGTCAAGTCACACACTCACTAGTCAAGTTACACGCACACTAGTCAAGTTACACACTCACTAGTCAAGTTACACACTCACTAGTCAAGTCACACACTCACTAGTCAAGTTACTGGCACACTAGTCAAGTCACACTCACTAGTCAAGTCACACTCTTACTAGTCAAGTTACACTCTTACTAGTCAAGTTACACTCTCACTAGTCAAGTTACACGCACACTTGTCAAGTCACACACTCACTAGTCAAGTTACACGCACACTTGTCAAGTTACACACTCACTAGTCAAGTTACACACTCACTAGTCAAGTCACACACTCACTAGTCAAGTCACTGGCACACTAGTCAAGTCACACTCACTAGTCAAGTCACACTCTTACTAGTCAAGTTACACTCTTACTAGTCAAGTCACACACTCACTTGTCAAGTTACTGGCACACTAGTCGAGTCACACTCACTAGCCAAATCACACACTCACTAGTCAAGTCACATTCACTAGTCAAGTCACACACTCACTTGCCAAGTCACACACTCACTTGCCAAGTCACACACTCACTAGTCAAGTCACACACTTGTCAATTCACTCACCAGTCAAGTTACAAACTAGTCAACTCACTTACTCACTAGTCAAGTCACACACTCAGCTATTCAACTCACCAACCAGTTAACGTACTCATTCACTCTCTAGCCAACTCACCGGTAACCCACACACTCATGTTACAGCTAGCAATGTCGACTTACAGGCCAACGTATTAATCAACTCAGCAATAATCGAGCTATATGACGGCAGTCTGTAAATAATCGAATCTGGACCAGACAATCCCTTGATTGAGATCATGGGCATCGATCTACGCAATTGGGATACGATGACACGCATCAACCTAGTTACGACATGGGTTTCTGAAGACCAATTCTTCATGGGTTGTAGCGGTTTAGTGCCAATGCACTCTGTATGGAATCTGACGCACTATATATACTCATTATAATTGTCAACAAAATCACTGGTCAAATCACCATTCATTCACCTCATCCACTATTCGACTTAATCACTGGTCAGCTCACTCACTTACTTGACTTATCTCTGGCTAATTAATCACCGCCCTCCACTACCCGAAATGTCCCTAATCTCTTTGATAATACAGTACACTACGGTTATAACGAACTCAAAGGGACCACTTATTTTAGTTCGTTGTAGCCGTGGTTCGTTATATGCATATATACAGCAAATAGTCGGGACAAAAAAGTAAGTTCGTTATATCCGTCAGTTCGTTATAAGCGTGTTCGTTATAACCGTAGTTTACTGTAGTGCACAAATGCTGATACAATGGGTATCCACATACACAAGCTCACCCTAGTCTGTCGCCCAGACCCAAGAGAATAAATAAATAAAGGAGCCCAACTCAAGTCTAGAGTTATTGGGCAAGTCTAGATTTCCTGATTAATTAAGCATTGTTCTTGGCTCCATTTGGATTTTATTTTGTATTTTGTAGGTATATATATTTTTTAAAATTCTGGGACTAAATGGCAGTCTGTGGCACCTCTATGTGGTGTTCATTTCAGATTTTGAACAACGACATCGATTATAGCCTTGTCAGTTCAATAGTTTTCAGTGGCCCGAGCTGACGCTAACGCGGAAAATTAACGTATGATAAACTTCCACTACGATTGCATTTTATTATGATAGAAATGTAATACAATACCATGGCACTATATTTAAATTTGCGAAACTGGGGCAACAGTCGGTGTGGTATATGATAGCTGGGCTGTGTCACACGCGGAAGGATATTCGAATCATACAGTTCGGTTACATTTTCCTGTGAGGCAAGTTTTCCTGGCCCCAGTGATTACCGGGCGCATAGTGGCCAGGCAGACCACTCAACCAGGATCTCTATCCCGCCTCCAGACGTGATATACAGAATCTGACAGATGATATACGTATCGTTCGGGAATATGTACATGTACTGTGGTCATTGGAAGTAGATAGCAGTGGATTCGTGGGTGGGTTGAGAGTCGGTCAAGGTAATCAGCGGGTTGATGGAGGTGGTTGGTTTGTTGTTTAACGCCGCACTCAGCAATATTCCAGCTATATGACGGAGGTCTGAAAAATAATCGAGTCTGGACCAGACAATCCAATGATTGATATCATGAGCATCGATCCACGCAATTGGGATCGATGACATGCATCAACCAAGTCAGCGAGCCTAAACACCCGATCCCGTTGGTCGCCTCTTACGACAAGCATAGTCGCCTTTTACGGCAAGTATGGGTTGCAGAACATCTACCCGGATCTTCACGGGTCGGTTGATGGAGTATATGGACACTTGGGGTACGACATCACCCCGCCGCGGACCACGCCCTGGCCATGAAAATACTTTCACGGTCTTAAGTTTTATCAATCATGTTATCACTAGATCGTCATGTATGACGTCAATATTTATCAAGATGCCATCCTATGTCGAGGTATCAATTTATTCTTAATCCCCTTCCAGTGCTTGGCGTGCTGGTTGTCTCCCCTGTTCTCTGTGTGTGCGCGTGCTGTATGTTCGTGAGTGCTGTGTGTGATGGGGTGTGTGCGTTCGTGTGTGCAGGCTGTATGGTGTACGCGAGCGTCCTCATTGGATGTGGGTGTGCGTGCGTGCTGTATGTGCAAAATGTAGCAACTTCTTAGCAAAACATAACAGCTATTTAACAAAAATGTAGCAACTGCGCAGAAGAAAGCAAGCACGCGCGCGCGCGCGCACACACACACACACACACACACACAGAGTACGCGCACTCACACAGTACTCACGCACATACAGCACGCGCGCATACCTCATCCTTAATTATCCAGAATATTTTTTCTGCACTCTATTAGTCTGCATAAAAAATAAATGTTACTCGAACATTTTTTTACAAAAGTGAGGAGGGTGGTCGGATTT